ACTAACTGCAACAACAATCAGAAGAGTTTTTCATAACATGGATAGTGTACATCAGAGAACTTGTTACCTGCATTCATATTATGTTTTTGTGCTCCATGATGAACCTCCGTAGGCCCAAGCGAGACTTTCGTTCTTCCTCTCATGGGCAGGAGCAAAGCTTTTGCCAAGTTTGTTTCTCTTTCATAGAATCTGTGCTTAGTGTTACGTATGAACTGGAGGCCGCAGTTTATAACAAACCCTAGTTAACAAGCCAGCTTTATCATTTTTAGTTTGAAGTTGATTTGTTTAGCAAAGACTCGTACTTTAGCTTAACATGTGAATGCAGCCACTGGAGAGAGAGTAGTTGTTGTTAGTCCCAAAGTCATGTTATATATATCTGTGTATATATAAATTGATACACAGATGGAGTCCTGGTTTGGGAGCACAGTACAATATATTCAAATTAATTTTTGCTTTGCTTAAAAAAATCCATGTTTTGTCTTTCCTCGACTTTTTCACTGCATGATAACTGTGAACTCAAACAGATGTATAACTTGGGAATTAATTTTGTTCATTTCCTATTTTGTTCTGACTTGGAGCTTGAAACTGTCACTCCTTGTGGGCAAGCCAAGAAGACAGTCAGTCCAGAAGACTTCCGTGTTCTCAGAGAACCCATGTCAATGGTTTTATTTTTGCTTTCACATATAACCCAACACTCTTTTCATGGAATTGTAATGAGCAGCAAAGATTACTGCAAATAGTAGGACGACCTGAAGACTAAGATGCGCATGTTGATTTGAGTCCAAGATACCCAAGTGCTTCAGGGTGGCTTGTTCTGTGTCTGAACCCAGGACAGGAACAATTCAGCGGCAGCCTAGCCAGAGTGGGAAACCCCGCTGCCACTTCTTCACAGTTTTGCTTGTGTCACTGGCGACCGCCCTCGCCCCTTCTCAGCTAATAGCTGTGTTTTTCTTCCACAATTTCCCTTCCCATCTTAATACTTTGTGGGAACATTTGCGTATGTTCCCCACCCGCAGTGGAGGGAAGCAACAAGGAGGAAGTAGCGGGAGGGACTCGCGAGGCTTTGGAGAGCCCTGCCATGGGGTGATCCCATTTTGGGAGTGGGCGTGCTTACTTTTGAGTAAAGCAGGACAGCCTTGCTTTAAAAAAGGTGGCTGTGTGAGCACTGATGGAGTGGGGAGGGGGGTGTTTGGCTAGATATCGGAGGGGCAGAGGTCCTTTGGAAGCAGGTCTGTTTACCCCAGTGCAACACGAAGGGTTTAGTTTAAAGGGGGTGTTTGCTTGCTGGCAAAGGAAGCGTGTGCTTGGCTGAATGTGGATGGGCAGACCTGCATAAGGGGGTGGGGGGGTTAATAATATTGGGGCTCCCTTGGGAGCCAGCAGCCCCAGTGGACCAGTTGCAGGGGTGGGTGCTGATATAAAGCCGAGGAAAGTAGAGTTTTGCTGCAAAGACCCCCAAGATACCCACACATCCTGCGGGAGGACTGTGGGGAATAAGGCGGGGGAGACAAGCCAAGGCAGCCCTGGAGCATTGCAGGTCACTCAGCACCATAACGGCGTTATTCAAGCATATGAGATCGGGATCCAGTCTGTGCCTGGATAGAAGAAGATTTAGGGTTTAGGATTTAGGGTTCTCCCAAGAACCCTAAATACATCACCTTGAGTTTCAGCACAGGAAAAACGAGGGATGGAAATGTAAACAAAGCAAATGAGTATATCACATCGTACCCATTAGCGGACAGGTAAGCAGAGTGCTGCTTTCGACCTTTTGGGCAAGGCCTAGCCACCGCCACCCCTTGTATCCGAGGGGCTTCCGCTGGCCCCTCTTATGATGTGCTTGCACCCACACACGCCGCCCAGTGAAATTTCCCAGGGGTCTTTTATTTAAAATGTGCATGTTTTCTATGCGGAGGATTGCTGGAAGGTCTTGCTGTTTGGTACCCAGCTTAGCTGCAGGTTTCTGGGTGAAGATGTGTACCTGGGATGCTCTTTATCGCGAAACATTTGCCTGTTCTCTGACTTCAGGCAGCATCTTCAATTTGCCAAATGTGCTACCTGCTTATTGGCACCTGCCTGTGCTGCTAAATCTAAACAGAAATATGGTATCTTCTTGGCATGAAACAAATACATTATTCTGAAAGCCACCTGTTAGCTTATCTGCTTTAACCCCTGCAAAATAGATACGGGATTTGTCCTGCCTGTTTTTGAAACATTGATTCATAGCTTGATTGTGTTTTGCAGTGTTGATGTTTGGAAGTGTTACACATAAAATATGTCTAGGCAAACATATTAAAGTGTTTTTATTACTTCCAAGCTTGTAAACACGTATAGTGATATTAACCTAGACTGTATGTTAATGGCTTTCCTTGTGTGTATTATTTTTGGAAGGAGAAACTGGTTGAAAGGTTTGTTGCTTTGTTCGGTTGTGACTTCTTCTGTTTTGGGATGATGAAAGTATAACAAAAGGGGTAAAAGGAGCAAGCAGAAGTCTTACTGTGCATAATACGAGGTCGTGGAGTGGAGTTGGTGGAGTGCAGAGTAAGCAGAAAAATACATGCGTTGAGCATTGTAAGAATCTATAGGTTTGTTTCCAGCACTGGAGCCACACCATGGAGCATAACAGAGGTGGTGGGGAGGTGCCTCTTCCCATACTTTCTGGTCTTGCAAAGCATTTCTAAGAACGTGGGGCTATTCCCACATGGCAATGGCCCATGGGTTAAATAAACCATCTTCCAGGGACAAGTGGGAAATACTGGGCAGGTTCACACAATCAGGGAAGTAAGATAAGTCGCTGTAGTCCATTTTGCTGCGCCATGTGAGCCACTGAATTCTTGTAATTGCCCACCCATATGGCAATGGCTTGAACCCGTGTCCCCCACCCCCAGCACTGGACACTTGAACAGTCGAATCTCGGCTCCTTCATAGGTGGCCAGGCGTGATACAAAACCCCAGTTCCATTAATGCAACTGAAAATTTATTTATTTATTTATGTATTTATGTATTTATGTATTTATTTATTTATTTATTTAGAGCATTTATATGCCATCCCATCACATAGCCTCGGGACGGCTTACATAAATAAAATAAAACATAATCCAGATAAAATCTAGATTCACCCTGGCTGCATATTAAAACCTATAAACTGATATTTATTGAAATTATTATTCAATTATTATTATTATTATTTCAAAAATTATTGAAATATCGTTGAAATAAAAAGGTCTTAGCCTGGCACCAAAAAAACAAATAACGACGGCGCCAGACGGACCTCTCTGGGGAGCGCGTTCCACTTTAGTGGCCACTTTTCCTTGGGACAGGTGCTGTCGCAAGGAAGACTGCAGCGGTAAAGCTCACGTGGTAAAAATGTTGTGGCAATGGAAACAATGAACACACAGCAGCATCAAAAAGTTCCACATGCAACTAGGGCTCCTGCCCAGTCTGGTAAAACTTAATCAGAAGAAGGCCCAGGTGAAGTCTTGGAGGCTTTCCCAAAAGACTGCGATGATTAGCCCAGGCAAATCAGTGGGAACTTGCGTTGGGATCAGAACTAGAGTCCCTTCTACAAAAGGAAGTAACACTTCCTGATCTACCCACCAGCTAGGATTTCTGCTCCACATACTTCATGCCAAAAAGGGACAGAAGAGTTGGACAGATTCTAGACCCGAAAAACATAATTCTGGACCTAAACCCTACATCACAAAACAGTCAGATGACTGGCTTTGTCCTCAACCTTCCCATGATGCATATGGGGGCTTGGTTTGACTGCATAGACTTGGAGGGTGCTGTGGAGCACTCTTAACAGTGTTATTTGCTAGCATGCCGGGTGCTGCGACTGACTTAGACCAGGCCTTTGCACGTCCTGAAGAGCTTTTCCAATACAGCTAGAGAAGAGAGACAAAGTCTGGAGGGAGTATAAAAGGACGTTTGTGCCAGCGCTAAGTAAACAGTTCAAAACCAGAATCCCATGGGCCGTCTCTCGTCTTTGCCGGCTTCTCTAAACAACCTACTGCTTTCAGCTCTGCGGCTCATTCAGATGTCAGCATTCATTTCAGACTTCTCTTGTGGATACCATTTTCATAAAGAAAGGGCAGGCATTTACGGTGCTGAGAGAATTTAACTGTGGGGAGGAGGTGGCATCGCTTGTTAATATGCCAGAAAAAAGTCAAGAGACGATAATTAAATGGTTGTGGGTTTAAATATTTATTTCCAATATTATTTTTCAGAATGATGAATACTGGTTTGGCGGGATTATATCCATTTAATTAGGATAATGCTTTTTGGTATATTTGCAGCTATTACAAATCAAAGTTGGAATAAAAATGCTAGGGATTAGAAATATTTTTGTAGCATACAAGGGAAAATTGTTTATCTTGAGCATAAATGCAGTGTAGAACGAAGATCTGCTTGCAAAAACTGTAATGTGTTCTTTCCTTGCCATTTCGTAAAAGTTTCTGTCAGCACCAAAGCATCTTTGGAAGAACCTGGCGGCTATGCATTGTTCTCTGCAGCTGCTTTGCCATTTGTTCTTAATGGACAATGTAAAGGGGTAATTTCACGTGAACCGACTGTGCACATACATTAGATTTTCGAGCAGTGGGGCTTGTGTAGAAGCACAAACAATTGAGTGCAGGAACCGGAGCTGTGAAAGTGGGTTAGATTTTCTTTTTCTTTTTCCTCATGAGTGTAGATCTTGCTACATCTACAGAACTTTTTGCTCCCATGTTAAATCCTCTCGCAGTTACATGTGAATATACTTTAAGGAAAAGCAGATAAATAGGCTTGTTTTTGTTATCGAGCCTTTAATGTCTTTTTCATTGTTTTGAAAGTAAAACACCTGAATTAACACAGATTGTGTAAGCCCCATTTAGTTATAAGCATGATTAAACTAAAACTGAGGCAGATCTATCACATGCAAAAATATGAAACTTGTAGACTTCTTTATAGGTACTCTTAAATATGGTGATGATAAACCTGTGATTCTGCTTGTTGTTCCATGATAGGTGATGGAATCGCAAGGGAGAGCAGTCCATTTATCAACAATGCACGTTCAGAAAGAGAAAATGTCTATGAAGGAAAAAATATGGCTCTTTTTGAGGTAATTTTAATAATTTATTTTCCTGAATTCTGCTACTAATACTGCATTTGACATGCTTTATTGATACAGAAGGCACAACACTTGCCATTTGCTTAAAATCGATTGTGTAAGACCAGTTCCAAATTGAATATATCAAAAGAGAAAGATATTTCATCAGACTAAATAAAGTTATACATTAATAACTTTGGTCCTACATTTGTATATGAACACACAAAATCATCCTTTATTGCACGATTGCATCTATAGCTTCTGACAAATTTCTGATTGACCTGATTTCTCAATTTTCTCAAATAAAAGCTCGAACATTGTACGAGATTAATTTTATTTACATACCAATGTGTGTAAATAATGTGCTGCCCACTTTAATTCCATGTACAATGCATTTTACCACAACAGAAGATGGACAGACCTTGTTTCCCCCACAAGAAATGTCCTGCAGAATCGTTAAGGACATCTTTTTGTGGCATTCATTTTATAAATTAAAGACTCGGGTGTAGTTTTCCATGCTAGATATCTGAACTCCCTAATTACATGTTAAGACAGAAAGCAGTTCTGTAACTCTCAGCTTTCCCCAGCCATCATGGGGAATGGTATGATTTTTCTGCCTAAGATGCATAGGATTGAAAGACACTTTCTTGGACTTCAATCTTATGGTATTTGTATGGGGATCCTAAAAACCAAAGGAAGTTCTGATCTCATACGCCCTCTTCCGACTTCCCCAGTAACATCTGCCGCACTTGGGTCTCTGGTGGCAAAGCTTTAGCAATGGAAAAGACAAACAGGAAGCAGACACGGAGTGATCTTGATGTTACCCAACATTTGATGGTGGAGATGAGTAATTCTGCACCGGAGGTAGAATTCACGCTTTCCCTCTCATTGGCCGCAATGGGAAGGCAAGTCATTAATGCAGTGTAATGGAAAGGAAAGGAAGAAAATGGTTCTCCCCACATTCAGGTTCACTGGCTCAGAAGGGTTCTGGATGCGGCAGACGTTCTGCCTGCATATTTTCACAGCTAACAGTGGTGTGATTCCTCAACTAAGGGCCCTCAAATTGACTGGGTTCTAATGTGATAAACCACCCTCAAGGGTGGAGTGTGAGTTTGAAAGGACTCATCAAAGATGAAGAAGGGTTTGAAAGGACTCCATTTTGGTCGTGTGGATAACGTCCAAAGAGCCACTATGCATGCTCTGAACGCCATCCCACTGGAAGACTTCCAGGAACCCTATGAAGAATGGAAAAATCTCTGGAAGCATTGCGTTGCCTACTTTGAAGGAGACAACATTCAATTGTATAATTTTTCAATAAAAAAATTTATAAAATACCATTCTCATCACTTTCTGGTCACACCTCTTATAGCTTACTCCATGGCATTCACAGAAATTCACAGAAAACTCTGACACGGTTGTCTTCATTCAGTAACCTTCCTGTGTTTTTCCACTGCTGCTTCGGTGATCGTTCTTCCTGAAAATAAAATTGTTAAGAAGGAAAAGATGGAAAAAGTAGTTTTTTAAACTGTATAACCCTAGGAACCTATGTTTGAAAAACTTACCTGGGTTTTAGCTTAAATTTATGGTGATCTCTGTGTTTGCTTTAAAATGTGCTCTTATTTACCAGGATGATGTTCATTAACAAGTTTTTCTAAACCCAAACAGGAAGAAATGGATAGCAATCCCATGGTATCTTCTCTTCTCAATAAGCTAGCAAATTACACAAATGTTACTCAGGGAGTCGTAGAACACGAAGAAGATGAAGACAGCAAACGTAAAGAAATCAAGGTACAAATGCTAACAATATCATAATTGATCATTTTCAGCATAAAATTTAGCACTATGGCTTCTGCCTTGGAAAGCTGACTGCTAGCTGTATACCATGTGTCTTATGAGGCAATGAAAATAAGATTTTTTTTCTCCTGGTATTAGTAGGTCCCTTCACATCTAATGGGGGCAAGTCATGGGTTAATTAGCCCCAGGTTTGCTGTGGAACATTGTGCCTGAAGTGCAGCCTTCACAGTTCAGGTACAATGTCTGGGCCGAGTCTGTGTGTTTTAGCAGTTGGGTCTTTAGCCGACGATTCACCTATATTTTCTGGATTCAGATGGAAACTTGCGGATTCAGGTGCAGCTCCCAAGCCAGCTGAATATTCAAAATAGTCACAGCCCATGCAAGGATAAATTGTGGGTTAATTAACATGTGACTTTCCATCACAATGTGTGAACCAGTATGTGCCTGTGTTTTGTTTTGCATCAGCATCTTCAACAGGAAAATTGAGGCGTTGCTTGTGATCAGCAATATAAAACACAAGGTTACATCTAAGGTGGATGGCCTTAGAATCCAAAATACAGACCATATTTCCTCTTTATCTTGCACATTTTCATTGGTTGTAAAGAGGGACAGAGTCGTTGGAGATTGCAAGAGGCAATTGCAGTATGAGTTTGGCATTATTTCAGTCCAGTGAAAACAGTGCAGTGGAGACAAAAGGAACAGGTGCCCTCGCACTCTTGCTGTGAGGGTAATTGCAGCTTGCTGAGAGCACCTTTGATATATTTCATGATTTCAGGCTTGTGAAATTGAACCTCTTAAATTGCAGCACCTCATAGCCAATGCTCTCTAGGTGGTTCACACCAATTCACAAAGTCCAACTGCAAAATTGTAACATGCAGCATTTAAAACAATCTAATAGGTTAGTCCCTAAAATGTTTGTATTTTAGTGGGTAATGTTTTTAAACATTTTACAGTTTGCATGTTTTAAGTCTGCTGTCAGTGTTCTTGAACCTTTTTTTTAAAGAAAGGTATCTAAAAATAAATAAAATGAATCATGTCCCATCTATAGCTACAGGGGACTATAGCTATAACTAAAAGGGAATTATTCTTCAGTTTTTTAATTGAACAATATCAAAACAAAATCCAAACCATACCGTTAAAGAAGAAAAAAAGGAGCAAAACAAAAACATTACATTTTTTGAGTAAAATGTAAAAAAGACCCATAGCACTAATTACATCTCTCTTCCTCCCTCCCCTGCCTCTCTGCAAATACATAACAGAGCATATTATTATTTAAAAATATATGTGCAGACTTCATCAAAGGCACTCCAAATATCCATGTAGTTATCCAAGCATAGATTATACCTTGAGGATATGCATTCACAAATAGAACATTTCATTAAATCCTCCATCCACTGTGTTATTGAAGGTAGCTGTTTATCCTTCCAAAATTATAATATTGTTTTTAAATGATGCAAAGAATCCATTTACATTGTGATGAATTCCCAGAGATGGGTAGGTAATTCAAAAGAACACACGTCTCCTTGTATATTAAAGAACTTTCCATCACAAGATGTATGTGAATTATTACCTCCTACCAAAAGGAAATGCCATTGGGCATTGCCAAAACATATGAAGAGGAAACGAAGCATTAGCAGCATTGCATCTCCAACAGCTGGCTAATTTAATTAGGCCCATATCAAAAAGACACGCCATCAAATTTTGCTGCATTAAGTGTAGCCAAAGACCTCATGCAAAATTAATTATGATGCCTTCCATTTATTGGTGAAGATGGGTGTTGGGTTCATTATCCCATTCTTGGTTTAAGATGCCAAATAGCATATTTATTGACTGAGAATAGATATTTTTAGGGACGCATTGTCATTGTTCAGCCTCAGTCAGCCCTTCCCAGAAAACGGCTGAAGCTGTAAAAGCGGCAGGACCAAACTGGGTTTTGCCATTTGTTTCGATGGCAAATAATGCCATGCAGCAGTTGGTGATGGGCATGCAAAGGAGAAAATGGCAGAAAACCACCATTGGGACCAAGATCAGCCTGTCTGCCAAACAGATGTTTTCCTGCCATTTTAAAAGCTGAATTCCTCCTTATAGAGAAATTAATATCCCGTGGAATTCCTTTTGCAAGGGAAGCCACAGAGACGAAACATCCAGACCATCAGAGAAAGTAGCAATGAAATTATCATCTCCCAAAATGTGCTCTCAAAGGGTGCTCTTGTCATATTTTCCTGAATAGCAACTCTACTGGGAACTGTGTGGCATTTTATCACGGTGCGATGTAAGCTGTGCCGAAATTCTCTGGAAGATTCTGAATGTTTCTGTGTGTGTAGTTAAATGCTACCAGTTTTGTTCCATGTCGGGAGAACATCTCAGTTTTGTGGGAGACTAGTTTCTTTTAAGAAAAGGCAGTCTTGTCTAATCAGGAACTCTGGTCGGAAAAGATGCCCCTGTGTTTCGTCTCACATTTTCAGGCACCACGGATGGGCACATTCATTGGCGTCTACTTGCCCTGTCTGCAGAATATTTTGGGAGTCATCCTATTCCTTCGACTGACGTGGATTGTGGGTACTGCAGGGGTGCTTGAATCTTTCATCATCGTATTCATGTGCTGTGCTGGCGTAAGTCCAACTTGTGTATTCCCTGATGCTTAGCTACATCTTACTCTTCCTTCAGACTTTTCTTTTTTTCTTTTTTTTAAATAAGTTTTATTTGAAATTATAATCCTAAAAAACAAAACTACAAACAACATCCATCATCAAAAACATAGAGCCCGCTGGGTCAGCCCCACACCCTTCTTTTTCCATTTATGATAACTTAAAAACATATTTAAATCTATGCGAAGTCCCATTTCTCTAGCCAATAATAAAAAGAGTCCCAAGTTTGATAGAAGTCAGTATCTTCCTTCTCCTTCAGTGATAAAGTCAATCCATCCATTTCTGCACAGTCCAGGATCTTTTTTAGAATCAGTTCATCAGTGGGTAGTTCTTCACTTTTCCAGTGTTGAGCGGTCTTCCTTCAGACTTTTCTGTTTTCTCCTGGTAATGCTGCTCAAGAAGCTGGGAAGAAACCATTTAGAGTAAGCAAAACTAAACTAACTCTAGTCTGTTGGAGGAAGGATATCTTTTAACGTTTTCTATATCTCTAAGCCAAAAAACCACCTTTTTTAAGACTAGGGATTTTCATAAATGAGAACTTCCCTCAATTCAAAAACAGAATTCAGTACCAATTTAGCTGTAGTTTAAAAATAGAACTAGACTGTAGCCTTTTGATGCAATGGAAAGGAAGGCCTGTGCCAAGGAAGGGCTAGACAATAAGCTAATTTCTCCTTTGTCTCAGGATGCAGTCTTCAGTCAATCATCCTTCACTATTGGAGTAAAGGATGATAAGGATGGGAAACTGCAGGCTTTCTGTGTCAAGAGGAGGGCTTAATTGTTTCTGTGGTCCAGAAATTAAAGCAATGCACTTCTGCTTCAATAGAGGAGTCCTAGAGCCCCCGTTCCCATCCTGATATGCTGACAATTTCCCAGGAATATTCTACCCTCTAGGACATCTCCTTTTCCTACCATGCCAGTCCCGGAAGCTGGAGGGATAATGCCCCCAGTGGAGTGAATACCTCAGGAAAAAAGAACGGCCATTTGAACTGGATGCCAATCTCTTCCAAGAAGACTTGGCCTCAGACACACACCTTTGGCCCTCCTCAGTAAGCTCCCAACCGGTGCTAGAGCGACACTCTGGGTGGCTGATGGAGCTGGTGGTGGTGAGCAAACCCATGTCTCCACCTTATGCTGCCTACATGCACCATCTTCTAGTCTATCAATCCCTACGAAGCAACCTAAGTTGGGAATGGTTTACCTCAGTTTCCCTCTCCAGTGGCTCTCTCCCTGCTCAGTCCCTTTTCTGTTGGTGTCAGACATTGACAAGAGAACAGGTTCAAAAGGACGGGCTATTTGAATGACTTCCATACCAAAGCAAGGATCAACACACTTGCAGAATACACATTCAGTTGCTACAGCTCTCAACATTCTCTGCCCTTCACACTATGAGTAGTGAATGTATTATTCTGTCTGGTACAACAAGGACCGTGAGTATGTGATTCCATGTTAAACTTGGCATGTTGTTTCCAGGGTGTGTTTTGTGTGCAGCAACTTCCTCATTGTTTCAGCTAAGCCTTTGGCTTTCTCGTTTGGTGTTCAAAACCATGAAATAGATCATAAATTGAAGTAAATCATAAACTGATCTTAAGGAGGTGAAGAAGTACATGTGGAGGCTTAAATTACTCCATTCATATCTGCTTTCCATTGAAGGGATTAAAAGCTATTTAAAATAATAATTTCCAAAAATTGCAGAAAACTGCCTAGCAAGTTGTGGATTGCGTTGCTGTCTTTGACATTCTTTTAAAAACAGTGTTGTTTTAAAACATAAGCTCTTTCTGAGCAACAATCCTATTTTTAGTCTTCACGAAATGGAAACCTGGATCAGATACAATCTCCTACCTTTGAGGAGGGCAACCAAGGTACCTGTATAATACTGGTTAGAGCACAACATTATCTCAATTAATTCTTGATTAATCTACATTAGGGTCTTGTAGTATCCCTGGATTTACTTACCATGAAACACTTAAAATGCATAATCCTTATTTATCTGTTTAACTGGATTATATAAAGGTCATTAAGGCTTCATGTTTTTTCTCTCTTTCGTTTTATCTTGGACATAGGCAGTATGAGAGAGAGAGTCTAATTTTCAGGGAGAGTTAATTTGTGCAAGGAGGTCATAAATAGGGTATGAAGGCAAATGGGTCCTTCCCCAACAGCTGATTGGCTTGCAGGCAGGTTGGACACGTTCCCTTCACTTTTGTTTCCAACTGTTCTGGTTTAAAATAGCAACATAATTTCCTAACAGCTCATGAGGTAAGATTTTGTTTCCAGCTTCAGAGCCAACGGAATGGGCTTTGTGTCTCTGGAGTGATTTGGGCAAAAGACAGCAACTGTCTGACCCATGCCGTGTTTTCTTCCATCTTGCAGAATGATTTCTTTCTTCCTGAAAGAACAAACCCATTTTTTCTGACTGTCATCCTGGTAGAGTTGATGGATTTGAATATATAGGTTTGCCTTTTGGTTTTTCTGGTAGCTAGATGATAAAATACATGATATTTCCTTTTTTCCCCCTTTTATTTTGGTTCAGGGTATGTGAAACTATAGCATACCATTCCAACAATTTCATACTTCCCCAAAACCAAATGCCCCTTTTGAAAATGTGCTTTTCAATATACGTAGTTTCATTCTTGTGGGTTAGTCTTACAGGTTGTGATACAAACACCGCTTTGCGCTCTTGCAACTAAACTTCCCCTGCTTTCCATTTGAGCAGTTACGGGAAACTCTTTAAAGAAGGAAGTATAAGACAGGCAGACTCAGGGGCATTTGTAATGGCTCAGTTGATTCACATGGCCAAAACTTCAGCTGCTCTAAGGGATTTTGATACCCGGGATTGTAAATACCTAGTCCTTCAGTTGACAGAGAAGGGAAACTTGCAGTAAGGATTGCATTAATTTTGCCCCATGAATGGTTTGTAACACTGGTGAATATTGGGCTCTGAACTTGAAAGGAAGAATGGATTGCAGGAATGTATAGATGACATAGCAAAGGGGATTTGTCTGTTAGGTGAGGTTGCATGGGTGATGGAGCGTCCCACTATCCCATGCCGGAGATCTGTTGATTGACCAGCTACACCAGAGATGAGAAATAGTGCATTGTATTGGTGCCAAGTAAATGCCTTAGATTCTACCTTTCCTTGAACCAGGTGCTTCACTTGCAAAAGCATGTCTTCTGGAAAGATAAACAGATGCTGCTGATAACACCATGTGTTACCTGAGAGTCAGTGTGGTGTAGTGGTTAAGAGCACAGGACTGGGACTCAGGAGATCCGGGTTCTAGTCCCCACTCGCCACGGAGCCAACAAAACTGGGCCAATCATGGACTCTCAGTCTGATCTACCTCACAGGGTTGTTGTGGGGATAAGATTGACAGCAGCAGGAGGGGACTGATGTAAGCTGCTTTGAGCCTGCTATTTAAAAAGTGGGATATAAATCTGATAAACACATGTGTACGAGATTGTGCGTTTATAGTTCCTAGCGCTCTAGAATTTTATATGCGTGCTTTTTAGATGCTCGTACTTCTCAGAGACCTTTATCTCCCTGAACTGCCAGTGTGAGCCTGACAAGGGACAGGGGCTCCTTCCCCAAGCAGGCTGGCTGCCAACAGTGACCTTTTCCGAAGCCCGCAAGCAGCACGCTCCAATATCACCTTTCGGTTTGTGTTTTGCAGACGATGCTGACTGCAATATCGATGAGTGCGATAGCCACAAACGGGGTGGTTCCAGGCAAGTAGAAATTTTTGCTGGCACCTTACAGGATGTTCAAGACACTTCACGAAGGATTGCCGGCACCTCGTGCCCTGCCTGACTCCAGCAGGCAGCAGCCGTGCGCTGGTGTTCTTCACACAGACACACAGCGCCTTCCACGCTCGAGGCGTTAGGGACTTGGCGCATCCTGTTGGAATTGGACCTCTCAGTGGGAACTTGTCTCCTGAATCCCATTGCACTGAAATCCAAGAAGTCCAAAAAGCAGAAGCCAGAAAGCGGTGCTGTACGAATAGATACAGAGTCCGCCAAAAAAAAGGCATACACACTTCTGGGAAGGAAAAACTTGTAAAAATCTTTGAAGACTAAATTTATGGAGACATTATGAGATTAATGCAAGTTACCTTTGGCCTCTACAATGACTAGAGGTGCTCAAAGTGGTGGCCATTAGTCAAAGTGCTCAAAGAGTCCATTAGTTTTGCAGCACATGCATTCATTCATTCATTCATTCATTTATTAAAACATTTCTATGCCGCCCCTTGCCAAAGCCTCGGGGTGGCTCACAGCACCAAATAAAATACAATAAAATACAAACATAGCAATATAAAATTAACAATATAAAAGAAGTCGCCCTGGCGGACCCTGTAGTTGATCATTTTCATAATCAACATTATATTTGGGATGCTACAATATTCTGCATTCATGCTTCGGTATGTTTGGGTATCTGTGAAGATGCTTGAAAAATCATATGCATTTCATGTCTGATAAACAAAATGGAAAACCAAAGACAGATGAGTGTAGAAAAAGATTTTCACCATCTCACTAGTAAGTTATATTTTAATATAACTGTGGATAAACCATGTTTGATGGATACTAATATGAATAATCAATTTAAACAATTTTGAATATATTTTGTTTCAGAGGATAGCTATTTGGTTTTTGAGTGGGGTATATTGCAGCTGTTTGATAATACAGCAGATTTAGAAGTAAATTATGTCATTTTTTGAATGAACATTTTCCATGAAATTGAACATCCAACTGAGAGTAAGTCCTGCTGAATTTAACTGTATGTACTTCTGAATTCTGCCTTGCACTCAAAGAAATTTATCACCAGGTCCAATTTCCTTTGAATTGATACATAGCACTCTTGTATCAATTTAAAGTGGTGGGAATTGCTAGGAAATGCAGTCCAGTTCAGGGTAAAGAACCTTTTTGGCTGCACAAGCATACCCAAAGATAATTCTTGGACATTATCCCTTCTGGCATACAAGATATATTTCCGTTGCAGGTACAGAATCTCCATGCAATTGTTTTCAGACTTGTAAACAACAATTCAAGATATTTAAACTTTAAATACCCAGCAAAGTAGATTGAAATGTGTTTAAATTGTTTTTATCTCATCAAGAATTCCTCCATTCCTAATCTATTCAAGGTCCTTCTCTCTGCACTTCCTGCTACAGCCCAGCTGTACTCTGCCCTAGCTACACAAAATCTATAGCATTTCCTTGGGCATATCTATAGTCAAAATTGCTGTCTAAGATTGCAAAGTCAAACTGTTCCAGTTACAACGCTAATAAAATGCTAGATATGCCACAGAACCCTATGCAGAAATATTATAATAATCTGATTAAACGGAGCAAATCACCACTGGGTATACATCTGAATATGCATAGCAAAATGCTGCAGCCCAGCCCATTTGGTTCGTGTTGCTTATTCATGAGGCTGAAATTGTATGTGATACAGATGGCAACAAGCCAACAAACTCCTGCGATGTTTTGGAAGACCATGCCGGTGGGCCAGGACCTTCTGGTGTCATTTTCGAGTGATTCCCACACCTAGCAATTGGTGCAGTAGAAGTTCAGTCCAGAGCTAAAGCAGATTCTAAGGATTTGGGAAGTTACGGCCTTTCCTCCATACAGTTGGCTGAGTAGAGGATTGATTCAGTTTATATTTGTACCCAAGGACTACCTCTTACTGCCCTTCAAAATAAGAGCTTCAAAAAAAGGCACGCGATCTCTGCAGTCCACAAATGCATAGTGTTCCTGCCTTTTTGACTTAATGGATGTGATCAGATCACTCTTGTAACACAAAAACATTTCCCAGACGGAGCGACTGCACCCGACTGTCCATCACACTCTCTTCCACTATTTCCTCATCCCCCTTGGCTTGTGAACATCAATTCTGCAGTTATTGTTCCAGCAATAATCTTAGCAAGCTCCTTCTTAGTGCTACCTGATACCTACTTTATTATAACTAAGCATTACTTCAGCCAATTAGCCAGAGCAAAACACAGCGTGAGACCTTTTGCTCTTGGCAGATTAGGTAGGCTTCTTGAAGTTGCAACTTGCTAAGACGACTTTTCAGGTATTGTTTGCTTCCAAGTACAACTGATCATTCCTGGATAAGGGGGTATTAGATTCTTAATATTGCTCCTGGAGCGAGGGTGGGGGCAGGATTGGCTTCCTATGTGCTTGGGAAGGGGCTCATTCGATCAGGGGAATGATGCAACTTTCTGAAGGACCTTCTACATCTTGCCCTCGCAGGACCTTAACCGCCTGGTCCTAAAAGGGCTGCACACCCACACTTTCAGGAAACTGCATTAGCAGGAAGCAGCTCCACAGGCCGGGACTAAGTCCCAGGGCGAAAGGAACCACATCGAGTGCGCTTCACTGCTCGGAAGGCGTGTAGGTGAAGTAGCGGATCAGTGGAGCCCAGAGTAAATCCACTCCAGGAAATACAGTTCCTATGCCACATTTCTCCCTTTTAGCTGATTTTTTAAAAATCATCCACGAGGTACACTGTGATACAGAAAACTCACAACGGCCCTGCTCAAGTGATCGCCGAAACTTAAACCGATCCCAGCAACAGGCCAGGGGTTACCTGAATGCTGCTTCTCTTTCCAGGAAGCAATGTTGTCTGGGTTTGGACCACAAGCCATGCCTGGAGGGCAGCAATTTGGCAAATACTGTCCGACAGACGCCAGAGCTTAAACAAGCCATTGTGGCTTATTTAAACCATGGCTCTGTGTGGACTGGGCACTTCTGCGCCTTTTTTAATTTCTTGAAACTCTCTGTAAAAATGAAAGCCTGCTTTTACATTCTACTTCTTCTTGAGCTATATGCAAATAAAATATCGGAATTCTATAATCCACGCATGTTTTAAAAAACCCACACAGCAAAGATCATTTTTCATATTTGAAAGTCAAATCTCACGATGTTCAAATCATGGAATGAGAGTTTTCATTTCGTTGTGCTTTTCATCTCATCTTGTGCAACTAAAGGAAAGATCCAGAAGTGTAGCTGCTTCTGATGGCGGTGGCAGTACTGGTGTTGGGTATGGGCAGAAAAAAGCCCTGTTAGCTGAGACCCATGGGAAGCAATCGGACCCTTTTCTGTTGAAGCATGCCCACAACTGGGCTCTATGTCGTAGTATAAACATCTCTGGAATATACTGGGCACGTTCTGCCTCGTGCTGATGTGCGGTTTCCCAATGTCTTTTCCATAGCTGGTGGGTCATACTACATGATCTCAAGATCATTAGGACCAGAGTTTGGTGGAGCTGTGGGACTTTGCTTCTACTTGGGCACAACATTTGCAGGGGCTATGTATATTCTGGGCACAATCGAAATCCTACTGGTAAGTTGTTGTAAAGTTTCTATCCACTACTATTTTTGAGTTTCAATCAGACTTCCCCTGTTTTCTACTGAAGCACACATAACGATTGTCTAAAAATATTCACATGAAGAAGGATATCCTGTATGGATTTAGTGGAATGAGATGCTGTCTGAAATGGAGGAATGGAGGCCTTAACCATTAGGGCTGTAGGATTTTAATTGATTAATATCCTCAATTAATCTGTTGATAAAAACTGTAGATTAAAAGCACCATTTTAAAAGATCTATTTTCCCTTCTTTTTCACACATCTTCTAAAATATATGCCTGCTGTGACATGTATACCTTTTAAAAATAAAGCAAAATTGCTACTTGTTTAAGATATATTTTACTGATATGAAAATGTAACTACTTGATTAATTGACTAATGGGTTAATGATTAATTCATTGTAAAATAAAATAAACTTAATGACTAGCTTTTCCTCTGTATACTGTTACCTTGAAATTTAGAAACATAACTCTGCCTCCTGGATTGTTTAATTTATCTTTTTATTAGACTATTTGTCATGCCATGTTATATCATGTCTTACTACTGTGTTTTATCAAGAGAAAATTTATACCTAATAGCATAGATATAGTAAGCTCATTTTATATTGTCCATGTAGTCAGCTAAGATTATAAAAGAATGCGAGTTTCTATGCAGAAACAGAAAAGGAACGGGCTAATTCTGACTGCAGCCCTTCCTTTGATTTCCTGCCACTGGGAAGTGGCCCAGCTCTTTGAGTGAAAGCAAACTCCTCTGAAATATTTTTGACAATAGAAAGCACATAAACTGCCAAATATATCTCAAGATTTCCCCCTTTTTATCTACAGTGAATGAAGAGCAAACCCCCCCAACTTTCCAGATGATTAAAACCCCCTCCAGCACCAGTATTCTCCTTTGTATTGTTGCAACCTTGTGCTTCTCTAAGAATATTACTTAAATTATTTAATGCATAATTACCAGAATTGTGTTCACTGTTTCTTTCTCCTACAGAAATACATTTCCCCCAATGCTGCTATTTTTACTGGAAGTGAGGAAGCCATGTTAAACAATATGAGAGTTTATGGAACGTGCATCCTTGCTCTGATGGCAATAGTCGTTTTCGTGGGAGTCAAATACGTGAATAAGCTTGCCCTTGTCTTCTTGGCTTGCGTAATCCTTTCAATTATTGCTATTTATGCCGGGGTTATCAAAACCGCTTTTGATCCACCAGACTTTCGGTAAGTGAACAATAGCTTTTATAGATCCATGGCAACAATTAAGAGCATGTCTTGAATATTTTGAACCTAATTCAGATATGCGGGGAATAAAATCACATGCTGTGCAAACAAGCCTATGAATATTGCCTATGAATTGCTTGGTTAGGAAATTGCATGAAATTTCAGGTACTTTAAAGTCTAGACTCCCTTCCTTTGTTAATCAGGAACATGATGTTCTCCTGTGGATTTTCCCGGACTGCCCTTTGCCGTACAGACTCAAATCCCCAAACACAGTCCTTACTCCCAAGGTTTTGGCAGTAGCAGCAAGGGTGGCCATTTTTGGTACCTCCTGACTCTATGAGATCCCAGAAAATGATAAACATCACCTGACTCAGCCTAGAACTCTGTTGTTGGATGTTCTCATTGGGTGTTCTCACACCCAGTCCCACTGACTCTGCCCAGTAAGTGCATTGAGGAGAGTCCCTTCTTTTTCCAAATGTTGCATTTCTGCTGATAGTAAGAGTCACTAGTACCTCTTAAAATCTACCGCTTGGAAGGGAAATAACCACCCACTATTGTTTTGTTTTTTTTTCACTGCTTTAAGTATATAAAAAGACAAGGGGCAAACCCCCTTTCTGTTTGTGATTCCAGTAAGCTGTTCTAATCCACAATGCCATTGTTCAATGCTTGGTTCTGGTCCAGAATATGGTGCTTGCTAACCTTGATTAAATCAGCCCAGTGTATTGTCAGCACTGACTTGCAGCAGCTCTCCTGGGGTTCAGGCAGGATTTTTTCCTGGCCTGCCTGGACATGCCAAGCCACAGCCTCACCTTAAAACTTGGTTTCTTTTAAGGTCATGTGTCCTTTTACCCTAAGTAAAAACCAGGTGTAAAATTAATATAGTCTGGCTCAGTTTTTGCTTGTCACGTTTGGCATAGCCAGCCTGGAAAGCAGAAGCGAGACCCGGCATGCCGTTCAAACAGATTTCTCTTTATTTTGTAAGCTGCATCTTTTCTAGGGTATTATAAAGTATTGCCAAACAGGATAGCACTATCTGTTTGAATACAGGGATCTCAGTAGTCATCTTATGGTGGTTATCGTTGTTTAAAAGCTACAGTGGTGATTGATTGATTGATTTTACTAGCGTTTGTCTTCTTGGAAACCGGACGTTAGTGAGAGGCAATTACCCTTGTGCCAAATATGTTGAAGTGGAAAATGCGACAATGACTACCTCGTTGTGGAGAATGTTTTGTGAAAATAGCCCCTTTCTAAATGCCACATGTGATGACTATTTCCATCTAAACAATGTCACGGAAATTCAAGGAATTCCTGGTGTTACCAGTGGAGTCTTACTGGGTAAGTCCAAAGCCAGAGACATGACAGCTGAGTTGGTAGCCAGAGATGCAAAGAGGGTGTGTTTTTCCACTCACAGTGGGCATCCTAGAAGGATGTGCTTTAGCTCCTTTTTAAGAGCAGTTTATGTTTACTCTCATTCCTACTAATTCTCGTCAAGCTGGCTTGATTACCTGGATTGCCGTGTGACTCCTCATAGATGGTACGTGTGATGTGAACTGCTTCTTAATTGAGGTCGGGCCCAAACAGTATCTCATCTTCAGCATCTTTCTTCCCCTGGTACAACTTTTGGATACCTTGGTTGTTCTGTTGCACATGTAGTCCATTTAATAACCTTGTGCATGACTTACCTATGCGATTTATCTCTGCCACCGTAAGATGTCATTTCCAGTAGGAATTTAAAAACCAAAAAACCAAAAATCTAGTTGTATACCTGGCTACCCTGATCCACACAAGCGATGGTTTTCAGTAATACTCGGGAAACTTCAAGTAGTTGGAGCAATTGAGGTTTTCTTATTGATAAAGATAAGTATTTTGAGGAATATTGAAAGAAGCTAGTATATGATACTTCTGGTACATGTAAACAGCTGCACTTCATTCCTCACAGATAATTTGTGGAGTGTATATGGGGACAAAGGGTCAATTGTAGAGAAACAAGATCTTCCCTCAGTTCCAGTTCCAGAAGAGGCCAAAGTCAAATCAGCGGCTTACGTGTACACAGATATCATGACCTACTTCACGATGCTTGTTGGGATCTATTTTCCATCTGTGACAGGTATTGCTTTTCTCACTTTCCCTTTTGTGTAACTGAAGCAATTGTGCACTTCCTAGAACCAAATTGTGTGTTCCGTTTGCCTATTCTAATTCCTCCTCCAGAAGGAGGATGCAGGTCCTTCCATTCCACAGATGCAGGCTACTTACCTTCAGATGCACGGGACTGCCCTTGCCTTGTTCCACACCAAATTCTGTGTTCAAGGAAACCACCATGTTCCCAGTTGTTCGGCATGTTTTTTCCCCAATCCTTTGCCAGTCTTAATTGTTTACCACCATGATTTCCAGACGCTCCTCCTTCTCGATACCTTTCTGTATTTACCATATTGCATCAACACTACAGCCGAATGCCAAAATGGCACTCAAGGGGCTGCCGTTTGCCCAGTGTTACCGCTCTTCTCATTTAGGAGCTGCAATATTTTCCTAAGTATTGTTCAAAAAATATACCTCCCTCCCTCTCGCCCTCCCTCCCTCTCTGCTGTCTTGTTGAAACAGGCTGGCTCCCAAGTTTTGTTTCTCTTTTCATGCAGCAAAGAGGTGGCAATAATTGGATGCTTAAGCATGTTTCTGGTAAATACCAACTTACGGAATAAGTGCCTACAGAGAAAAACTCTTCCGTCCTTTGTAATTAATTGCACACAGGCAAAAATTGCCACACATTATTAGAAATCCCAGCATTTGTCTTAAGTGCAGCTTAGCTGGTGGTTCCTGTCGAAAGCCCTGCTATAGAATAGCATATTCTATAGTATATATTATTATTATTTATTATTATTATTATAACATTTCTATGCCGCCCCTTGCCGAAACCTCGGGGCGGCTTACAACATGATAAAATACATTGAAATACAATAGTACATAATAAATTACCATTACATATAAAAATACAAAAAATACATTGATTTACAAATACAAAATTAAAATTATCAGTATAAAATAAAAATATAGGAGGAGAAAGAGAAGGAAGAAGAATCATATAGAACTTCGTTGGCTTGTGAAGCTGCCTGATATTTATTTAATGGCCTTCCATCCTTTTCCACTATTAATACTATCTTCAGCTGCAGTGCTTCCAGTTCAGAATTCAAGAAGGCAGCTCAGTATTCAATTCAGTGAGTCCAAAAAAGAATGAACGTTTTGATGTAAAAATCTGAGTATACTTTACTCGGCGTTCGAGTTTTGCTGGCACAAAAGATGTATTTTTAGGTAGAGTATAAAGAAGTCCTGTATATGAGACAGGGCGTATTATTGTACTAAGGACTGCCAGAAAAGAGAATAAACTGGAATATTGTCAGTTTCTCTTTTGGTACCTGACACAACGCATTCTTTGTACTGCTTTGTATTTTTTTATTCCTGTCAGCCAAGGAAGAGGCTGTCTGAACTTGTTCTCTGATGTCAAGAATACTCTGGAAACTTAATACATTTGCCATGTCATGAAGGTCTTCAAAATAGCCAATTGGCTAAAAAATATTGATCTACAGTGTTGAATGTGGAACTCTTCCATGTAAGCCTGCAACATAGCACACTTTGGACTGAGCTTTTTCTGCTGTCCCTTCCTTATGTGGCGATCCCTCCAAAGGATGCAGGGAGACCAGTTTTGGCCCTTGGCCACCGCATTTTCCATCTCGGCATTAATCTCACTATAGTGGTGAAAGAAACAATCCCGCTGTGAAAATGTGCATGTTGGCAAACCTTCAGGGTCACAAGGGGGATGCAGCCTGGTCGGGATGGGGGAGGGACTTGGTAAGAGTCCCAAGTAGTTTGCGGTGATCTAGTTCCACTTCACAGTGTGAGCAAGTCTGAGTCTTTTCTTAGCGGCCGAAGGCAACCCAGGGCGCTTATAGTGCGGACTGTGGGCCCTCATTCTGTTAACATCTCTGTAAAGCATATGCACAGAGAGCTGACTAAAACCAAACAGAATGTTTCTAGTCAGAGCTTGGGCATCACCAAATGCATTTTTCAGAAGGCAGCTTTCCCCCTACACACACACACACCCCAATTATATTTCCAGAAAAAAAACCTTTTATGCCCAGTGACTTTTTCACTGTTGACTTTGGGTTATCTAGCTTCTCTGTTTTTTATTTAGAACATGATAAACAAGGGACTTTTGTAAGGATGGACTCATAGAAATATGGAATAGGAAGGAAGGTCAGTGAAATGCTTGTCTTGAGGAGAGAAATGCTTTGCATAACATACCCCTGAGATGAGTTTGCTGCAGCCTTTGCCCCTAGCCCCACAGCCTTAAATTATAGGCCCAACAAAGCTTAAAAGAGTAAAAGAGTGAACTAATTCTGCCCAGTGAAGAAGAACTGAAATACTTTTTTCTGCCTAGCAGTCCTCTAGATTTTGGGAAATTGCTTTCAGCATGCAAAACTTTTATATACAACTCTTTCCCCTTTTAATTGTAATTTGTATCTGAATCATTTAATGATCCTGGTTCCTTCACCTACAAGGCTTGAAATCCTTCTTTGAACTGTGATGTTTATGGAGTACTTGTACATACTGGGAATACAAAAACTAATTTTATCAGAGTTTTTCACAGTGGTATATAAAGTATGTCCACCCTGATTCTAAAAAAAACAAACAAACAAAAACTGAAAAAACTAGCATGCACACAGTGAGTGTGTTCGATTGGCGTAACATTTTAATGTGAGAGTAAAATTTCACCGGCAGCTGCAATTAATCTGCATTCCTTTATTCAGTGCACAGGCATTATCTGTACATCTGTTTGTAGGACTGACAGTTGGCAGCCACTCTGAGAATTTTGAACGGCTATTGAAATGCAAAGCACACAGACTCATTGGCTCCCTCCCGCAGTAGCCGGCGCTTCTCGGAGCTCTTTAGACTTTCTAGGTGGCCTTCTCAGCCCTTTCCACACAATGCAGCCCGAAGCCTTTGTTTACTTTCTCACTGCCTGAGCTCAGCCTGTGTGATCAACCCGTGTCCAGGCCTTTGTGTGACCCGGATGTTGAAACACTTGTGCACGTGATTTTGCCTGATGTTTAATTCATTTTTTTCTCAATAGAGCTGAGCCAGTTACATCTATCAAATTAACATCCATTGGAATATACTTGTCTTTGTTGCTCAGCAGAAATAATCTCACTGCACCTGATTTTTATGATGCCTTGTTTGAATTTTGGTTCTAGGCATCATGGCAGGTTCAAACAGGTCTGGAGATCTTCGGGATGCTCAAAAATCTATTCCTACTGGAACAATTCTGGCCATTTCAACAACATCATTTATCTGTATCCTTTTAATGCAATTTAAAGAATGCAAGTATTTGGTTTGTCTGTATTTTGATTTGCAACTGAGAGTATGTTGTTTGATTTGAAGGTTATTCGGAAGGCCTATATATCATAAATACAGCAAAACCACACCTTGAGGAAATCCCAACATTTTATTTAGTTCTTATAAACATGTTAGGATTAGACCAGCCAATCTCCAAACAGAAAGAATTGGCCTTTCCAGGAATACAGGGAAGTAAACTTATCCTATATTTGGTAAACCTGCCCTTAAAGTTATACAACAGAGCCTTATACATTGGTTATTTTAGATGGAAACTTAAATGTAACACAAGGCTGCTTGTCAAATTTAATGCCTTGAAGAGACAGGTAGAAAGAATAAGTGTCTGTAATAGGACGAAGTGTAAAACAAAACAATGAAATTCTAGGAGGGAAAGATTTCTCTCTCTTCTACTTGTATTGTTTCCTTTTTGGAATAGTCTATGTGGAATAGAAATTAAACAGTCAAAATTAAACACTTGCAGGTCCTCCTAGTTTCAGTGGGAGAGTTCAACACACCTGTAATTCTTTCTTGGAGAAATCAGTAGAAGTTAGAAATATTTAGCTTTCATTAGAATACGCCTTCATGCTATTCTGCTGGTGCTTTTCAAAAGTCTGGAAGACCTCTCCCCTACAAAACATTATGCGCATTTAAGTTCCTTGAGTCTTAATTACAGATCTGTCTTGTATAGTCCTCTTTGGAGCATGCATTGAAGGAGTCGTCTTGAGAGACAAGTACGTAAGAGAGTGTTCCTCACATCTTTTTTCAAACTTGCAGGTGCACACTTTAGCTGGAGATTGCTTGGATTGGTGGGATTTATCCTGCACCCTGAAAGAATGAAACAGGATATAGGAATTGGTCATCATCTAGAAGCTGAAACAGATGCCGTTGCCCTTTCTAACTTGACTTTTTGTCATGCACTGTAAGATGTATATACTCATGTCCATGTTTATGTACGTCTTCCGAAAAGTAATTTGGCCCTGGATTTGGGCAAACTGAGCTAGCAAGCTGTAGAATGTGTCGAACTGTTCTTTGTTGAATGTTGTGTGTATTTTTACCCCACCAGATTTGGAGAAGCCGTTAATGGAAACCTCGTGATCGGTACCTTGGCCTGGCCCTCTCCTTGGGTCATCGTCATTGGCTCATTCTTTTCCACCTGTGGGGCCGGCCTCCAGAGTCTCACCGGTGCCCCTCGGCTGTTGCAGGCGATTGCAAGAGATGGCATTGTCCCATTTCTCCAGGTGGGGTTTTCCCCCTTGCTTTTACAGTTTTGCTGCAAAGCGGTGCCCGGTCCTACACTCTTAAACTGCAGTAAGGCACACGGAGGCTGAACGGTCAGTCGGCTGGAGCGAACGATGTTCAGGCTTTGTGGTTCAAGGAGAGGTGAATGCCTGGTCTTAGCTTCAGAGTTCTGGTATGTTCTGGGACAGAAACACTCCATTGCATGAGTGCTTGTTTCATACCTGATCTATTTATTGCATTCCTTTGCTGAAGCTGGGAGTGCCAGCTGGAAGCCCTGGTGGGGAAATGCTGTAGTATACCTTAATTTGGGATTGTGCCTTGACCAGGATCCTTCGCAGGAAAAGAGTGAACGGGGGTCTCAATTTTTGATTATTCCTTCTCCCAGGGCTTTGCGATGCACTCTGGAATGGGATGGTTCTGGCACTCCTCTCCCCATCCCCCATGTTAAGGAGAGGGGGAAAGAAGGAAAGGGCAGGGAGAATAGAGGGAAAGGGGAACAGGTAAACCCCAAAGCCTGCTTCCTATCTCTCCCCAGAGAAAGCAATAGGCACACTGATTCAGAAATAGTATTTATTTGTGGACTGTAGGAGTGCCTTCTTAATTTGTTGAAGTATTTTTATTTGTGTGTTCTTCCGAGCCTCTGTAACCATTTAAACAGACTTTTTGTTAATGAGGAAAATCTGGTATTCCCCGGATTGGCGGCATGAAACCCGGGTTAAATTGTGCAACTTTGCTACACCACAGTGCCACCTAGCACTTCTGTAATGGAAGACCTGGAAAGACAGAGGAGGAAATCCCCAGGGAGAAAAACAAATAAAAGAGCTAATCTTAATCCTTCAAAGAATCTTGGAAGCATAAATCTTAGCAAAGTGATGGGGGAAATCCAGAGGCAGAAAAGGTTTTGGCGCACAGAACAGCAACAATAGATTATTTATGAGCCCAGATCTTTCTGTATTTTTTCATAGTCTCTGGCATCTGATGTATGTAACTTAGCAGTTGGTTATTATTACTCATTACATTTCTCTACTGCCTGTAGCTGAAGCTCTCGCAGCATTAAGTCACCCATCCAGAGATCAACTAGGCCTGACCCTGCTTAGCTTCAGTTTGGGCAGGATCAGGCACTTTGGCTGGTCAGTATGTGCCTCTTCCAGCACCTGAGAAAAAGCATCTAAGTAGAAATGCTAAGGCCAGCTTGCACCATGAATTGTGTGTAACAAACCATAGCTGGAATTCAGCAGTTTGGCATAGTTGGAATTTAAGTTTGGCTTAAGCTGATATTGGGTATTTTTAGATGACTATTTTGAATAATTCATTATTCCTTTCTGAAAATGATCATCAGGTCTTTGGGCATGGAAAATCAAATGGTGAACCGACCTGGGCACTGCTCCTCACAGCATTCATCTGTGAGATTGGCATTCTCATAGCTTCTCTGGACAGTGTGGCCCCAATCCTCTCTATGTAAGTATGTACCAAGAAGCTTTAGTAGATGGTTTGAATTTTGGACTTGATAGGAATCAATAATATTCTTAATTGCTTTGTGAGCTCTTGAAGCTGTCAGGATAGAGAATTGCAGTGAGAGAGTTACAAGAAACAGGATAAATTTAAATCCAGTATTGTATAAGGAAGCATCTCCTTCCGGATCTCCCAGCTGAAGTCTCTGTTTTCCCCTCCCAGCTCTGCTCTGGGGGTCACCCAAGTCTTCTGTTTTATGGGGGCTCATTGGGGACATAGTAAGGCAGCGAACACTGTTCTGTGATTGGTAGATGGCCAGGGTGGATCCAACTCAGAATTTTGCATATGCAGAGGACAAAGCTACTAAAAGCGTAAATCCAGTGCGTAGGGGGAAAAGAAAGGTCCCCGCTTCTTCATCTAATAGATTTATACCACTTATCTTATTTTTAAAAAAATCTGAGTCGTTTCCTCCACGGATAGCACAGTAACTGCGCAAGCTTCAGGAAGAGTTCCTTCTCTGCCAGGCTGTTTGTTCAATGCTGTGGAATTCTGGGTAGTCGCCCGCGTGGAATTTCTTATTGCCTGTGGTGAGCAGGCGACTTGTTGAAGGCAAGGCTGGAATAAATGAAGCTGCATCTTCCAGAGGGGAGACCATTGGTGGCAGAAGCGCTGCGGCAAATGGAATGTACCATTTCTCCCCACAGCAGGGCTACACTTAACCCCTCCAAACCCAGCTTTTGTCTTGAATGGTCCTCTGTCATTGGACCATTTTGGAACAACACAGCATAGAATTGACTATTCAGATGCCTCTGTCCACCATGGGCTTGATTATGCAGAATTGTTAGACAGACCCTTTGCACCAAAAGACCCAGAAATTGTTAGAATTGCAGAATTGTTAGACAGACCCAGAAGCCTTGAAACTTAACTCTTCATTCACACCACTTCCCCTCTTTTTCTTTTCCTTTCTTCACCCTGTTCCCAGGATTAGAGTGAATGGTGGCACTCATTAAAAATGTCCATGTGGTTTTCCTTGCAGGTTTTTCCTCATGTGCTATCTGTTTGTGAACTTGGCCTGTGCTGTTCAGACTCTTCTTCGTACACCAAACTGGAGACCTCGTTTCAAATATTATCACTGGTACAGCATGTTCCTTACCAATGTATTTCTTCGAAGGCGAAAGCAAGCATTTATCTTTCGCCCATAAGGGATTTTATAGGTACCCCAGATGTTGTATTTTGGTTCAGAATGCATATCATCATTTTTCATCGCTAAAGCTGGTAAAAGAGAACGACATTCCTCTAAGAAACAATGGCAGGAAAGTCTTGGGTGATTTAAATGTTGCGAACTGCCCAGAGAGCTTCTGCTACAGGGCAGTGTAGAAATGTAATTAATAATAAGGAAAATCTTACTTTTTAGTTAGCTAGAAAAGGAGGATACTTTTAGAACAATCACAACGACAGCTGCTGTTAAACAGGTTAGAAGTTTTAATGGTCTCTTTCATGGGATAACCGGCTCTTGGAAAAAATTAAAAACTGCATTTTCAGACAGTTTTTGTCAGTTCCAGGTGTTCAGAAGAAAATATAACAGAAATGTATTTATTGATAGTTCTTAATACTTTTCTAGCTTATGGGAGTGGACTGCTCTGTAGTATTGATCTTTTATTTAGACCAGAGAGGAGAAGGAAAAATAGACATATTTCCCCCCATGATACAGATCATTGGTACTGGTGCTTACTTTTGCTCTCATTTGAAACATTGGAAATGAAGTTGATCCATTGGCATGCGAACAAATAAGCACACAAAGATCAATTTTATCATTCATTGTGTTAGATTTATACCCCACTTTCTTCCTTTTGCAAGGAGCTCAAGGCAGCGTACATAATTCTCATCTTCCTCTCAATCATATCCTCTCAGCAACGGCCCTGTGAGGTAGGCTGGGCGGCAAGTCTGGGACTGGCCCCAAGTCAGCCAGTTGGCTCCACGGCCAAGTATGGACTAGAACCCAGGTCGCCTGAGTCGCAGTCCCACACTTTTAACCACTATGCCACACCAGCTCTCAGACAGCATATTATCTCGCCTCAAACCATATCTTAGAATTAAGTTAATTTTGTGCATACAAACAGCACAATTCAGGGCTCATTTTTATTACTGTTAAAAGGGCATAGTTGTAGATTAGAGAATAAATGTTGGAAGTCTGAAATCACACATCACTGAGAAACGTGTTCTCTGCAGAAACAAGTATGTGCATAAAAACCTGCCCAGAGACCCTTTCTGGCTAATGGAGTGGGATTGAAGTCTAATAAATAAATGCATAAACCAATAAAAGTTCAGATGCACATATTTAAATTGAAAAGTGATGGCTAGAATGCCTTTTTCCGCCTTCTTCTTGCCTTCCTTCCTGGTCTTATAAACAAGTAAATGCTGATTGATCAATTGGGAAAGATCCAGAAGATTGCGCCATCAATGAATACAAATACAAAACCTGCAACTCATTTTTTAAAGCCTACAGAACTTCAAAGCATGGTTTGCATGTAATGAAGCAGTAAACTATAGACCAATAAAAGTTTGTGTCACAATAAATTAACCTGTAACATGTGACAACTTTTTAAAATCTTTTCACCATGATTATTTAACCATGCTCTTCCCATGGCTTCACATGTTTCCCTGGAACATTTCAGAGTTTGGTGCTTGTTGATGCTTTCTTGAGATCACAATCAATGTCACAGTAATATCAGAGTCACTTACCTTTGTCCAGTGATTCCTGGACATTCTTGTAGCTTAGAAAGGTAAAGGTAAAGGTTTCCCCTTGACGTTACATCCAGCCATGCCTGACTCCAGGGGGTGGTGCTCATCTCCGTTTCCTGGCCGAGGGAGCCAGTGTTTGTCCGCAGACAGTCTCCGTGGTCCTGTGGCCGCATGACTAAACACCGAGGTGCACGGAACGCTGTTACCTGCCCACTGGAGTGGTACCTTTTCATCTACCTGCATATGCATGCTTTCGAACTGCAAGGTTGGCAGGAGCTGGGACGGAGCAACGGGAGCTCACCCTGTTGTGCAGATTCGAACCGGTGTCCTTTCGACCTACCAGTCCAGCAGAAGCCGCCCCGAGGCTTCGGTGAATGGGGCGGCCTAGAAATTTTCTAAATAAATAAATAAACCACTGCGCCACCTGCAGTCCCTTGTAGCTTATTGTAACCTAAAATATCTGTAATTGCAGAGGCTCTGTGTTACTCTGCTAGCTTTCGTACATGTTACCGACTTAGACTATTTGTTTGCTTTTAGGACCCTTTCGTTCCTGGGGATGAGTTTGTGTCTTGCATTGATGTTCATCTGCTCTTGGTATTATGCCTTGGTCGCCATGCTTATAGCAGGATGTATTTACAAATACATAGAATACAGAGGGTAAGAGCACACATCCATTTGATCTTCAGCATCAGTATTCAAATACTTAATCAAACAGCCTAATAATGAATCAGTTAGCTCCCCAGAGAGTCGTCCTGACTAATGGGCAAGATAGAAATTTAGCCAATGATTAATAATATAATAAGGAATTTAATAGGAGATTTCTTCCTTCCCAGTTTTATCAACCAGCAAAAGTCTGATGAATTGTCTTTTCACCCAGAGAAATGAATATCTCCCATTGACATTTATGGAGTGAGGCACATCTTATGAGTTCACAACCCAAAAGTTTACTTGAAAGTTATTCTGCTTGCCCACGTTTAAATGATACAACACTGTCACTCGCTGTTTGTTCAAGACAGACGCTAAGTAATGGAATCCTTTCTTGTAGATAGAATTGCAGGGCATCTGCCTGTTCCGGAGTTGTTGGCACCTGATCCTGGGGGGCTCTGTATGGTTGGAGAGAGGCAGACGGGGGCCTTGTGCGCTGTAATTACGCCTATCACACAAGGCTGTGCATAGAGACACACAATTATGGAAGGCTTGGTGCCAGCAGAGCATCTGACCCACGCAGGAAATAGTTGCAATGGTCGCTTTTACCATGGGGAGAGTAACTCGCAGGAATGAACATGGGCCCTTCTGTGACTCACCAGTTGCTTCCGTGCAAGGAATGTTCTTGACAGATGCAGTCTTTGGTCAGTTACTCGGCGATGGTCGTTTCATCCATTCTGGGGGCTAAAGCAGCTTTCCCCAGCTGGCATCCCCCAAATGGTTTGAACTACACTGTCTGTAATTCCTTGGAACCATGGCTGTACTTACTGAGAGTTATGGGGTTTGTAGTCCAGTACCTTCAGAGGGCCCCAAGTTGGGAAAGAATTGGCTAAAGTATATCTTTTAAGTTTACTTAAATTGATGCCAAAGTAAGAAAAGACTGGTTTCTTTCTCACCTTCAACCGGTAACTTCTAATCACAAATCCACTAAAATACTGAATTACATTTTTTTCCTGAGTTACATTTTTTTCTAGCAGAAGCTTTTATCCACACACTTTCATGTGCAAGGAATCAGCTTTGCTGCATTTCAAAGATACAACCTCAGAGAAAGTATACCTCTAAAGTGAAATGAAACTCCCAAATTTGTGCCACTCTGAACCTCAAGACAGTTTCGCGCATTGTCTTCTGTATGATAAGGCAATAATGCTATTATTCTAAGCGTACAATTTCAATGGCTATTTTTATTGTGCCTTTTAAGAGCTGAGAAAGAATGGGGAGATGGAATCCGGGGGCTGTCCTTGAATGCCGCTCGCTACGCTTTGCTTCGGGTTGAACAAGGTCCTCCTCATACCAAAAATTGGAGGTAGGAATAAATCCAGATGCTTTAAAAGCACAATTCCATGCATGTTCAAGTAGGAAAACGTCCTGCAACTTTCAGCATGGATGGCTGGGAAATGCTAGGAATTGCAATGTTTTTTCGGTCTAAACATGCGTAGGATTGTGACCTTTGCTACAGTGTCATATCCACTTACCTGAACTCAGTAGGACTTACTTCTCAATAGACATGCATAGAATTGCACTGTAAGGAATGAATTTCAGAAGGGGTCTGGTATGTATAACCATTTTGAAGGTTACTTTAAAAAAATGTATTTTTCCTTAGTGTCGAGAAACATTTTTAAAGCAGATTTTCTTGAGAGTGAGTTCCAGCCTATAAATAGTGTATCTGATTCAATAATTCTCTGCTTATTAAACTGTTTCCTGCCTGTTTACTTGTTGAACACACCACATCTGCTCTTCACAGAAGCAACTGGAAACTTTCACTTCAGATTTTGATTAACCACAGCATGGTGCTTTGTCCAAAGAACCTGTGGTTTGTTAATCTTAAGCATGGTTTGTTTGAAACCAGCCAACTTCAGACTTCAAATTACCATAGTTAAGATTAAGTACAGTTTAAGGTTGAATTAACTGTGGTCAATCAATAACAGAAGCAGAAACTTCCTTGCAGAGAGAAGGGGAAAGCAGACAAATTTCCCATCAAAAATTTATTATTCTATTGCTCCAATTTATCCCCAGAAAAACAACCCTGTGAGGTAGGTTAGGCTGAGAGTGACTGACTGGCCCTAAGTCACCCTCTGAATAAAGCTATGGTTTATTGTAATGTCCACAGTGGCCCAGTAGTTTATAATCCTGGCTGTCTATTATTAATCTTCCACGAGTATATCATTTATCTGTGTATTAAAGCTTTCTCCCTCTTAGTTTCATCTTCCCTTGCATTCTCCCAACTCCATTTCTTCTGGTATTTTCTTTCTTTCTCTTATATTCTCTTTCTCTGGCCCGTAACTTTGCTTGTTCTGTATTTAAGCTCCATCCAGATCTCCATGTCCATATGAAGCCCTTCCAAAACCTCTCCTCTCCCTGCACCTACTGTCCGTCTTTCTCTCTGCTTTCCATGTGTGAGGTCCGAACCCACCACTGTTATAACCCTTAGAACCCCAACAGCCCTCCTGAGTCCTCTGTCATCGTGTTCTTGTCACTAGCAAAGCGTGTCTTGTGATGGATGAACTGAAGGTTTGCATATTCCCTGGGACCCGGAGAAGGACGCACGCCGTAGCCCCCTGTGAAAGGAACCCCTTTGGAAGGGTTCCTAAGTTGCATCCTTCACTGACGGAAATGTCAAATAAAAAAGACTATCTTGAACATGCAATCAGGTGAAGACTCAGGTCTGCCTCTGGGGACCCCAGCGACTGGGAATGAGAGCAGCTTCCGTCTGCTGATTGTGTTCTGCATCATGGTCAGGCTGCTCTTTCACAGAAAACTGGGAACTGTAGATATTGAGGTTATTGTCATAAATTTGAATTTTTTGATCTCATAATTCCCCACTGTTTATTTTAACATTGCACTTTAGGCCACAAGTCTTGGTTCTGTTGAATTTGGATTCAGAACAGTTAGTAAAACACCCTCGGTTACTTTCCTTCACCGCTCAACTGAAAGCTGGGAAGGGCTTGACCATTGTGGGATCCGTAATCCAAGGAATATATTTGGATAAATACACAGAAGCTCAAAGGGCGGAGGAGGTAAGCTTTCCAAAAATCAGCAAGCATAATACTTAAGTGTATTAGTAAATGTGTTTGTGTTCAGATACCATAGATCAGGGTATGGCAATTCACTCCTTTTCTTCTTCAGTCCAGCTATGAATAATTAAGCTAAGTTTTAAATATTGGAGTTACAATATTTTTGGATGAATGTATTCAATACTACTGTCTATTTTAATGAAGTTACATAGTATAGTTTTGTGGTGGATGTTTACATAATGACAAGCACGTACACATTTGTTTGATCTAGTTACTAATATTTCCAGTTGTCATTCTGTCCAGTTACTTTTTAATATTTGTTTTACAGTTTCAAAAATAGTGCAGAAGTACAAGTATATTAAATGTGTAACACATTCCAATTCCCCCCATTTTCCATGTGTGCATGTTTAATTCCAAAACCCTCATATAGCGCAGTTCATGTATTGGGTTTTTCACGGTTCTGTTTCTTCTGATATACTGTATAACCATAAGCCACGCTTCCTCAAAATCATCTTTGGCTCTCATGCTTTTCAGAACTTTAGGTTGCTATATTTTATCCAGTTATTTAATATCTCGGGCAGTTTCTTACTGCTTTAATTACAATAACCAGTAGAGAATACAGGAGCAAAATCAGTTTCGCCGTGTTTTAAGACTTTGGTCCAGTGCTGATTGAACATTTTGTGGATCTTCAAATCATGATTAAGGGCAGCATCCCATGTAACCCACCTGCAACCCTGCAAGCTTGGAAGATTCAGTGACGGGTGGAAGGAGCATGGATGCAAGGATTGCCTAACGCTTACTTCTTCCAGCCTCCAAACCAGACAGCCAAAAACTTTACACTAGCTCATGGCGAAGTGAGCTGGAGGCATCACCAGGGTTCCTCATAGGATGGTAGAACCTCCTACCTAGCTTCCCCCTACCCTTGGACCACCACTTCTCCAAAGCTGGACCTTGTGACATGGGGGGAAAAAATTCAGCTGCCGGGACGGAGGAAGAGCACTCCAAATTTGGAGTCTCCACTCTGACTGCAGAGCATTTCTCAGCTGCCATTATTCTGTGTCCATCTAAACCGCATGTCGCAGCCGTAGGATTGCATCCTACAAGGCTGAAAGTATTCTCCTTGTCCTGTGAGCTGTTTGCCCTCTTTCCCACATGAGTGAGTGGGGATGAAGGGAATCGAGTGGGAGGGAATGTGGGAGAAAAGCCTGTAGCCCTAAGCTGTTAACCTTACTTAAACGTTAGGTAAAGGTCAAGGTTTCCCCTTGACGTGAAGTCCAGCCATGCCTGACTCTCGGGGGTGGTGCTCATCTCCGTTTCCTGGCCGAGGGAGCCAGCGTTTGAGCACAGACTGTCTCCGTGGCCGTGTGGCCGGCATGACTAAACACCGAGGTGCACGGAATGCTGTTACCTGCCCACCGGAGTGGTATCTTTTCATCTACCTGCATATGCATGCTTTCGAACTGCAAGGTTGGCAGGAGCTGGGACGGAGCAACGGGGGCTCACCCTGTTGTGCAGATTCAAACCGGCGCCCTTTCGATCAACCAGCCCAGCAGCACAGCGGTTTAACCCACTGCGCCACCTGCAGTCCCTCAACCTTACTCAAGAGATGACAAATGCTTTCTGGCAGGCCTATGTAGCAATCATGGGTGTACCACAAAGATGCTCACCCAATGGCATCAGTAACCATGTGGCTTTTACATTGGCCTGGATTTATTTTCCGCGTGTTTTCTGTAAATGTTTAAATCAAACGCCATGCAAGGTTGTAACTTCACATTGGACGCTCTTTGTGAGAGCATGCAAATATATTCCCTAGTGTAACCAATTTGTTTGCAGGGGCAAGAGTATAAGCATTAAAAAACCACATTACTCTTGGCAATACAGTACAACACTTGGGCAGTTACATTGGGTTAGTGTGCTTGATTAATTAATCAGTATTAATACTGATTAATCAAGAGGGACTGCCCCACATTTTAGTTTAGGGTTAGTGTGCTTGATTAATCAGTAATTAATACTGATTAATCAAGAAGGGCTGCCCCACATGCTGGTGACGAAGAGCACTCACAATCATTGCCTCTAATAAGCCGTGTTTGTGGGGTTGGTGCCTCACCGTCGTTCTCGTGGGTCTGGGGCATCCTAGCTGGCTCACTGAAAACCACGAGCCTGTGACAAGCAATTTATGATTTTTTGCCTTTTAAAAATGAGTCGGAACCAGACTTGTTCTTGCACAAGTGGAGGTACCCTCTCTGTTTGTGGGAAGGACTGAGTGAAAGGCACTGGGCAAAAGAGGCATCGACATAAACAGCTTCCAACACGATCCCATTTCTCCAGAGAAGCATGGCAGAATTTGGCTGGATTCTGTGCGTACGTAATGAATATTTTTCCTGGCATTTCTAGGTGGGTGTGATCCTTCTCTTTCCCTTGAGCCACCTGCTCTTATACCAGAAGTTAAACCTGGCTCAACTTTCCCCAAGAAAAAGATAGTTTACTAGCCATATGCCGGGGTCTGTCGTTTCTCTCCCTGAATTGTGTTGCTACTGTTTTTTCACGTGATCAATTTTAGCACACGGCTACGTGGCTGTCGGCGTCCCTCCCTTTGATGCATTAAATTGTGCGTCCAAAGTCACCGCACTTCCAACTGAGCTGCATTCAGGAAGGCCCAAAATAGTTTCTCGCTCTGCAATATGCAGTTAAAACGAACATGAAATCATTTGTAGCACAGTGCTTAAAGCCAAATGCTTTATTCTTAGCCCGTGTGAAGTCAGCATTTATTTAAATGTAGCACCCGTTTAATATTTAACAAGACAGTGAAACTCGGATTTCAGATGCCCGAAATAATTCCAGGAGAAATTAGATGTCTCAGCAGTTCCTAAATGGTTGCCAAGATGAATTTTTAATCACAGTTGCTTGATTATTTAAAATCTGATACAGTGATTGCTTTACTGTGTTCCAAAATCTAAAAGGTGTTTCGAAAATTGCCTTTGGATGCTAAAATAGTAAGGTACTAGAGACAGGATTTTGAAGGGGGAGCTGTGTTGCCACAGGAGAATAGTTAGAAGAGAGATTCTCCAAGTCTTTTCTGAGGCTGCAGAAGGATTGAAGGACTTTCTGTGGACTGAAATAAGTTTCAAGAGCGTCGGAAAGCAGCAAAATACATTGCTTTTTCTGAGGCTCAAGCATGCATGAGGGGTATTCCCCCTGTCTTCCTCCACCTATATACTTTTCCCAAGATTTGTGTTAGAACTCAATTACTGGGAGTCCTTTTTGCTCGAGGAACAAAAATGTCAAGTACCACTGGTAAAAAAGACATTTAATATTTTACGGTCTATTCAATTAACTGGGAAGGTCACAGTCTAGAAGTACAGTCTGCCCTGCAGAATAATCCTGCTGCTTGCTTTTAAACAAAATCTTTTAATCTGAGAGATCTGTCCTTAGTATGGCTGAAATACCATCTTACAAGTTTGACCCATTTATAACATACTGAATTAACAGCAAAATACAAACAGGGATTCAAACCAGGAATAGCTTTGTTCTGTACAGATTTCTCTAACCTTCGATCTTATGGCATAACGTAAGGTCACAGTCTATGCAAGCTTAGGCCAAAAAGTCCCTATCTGTCCCAGAATTCCACAGCCAGTATGACTGGCTAGGGAATGCTGGGAATTGTGGGGCTTTTTTCTGTCTAAATAGGTGTAGTATTTGTCTTAAATGCATTAATTTGTATGTAATTAGTAGTCCAGATCACCGAAGGATATTTCACACCTTATTCCCAGCCTTCCTCCTTATCCTTATTTATTCAAATTGATAAATTTGCACCTACTTTTAAGAAGTAAAATCTAATTTTCAGACAACCAGGGTGGTAATTAGTTCAATAATTCATTTCCTCATGTTAGGCCTTTAAATGTTTTCATTTAACACAAGATTTCTTTCCCCCTAATTCAGCCTTGTCACATAATAATTTTCAATATCAAATTGGTACCTCTGCGAAAAGTTAAAAAGCCACTGTATTGTCTGGGGGTTAGAAGTGCTTTACCTCTTCCTGTTAGATAAAATGGTGGAGCTTGGAGAGCAATTAATAGCCTGAAATGCCACCCTCATTCTTGAATTCTCCCTTAGCAGAACAACTGCAGAAAAATAATGAAGATGCAGTGCTATCCTATGCATACGTACCTGGGAGTAGCCCCTGCTGAAGACAGTTGCGTTTTAACAGTAACTCTGTCTTTGATCACACACATCCAGTTGGAGTAATTGTACAATTCAGCCTACTTTGGATCATTCAGCATGCTGCCCATTTCTGAGTGGAGCCCTCTGCGGTTCCCCTTCCCCAAGTAGCCTGTCCCATGGATTCCTTTTGTAAGCAGCACCCACAGCTTGTGGAACCGAGATACGGGATTTCCAGAGGAACACCCCAAAACAAGCAGAAGCCATTTGTGGAATGGGGTAGGTGGTTGGAATTCCCTTATGTGAGCTTCACCAGCCCCCAGCCAGTTCCAGAAATGAACTGGATGCCCTGGTTCTCTGTCCTGCAAGTTTAAGGTGCCACTTGGTGGAAGAGAATCAGTGAAGCTACCTACTTGCTGTTGGATTTTGCCCCACACCAGCAAATTGGTCCCTGTGAATAAAAGTACAATAAGCTGAGCGAGGTTCATTTATTTAATCAAAGCTTTGAGTTATACAGGCATATCTGGGGATAAATAGCTGATTACTATATTGTGTCTACCAAGTAGTGCTTGAGAAAAAGACCCACTTTGGTCATTACTCAAAGGCTAACAAATTTATTGCTGCATGACCCTTTATAAGCACAATAGCTTGTTTCATGCATTAAGGTTGTTAGTGAAAGTCTTGGATGCTGTTAACATTTTACTGCCCACTTGAATGCATCAGATGAAACAGGCTCTTGCTTTTGAATGTTAAAATTTTAAGTGCAACAGGATGTTTTGGCAGGTGGCCTTAATTCTCAACAAAGAACAAAATTACTTGATAAAAGGCTCTGCAGTCCGGTTTACACCCACTTGGAGGTTCAGTACAGTACTGTTGTGAAATGTTGGTATTTCAGGCCTCTGTCGTCTTTTCCAAGGATTTATCAATACTTATGCATTTTGTTACCTTTCCCCCCCTACAGAATATTAGGTCTTTAATGGCCGCAGAGAAAACCAAAGGGTTTTGCCAGATCGTGGTGTCATCCAGTGTCAGGGATGGAATTTCCCATTTGATTCAGTCTGCCGGCCTTGGCGGGATGAAGCATAACACCGTCTTAATGGCGTGGCCTCAGTCCTGGAAGCAGACTGACAATCCCTTCTCCTGGAAAAATTTTGTTGGTACGTAGTGAGCCAGTTGGCATTGGCTGCTGGGTTTGGGGGGGTGCTGCAGTTCTGCAAGGTGGCACTACCATCCTGCAATAATTCTGCAACCCCAATCATTGTAGAATTGATCATGTAATACGGGTGACATCGTACTGTAATAATCCATCTAAATGTTCATCTAATAGACTTCATAACAACCAGAATTTCAAAATGCAACCATTCTCTGAAATGGACATTTTGAAAATAGAAGACTAAAGAGAATTTCACAGATCTTAGGAGCTGGGGTATTATTCTGCCAAACCTACATGCATTTAATTTCCTTTGATTCCAGCAGAGAAATTGAGTCATCCCGACTTGTTGAAATCTGTGGAATTCAATTTTGGCTAGCTGTTTCTTTTCTTTAATTTTAAAAACAAGTAACAAGAATTATACTTAGGTCTGGCCTGAGCATTCCTGAATGGTAGAAAGTTGCAAGAGGAGGATGCCACTTTTAATATGTGTTCATTTTATTCATTTCTATACTGCCCAAGAACTGAATATTTTTCCTCCTAGTAGAGGTTTCTATTTACGGGGAATCCTTTAGGCAGGAGAGCAACATTTTTATCAATTTCTCTTTGCCTGCCTTGCACTGATTCTTCTAGTAAGTTTTGAAATGCCCTTCTGAGAGTTAAGGAAAGGTTTCGAAAGGCAGAACCATTAGGCTTTGACAGTCATTTTCCAATGGTTTGAACGGGCCTATTTCTCTTTCAGATACTGTGCGAGAAACAACTGCAGCTCAGCAAGCCCTTCTAGTTGCTAAAAACATAGACTTGTTCCCCGTCAACCAAGAACGCTTCAGTGAGGGCAACATAGACGTATGGTGGATTGTCCATGACGGTGGCATGCTGATGCTGCTCCCTTTCCTCCTGAAGCAGCACAAGGTACTTGCTGCTACTTAGTTCAGAGGGACCTTCAGGTGGACACACGGCCCACCATCTCCTCACGACAGAGGATGCTTGTCCACAAAACCATGCACGGGTCCCAGGACATGGATATAAAGAACGTCGTCAGCAGCAGCATCACTGTCACTCTCTGTTTAAAATATTGCTAGTACCTGTGCCATTACTTTCGGGAAACGAGGGAGAGGTTGCTACACCACTTGCCCCTGAGAAGCACCTCTCTAGGCATAATTCCCCTCTTTGTGGCAGATAAATCCGAATTATTGCACACAATTTCTGGAGGTTCCTCGCATCATTCTTGCCTGCCATCTACCCCTGAGGGGGTGGACCTTCCTAGCAGAGGCGTCCTTGTGTACTCAGTGCTGTGCAACCTGAAGAACAGCAGGAAACACGAGTAAAGAACAACTTTCCAGCAGCAGCTGTGACTGTAAAGTTACCGGAAACCACACTAATATTTTCCATGAATGTTCCCCACTGACAGGTCTGGAGGAAATGTAAAATGCGCATCTTCACGGTCGCTCAGATGGATGACAATAGTATTCAGATGAAGAAAGATCTCCAGATGTTTCTGTACCATCTTCGAATTAGTGCTGAGGTGGAGGTTGTGGAAATGGTAAGACATCAGATTTTATCAGTTGCGTTAGGGCTCCAAGTTCACTCTCATTGGAGGAATGTTATTTATCAAATGTCAGGAGGTATAATTACTTACTCTACTTGATGCTCGCATCAATACAATGCATTGCTTTTGTCTCCAATGGGATTCATAATGCACCTTATGAAACCATAAAAGAAGAATGGACCCTGATCACATAGAACGTTGTCCATAAAACATTTCAGCCACAATTAAAACCAAAGCCCCACACCCAGAAATTTGCACGCAAATATTCTCCTGCCCCCAGATCTCTGTATTGTTAAGTCTGGGCAAGAGTTCCAGTGCAGCTCAAATGCAGACAGATGAGATATGCAATTTATCAATCAAAATTATATCTGCTTTAGATTATATAGAACTATTCAGCATTTGGTTATGTAGAACTATGACAGCATTTAGCAACCTGATGCATCTCAGATGCTTTGGACTTCACTCCCTGCCAGCATGGATAACGGTTAGGAATTCCAGGAGGTGTCGTCCAAAACATCTGGAAGGTTCCAAGCTGGGGGAGAATGAACGAGGTTTGATTAGTCATGCCTGGGATAATATTTTAGTGCATTGGTCTGTGGGGAGATGGTAAAAATAGGTTCAGTTGTGTTACCAGCATAAGACTTTTTCCTTCTTCCGTCTAGCACAGATCGGAAGTTTCCATTTAAAGTTACCCACATTTTAGTGTGTCTTCCAAAGCTTAAACTGTGGTTAACCATATGTGTACTTTAAAAAGTCAACTTTATTAGCTGTGGATTGAAGTTTGTTTCATAGCTAAGATGAACTGAAGCTTGTCCATGTTTGGATCACACTATAGGCTGCAACTGATCTAAAACAGAAGCAAAATTCCCTCGCAATCTTGTGCCCAATAATATGTCTTTAATGATACACATTTATTTTTCTAGTTTGAAAATGATATTTCAGCCTTTACATATGAGAAGACTCTTGTGATGGAGCAGAGGTCGCAGATGCTGAAACAGATGCAGCTCTCAAAGAACGAAAGGGAGAGAGAGGTAATTTGTTTGATTTTATTTTAAGCTTTAAAAAAATGAAGATCGGGGATATGCAGATTGAAATACGATGCAAACATTATTGAGCCCATCCAAGCCAGTGCAACAAATAGCAACAGGCCTTCTGTGAATCATGGTGCAAGAATCATCCAAAGGAATTGGATGCTTGGAGGGCAGTTTTCATTTTTGAAGTATCACCCATTAGGAAGTTCATTCCAATGAGATTCCTAGAGAAATGAGCAGATATATTTCCAATAAGTTTTGCTCAAGAAGCACTCTCTGTTAATTAATTAGAAAGAGACATGGTTTAGCATTGGATTGCCTCCATTTATTTCAGTGGGAGGGATCTGATCTACCATTGCATTGATTCGAATGCACGTATCAGCTCGTGCCATAGAAATGAATGGAGAAAACCGTACCAGCACGAGGATCTTTTCGTGCATTTGCATGCACATGATCACTATTAGGAAACGAAAATTTTAAACTGGCTCTCCTTTTGGATATGTCATTTGTTCTGCTTTTTTTAAAGGAAATATGTTGAAACATCGGTATTTTGCAACGTAAGAGCTATGGACTGTCAATTGAAACCCTGTGGAGCTCCAAATACTTCAGTGTAGAGCTTTTTTGTTGGATTTTCTCTTCTACACTCTTATTTTTTAGCTTAATGGTTCAGTGTTGTTGTTTCAAATGTTTTATGCACTGACATTTCTGTTGCACGTTGAAATTATGTGCAGGTTTCTTTATGATCCTCCCCACCCACGTACACATACTATCAAGGTGAAAAAAAAACCCCAAACCTGTCTGTACTCTGTCATTTTCTGTGAAGATTTTTTGTTCTCCTACTATATTTTAAAAGTATAGGACTCTGGCCTTTAACGGGTCTGGTCAGTTGTGTTTTCTGTGGAGGAGAAGGAATAGGACGTCAACTGCGTGTCCTGAAATTCAGAACAGTCCGGAGCATCCCTACATTTTTGGTTGCTGAGCTGCGTTTGTACAGTGGGGGGGGGGGGGGTTCCCACAATCATTATCTGAGAATTCCCTTAAAATTTGGCAAAATATATTTCCTAACTTTAAATTTTCGTTCCTCTCCAAAACAGAAATCTTTTGTTCTTCATATGTAATGACATATGGCTGATTTTGGAACTTCGTTTTGCTTGTTTGCATGGGTTATCTTCTCAAAAGTGCATTTGGAAGTGTACTGTGACCTTAATACTCTAATTTTATGCTGCGGAACAGAAATCCTAGCATAAAGATCCTGGAATTGTTTTTATTGAAACAATGGCCTGTTCCTTTTATATCTCCAACAGAACAGCTGGGCTTTCATGTGTTTTTATTCTGACCTTTCCTTTTGGAGCTTGTTTGGTCAGTGCAACTCATAGACTGGAGCTAGAGTCAAAAGGAATGGAAGGACCTCACAGTTTCGAAGCAAGAGCCGGCCTCTCTGGGGTAGAGCCCCATGTATGATTTCCAAAATCCTTTCCCCAAAGTTTTAATTTGACAGTAGACACCCCAATTCTGGAGCAGTAAGTTCTTCTTCAGTTGCTTCCCAAAAGAGAGCATTTGGGCATGCCCATAGGGGATTTAATTCCCATCTTGGAAAACTAGTAAAGGAGAAGAAGTAATGTCTGCCTATATGTGCAAAGCCGTGAATGGGAGCTTTAGTCACCAAGCAGCACATCCATGGTGTAATTCAGGTCTTTAATTAAGCAGTGTTGCATTGCATGAGCCGACGTCGTTAATGATATCCTTTTTCTGTACTCGTGTTGTGCCTGGCGACCTTCGTGGCCCAGATTCAGAGCATCACTGATGAGTCTCGTGGCTCCATCAGAAGAAAGAGCCGCTCTAGCCCGCAGTGTATCAGTCAAGATGTAGACCATCTGCTCCCCAATGACATTCAGGAGGAAGAGGTAGAAACCGCACCACCCGGTTGTTCCCTCCCACTAAGCACACTTACCGTGCCACAGCCAACCCTAACTGCTCTAATTACTGCCAATGTCCTGTTCTTCTAACCATTGCTAACTACTCTGATTCATAGCAGGGAGTATCTCCCCTAGTTTCAAGATACTGCTCAGTTCACTCCTGAGTTAGTACGTAGGCGATCCTAACCCAATTTTTTAGAACTAACTAAAGTAGATGATTGCTTCAAAATAGTAGTGATCTGTTTTTATTTAGCTTTGCATCTATGTGATGGCACGGGAGTCAAATACTCTACTTCTTTTGATGAACCCATTGATTTGTATGGTTTATATGACCAAGGTCTATTAGGTTTGTTCAAATGTAGCTTTTTTCAATGTGCAGGTTGCCCTGTGCCACATAAACATTTGGGGGCTGTTCTATACTGTCTGACCTGGATAAAACCATCCTATAGATCAGTCAAAAAGAGGGGGGACATGTACGCCATTTTACACATTAATGAGCATTATAGCATTATACTGCATTACACATACCAGAAAATGAGTTTCTGGTTAATCAGTGAGTTCACATTCAGGATTTATTTCACATTACTTCTCTCTGCTTTTATTTCTGTTTTTAATAGTTAACAAATTGGCCCGGTACAAACGTTTTCCCATCACTACGTATATTCTTCCTTCTCTCCCGTGAGACACTTTAACCTTGGTATAGTGTTATTTCTCCAGAAATGTTAACCACAGGTGGAAACCAGATTTAAAGTGAGTTTGGACACCCCGATCCTAAGGGGACCGAAGCAAACGTGAACTTTCATTGAAAGAGAAGGAATACAGGGTTGGAAGTGCACGAACCTAGACCATAATACAAAATATTGGATTGCCGCTGAGCCTTTTTCTGAAGGAGTACGAAGTGCAATTTAAGCAAGCACTTCTAACATAGGAACTTTCCTTTTGTAAAGAGAATTTTACTGTCACTACCAACCATCACTGTGTGGCCTCTTGGAAAGGATGCAGTGGGATTGCAGTTGGGGTACATCAAAGGCGGGACGTGTGACTTGGTTTTGCTGCGTGCCAGAAAACATCTTTTAGTTCAGAATGCAAAAGTCGCAGGAAAGCGGAAATTAGGATTCCACACTTTTGCATTAATATACATTTTGCAATAATGTTCCCTGCAGTATTTTTTTTCCACTGAGTAAAACTGTTGTCCCAAGTTTGTCACTAGGGTTCCTAAGTAGATCAGGTGAGTCTTGGTGACATTTAAAGGCAACAGCAGGATCTGAAACTCATTGGAGTTGTGCACTCACAAGCTCTGCTAAGAAAACCATGGATTGCATATACAGCTGTCATTTATTTCAGGATTTAAAATCATGATTTTTAAATATTAGAAGCCAAAACCATTGGTAACCATCTAGCAGCAACTGATCACCGTTTAAAATCAGAGGAACTTGAGTAGGACAAAATGACACCTGTTCACATTTTATTCTTTCCTTTGATTTAATAATAGACAGTGGCAGTAATTCGGTTTTTCACAAAATAAAAATTGTTTGCTGTGGTACAGCTAATGGAAAAAGTGTGAGTCATTTGAAACCCATGTACCCTAGTTTTAGTTCCCAGCCATGTGGCGTGTTCTCCTCGTACTTCACCCTTAGTTGGTTTGGTGTATGTGTCTGAGACAATTTTTTAAAAGACTTCAAAAGTAGAATATAGTGGCTCTCATCTCCTTCCCAACTTGTTTAGTGTTGTGTTTTGAACACCTTAATTTCCTAGCTCTTCAGTGTTTGTAGTCAAATAGTAATTGATGTCAGTAATTAACATCTGTGCTCTAAATGTTGAAGGATTTTTAAACCAAAATTTTAAAAAACTTGGATAATATTTTATTTGTTTATTTATATTTCCATTTATATGCTGCCTTCTACCAAACTCTCGAGCTGGCTTTATGCCTTTTACTGTATCCCACTATTGCAACCAATCTGCACAATTAGTTGCGGTTGTTGTGTTGATCACTTCGACCAGCTTCGCATGGCACAGGGACTCATCACGGGTCGCTAACAGTGGGTTGCGGAGTTATCCACTTTTCTTGGGACAGCTCATTGTCTGGCAATAAGCCCATGGATTGGGACTCGGAGGATCTGGGTTCTAGTCCCCGCTCAGCCATGGAGCCAACTGGGTGACTTTGGGCCAGTCACAGACTCTCAGCCCAACCTACCTCACAGGGTTGTTGTTGTGGGGATAAGATGGAGGAGGAGAATGATGTAAGCTGCCTTGAGTCCTTTGTAGGAAAAAGGCAGGATATCAATCCAAAAATAAATAATAAATAAATAAATGGCCTGTTGTAAGAGGATGTTGAACCCACAATGGGTTGCCAGGTCCTGCGAACCCAGGAGATTGATCCAGTCGTGGGTTACGGGAAGTGGCAAGCAAGCTGCTTCGAGCGAGCAGCGAAACCCTTTGCCATTCCTGACGGTCTGGCACTATTCGTTGGCCAAGCGAGCTGCTCCACCAGGATCCCAGATGCATTTAGGACATACAGTCCCTGGCTCGTTTCTGCTGGGCAGAATCTGTTGAGATTATGTACAGGGTGTCCCAAAAAATTGACATCATTTTGTAGTCTAATGACATAGCCAGTTCTCGCTCAAATGATCTCAAATTTTAACAAAATGTGTAAAAACTAACTAATGTTAGTTATGCAGTGTTACACAAGACATGCTACAGTGTGTTTGGCAGGAGGTGGACTACCGACTCGACGTGTGTCGTGTCACAGGCGGTGTGCATATTGAACATTTGTGTAGCTTTGTGATATCGGTTATAAAATCTACATCCCTTTGAATCTCTTGTTAGAATTTTGATAAATAAATCTTTTATTGTTCAACATGAAGCCTATTTAATTTCGTTTGCCTAGGACATGTAGTTACTCAGATATTCACGTTTCAAGTAATGTCACATTTTTTGTGACACCCTGTACATTTTTTGTGGTCTTTCGTGAGTGTGCACATTTAGTTGTGTGAAACGTGAGGCTATGTCTGGTAAGCCTCTTCTGCAGTTGGTGACGCCTGTGGACACCCTTGACCAAACAGGGCTGTATGTTTTGTGCACACTTAACAGCTCACACTCATCCAGGTGCCAGTTGAAAAGCAAACATTGACATCTTTGTCCTGAAAGGTGAGTCTCCCTGCCCCTATAGCAGAGTAGCTTTCTCATTCTCCAGATCTCAGGACCTTTCACACTTCCCTGAGCCTTCAGGTACTCCGTAACAGCGAGATCTAAATCCTACCTCCTTTTGGGAACACATTCTATATTAAAAATATTTTTTTAACTCTGGCATATTAGTCTTTTTCTTAAAAGTTTTGGACAGGGAAATACATGCCGATTAGTAAACCTGGTAGTCTCTCGTGTGCACAGCACGTTCTTCCATAAACAACCTTCACTGCGTGGCCTTTTGTGCCCACCTGTTACGTGCTGCACTTTTCTTCGTTCACTGGCAAGCAGTTTGTCAAGAAAGGTTAAGACAGAATAATTGCCTGTTATTAAAACTGAGAAATGTAAGAAGCTGTCTAAGTGAAAATGCATATGTATGAATTCAGACTGCTCTTAGGATAATGGAATGATGTATTTGAGACTTGTGGAAGAATAGCATTTCAACATTATGTGCATTGATACAAATATTAAAGCCAAAGCCCTAACCAGTTAAATGGTTCCATAGACATTGTGTCTGATCACATTATAGCGAAGTAAATAAAAATTGTTTGCATGCTTAGTTCTTAATGTTTTGGACTTTTTGAGGCAGAGGCATTGTGAATTATCTTTTGAAAAACAGAATGCCCTCTTGCAGACCTTTTATATTGTTTAATAAATATACAATCTTGCCTGCAAAGCTGTTGCACGGAAAAAACGTCTTTCCAGTGCCCAAACTTCACTGCCTTGTTGCTGTTGAAATGCAATGTGCTGTCCCTTTCCCCCCGCTAGCCCACTTGTTCAGGTAATGGGTGCCACGAGAAGTGTGGCCACGTGGTCCTTGGATAGTGTTCCAAATAGTATTCTGCTGTTTGTTCAGACTGTCCTTACTAAGCTATTAAAGACTTGCCTACCATGTTGCTGTAAGGCTGAGAGGCTTTACCTACGGAGTACTACCAACACTTGTAATTTGACTTCTTGATTATTAAAGCCTTTCTAAATTCTCCAAGGGACAGAAACGGAGATGGACAAACTCCTCTCAGCTTGATTCAGAATCTGTTTTTGTGATTCAGAAGTCGTACTGAAAGATGCTACGGGCCTGTTGAAGGTGCCACTGACTGCAAATCTGACCGGGAGAATAATTTTTTCTGGGAATCGCAGTGGGAGTGTAATACAGCCTAATAGTACACGTTGAACAAACCTGTATATTTAGTATGAATTTCTGAAACAACTCCTAATGGAAGAAGATCAGACACAATCAGACACAGTGAGCGTCCTTTCTACAGCAAAGACATACACCTGATCGTTAAACTGGTTTGAAAAGACAGTAAACCTTATTCCTGAGGGAACAACAGAGCGCTAACAAATCATATGCAAAGTACTAGATGTGGGTAAAGCTGCCACAATTTCTAAAGGAATGTTCTAAAAAACATTCATAATCGTAATTTGGGATGGAATTTGATTTATCCCTGACTTCCAAAAATCAGCATTGTTAGCCTGAATATTGAACAACCAGAACCTTTTGAAAGGTGGTCATATGACTTAGAGATGATGATGATGATGATGAGTTTTGTGGAAAGGTGTGTGTCAATATATTCCTCTTGTCCTTCAAAACCGCATCTTCCCAAACTCAGGTATTGAAGTACAACAGACATATATCCATTTGCTGAGCTAAATGTTACGCTATTTGAGGGCCGCTGGTAATTCCAATTCCCACTTACAACAAATATTTAGCTTTAAACTGGTGAGTAACCATCTGGGACATAAATGACCTTCCCATTAGTTTCAAAAGAGCCACTTTTATATACCAAATAATTATATCTGCTCGTCTTAGAGCCGGCCTCCGGAGCTCTGAGGTCCTTGGTGTGCCAGAAATGCTGACTGAGCTTTGTTCATTTGTGTTTGACCAGGCTCAATTAATCCACGACAGAAACACCGCGGCCCACTCCACCGGGATGGTTAAATCTCACACCGCTATTGCGACACCTGAAAAAGTACAGATGACATGGACCAAAGAGAAACTTATATCTGAGAAGCACAAAAATAAAGAAACAAGTCTGGCCAGCTACAAGGATATCTTCAACATGAAACCGTAAGTCAGTTTAATAAATATAGCAAGCTAATTATAGTTAGTACATGAAGAAGAAATCCGTAAAACTGCGCAACCAGTTAGACACCTATAGCAACATGGCTCTCTGCTGAAGGTGGAAATTTGTATATTTTGTTGCACATTATATAAATAATTGTTACTATGCACAACCAGAAATTCCATCTTGCAGTTGTTTCCGGGAACCTGCCTTCTCCACCTTCCATGCACACACAGATCGGGTGGAAATGGTATTCAAGGAAGAAAACGATAAGAGCTCTTTAAAATAAAGACTTTTCTCAGCGGGTTAACCCTCAATTAAAGAACACTTCACTTCTTTTGAGATATTTGCCTCTTCGCCTCAATAAGGAGCTAGAAAAAAGGGGACTATAGATCAACCTTTCTTCCTTTCTTAAAAAAGAATCCTACCGTCTTTGCGACGGGCTTTAACCCAAGGCAGGGAGTGGGTGCTCCTCCGTTTGCTAAGTGCTTAGGAATGGCGGGCTGCAGAGATGGGCCAAGAGCTCCAGCTGCCGCGTTACCTTTCCCCAACACGAGCTCTTGCAGCAGTCTGCTGACATGGCTCTTGCGTTGACTGCTGAGCAGTTCTGCCTGAGTGCCCAGGTGTGCAGGAAAAGCTCTGCCTGTTCTCCCTTTTCCCAGCAGCCGTGCATTAACCCTTATGCTGACATTGGTCTTCAGGCACATCCACCTTAAAGTATAAACTGACACTCTCTGCGGGAAAGAATTTTCTGTCCTGCATTTTTTAGGCCGCAAGAGCTCTTTAATTCAAGGAATGACTCCCAAGGTTCCCAGCACTTTAGCACACTTGGAAAGGAATGAGAAGTTTCTGAGGCCTCTCCTAGAAGCAGTGAAGGGCTCCTTGTGGTTTCTTCCCATAAATTTCAAAATGTTAGGCTTGCTCGTGAAAGTAAAGATCGGAATAATCACAGTACTTTTCAGAGCAAATGTACAGTGGTGTGGCGGACCTCCCTAGGTTTTCCTGTGCATGTTTCATGTGAAGAAATCAACATACCCTTCCCTGTATTTTATTTATTTATTTATTTGTTTGTTTGTTTGGAGTTTTTGTATGCCGTCCCATTCGCATAAGCCTCGGGACGGCTTCCAACATAATAAATAAGCACTCATATAAATAGATACATATAAAATCTGAATTCACCCTGGCCATAAAAATTTAAAACCAATAAATAATGTTAACAATTATTAAAGTATTGTTTAAATATAAAGGTCTTGGCCTGGTGCCGAAAAACAATTAATGACGGCGCCAGGCGGACCTCTCTGGGGAGCGCATTCCATAAGTGGGGTGCCACCGAAGAGAAAGCTTTCTTCTGGGCACTTACCCTCCGAATATCTTTCACAGAGGGAAAGCTCCAGCCTCTTTTTGCTGGCATCAGTGATCATTCCTATAATGAATTGCAACAGGTGATTCACTTTGGGCATACCTGGGAAGGGGCTAACACTCGTTCTGCAGAAATCCAAGACTTCTTCCGAGCAGCAGAAATGAATGCAAGCTGAGCAAGGCAATTTCAGGACAAGGGATACACCTGGATCGCAGAGCAGAACTAGCCGTGGGTCCCAGCTGTGGACGGGCATGCTTGAAAGCTGCCCCACGTGACTTTAAGTCGTTCCCACCCTAAAACCCAGATGATCAGCATAAAAGGAAATATTGAATTCCTTTCCAGAGTAATGATAAGTTACTCTTGTTAACAAGGACAGCTTACCAGCCCTCTGTGGTCACTCTCCAAAATTTAACAGTAAGGAAATGGCAGTGATGGGGAGATTGTGTAGTCACCAGTTAACTGCCTTCTGAATGGGCTGAATATTCAAGCACTCTGTCGGATTTACAAAATGTAGAATCACCATATAACTAAGGGGAAAAAACACCAAAGGCAATGCAAGAACACAGAGGGCTAAAACTCCCAGCATTTTTTTGAAAAAACTATTTCTAAAGGGGATTTTTTTGGTGAAAATAAATATAAAATTACACACTAAACAGACACTCACCTAATTTTGCAACCCCTATGATTAATATCTGCAGCTTGAATAGTCTTACACAGAAAATATTACGACCATTGAGGGATAAAAATACCAGAATAAATCACAAATTTTCAACCAGAGCTGAAGTTTGGTGGAGGTTGTTTTTCCCCTAAGTAATATTTTCAGCAGGAATCGAGGGTTGTTATTTTTTTAAACTCTTGATTTACTTTCCATTTTTCATTGACGTCAGCAGGCGCATCAATGTGCCAGTCCTTTCAAAAGTAGACTTAGTTTTAATCAGGAAAGCTATTTTCACACTGGTAGAGTTTCACGTTGTGTGTCATATGGAAATCGGCCATGAGAGAGCAGGCCTGGCAGTTTCCTTCCGCCAGTGGCACCTACCACCTGTGGAATTGGAGGTTTACCACTTCCAGGAGTAACCTGTTTCTGGAAAGGGTGGGCCAGCAGAGTTTGCACAAGGAAGCCATGATGTAGGTGGACACAATGACACATTCTCCACTGCCGTTCATTGTGATGCTATTATCTCAACGGCAATAGAAGTTCCAGGAACAGACATTTGTATAACCACTAGATGGTGGTGTAAACTTAGTAATCCGTGCCCAGAATGACAGCATGGGAATATGACTGAATGTCATTTGTTCTTGCATATTGAAAAAAACAAGGGAACAATTGTGATTATGTATGCAAAACTAAGATGAAACTGTTCGGGCTTCTTAGATTTATCTGCAGTACATGGGACGTTTGAAGCATTTGTGTTAATATAAACTATGCTTTTAATGTAAATGCATTAAGTCATCCCTTAGTTACACTGCCATAAATACGGTTTGTCACATAAATTAGAACAGTCAGCGTTTTCTAGCTGTCTGTAGAAGGAAAGGTGGAAATGGGTTGTGCTGTTTTGCAAAGCAGCTGGTTGATTTAGCAGTTACGTTGCATGTCATTCTCAAAGGTTTCCTATACTGTAATGGGAAAGAGTTGTGTTTGGTTAGGAAAATTAGCAGTAAAGGAGCAATGGAAATGTGCTTCCTTAAAGGCCTCAATAGGTTCTGCACTGGCCTAAGGCCGCCACATTGTGGACTGTGGGTTCACGCATCTGTATGCATCTCCATTCTGGCCTGGCCTGCTGACCTGTCTGTCTCAGAAAACTTCTTGGACCTGCTCCCATGGCCCCACAGCCAACGATGGTTGTTCAACCCTCACTGAAACCATGCTCACCAGTGTTACATGGCAAGATAACTCCAGCTGACCGATCGAATATGCAGTTTGGCTGCTGCTTACTGTAGGCTGAAGAACCTGTGATGAGACACAACGTGTTATCAGAAGCTAGTTGGTGGCTGGGTTCACACAATGCCTCAAATGCGGGTTGTTACTGAACCATGGCTTGAACTGTGTTGTGTGAACCCAACCATGCTAACAAGCCATGGTTTGTTTAACCATGAATAATCCACAGTGGTCAACCCAACAACCACCTTTAGCTCTCGTTCACACCATTAACAAACCATGGTTTGTTAGTGCTGTTGGATTCTTGGAATGCTGCAATTCAGGTTCCAGTGACAATGTATACTTAGCCCATACTCCATACCACCTAAATGGGAGGGGGGGAATCCTCCGTTGGATTAGTTTAAACCAGACTAAATCACTGCATAACTGTTGTGTGCCTGAATTTGAGCATGGTGACCAAAATACTGCTCCGAGGCCTTTTATTGCTGGCTAGTAAGAGAGCTGATGTGGTCAGATTTTGCTTTCCTGAAAGGAGGCAAACTGCTCGCCTGAATTAAGGGGGGTGGGTCTTCCCCCCCCCCGCCCCCCACTCCTTGACTGATGAACACCAGTCTGAAAAAATGGAGGGTTTAGGGTGGATCAGTGGTAGGCAACTTGGGAGCTGTAGACCAAAAACTCTGGCAAGATCTCGAAACACAAATGCACCATAGATCCTGCTTTTCAAAAAAAAAATCCCGTAATGCCTATCGATCGCAAATGAATAAAATGTTGTGGGACAAATACACGTATAGTATTGCTGTATTGGAAAAAATATGACACACCACGTTGTATTCGTGAAGTAATATATTTGCACGTTTGTTTCCTTTCCATGTAGAGAATGGGGAAATCTGTAAGTGAACTTTGATTTAATTTAGGTTGTTCTTCCTGCTTTTCTGTGCTTCATTGTTTAGCTGTTGTTGCATGTCTCCCTCGAATTAGCAGCTTCTACAGTTTTATTGTATTATTACGTTCTAGCATGTGAATGTAATGGCTTAGCCCTCCCATCCTATTTCCCTTTAATGTTTTCTCCTTCTTCAAAGTTAGCCCTCTCTATTATTTTTCCTTCTGCAGAGTAAATCACATTATGTGTCTCATAAAATGAAGGTCACCATTTGCCTATATAAAGCATTTGACATTTTCTTTATCAAAATCCCGGGGGTGTGATTTCCCACCCAATTATTTCAGTAACCAGATGTATAATAGATTCTGAATAAGCTACTGAAATAATGGCAAAGATCATGGCAATGACGTTAAGGCTGGTTTTTAAAAGAGAAATAATGCAATTTAGGCTGATGGATTTGTCAAGCCGTAACACAGTTCATTTTCTATTTGCTTCATTTGTGAAAATAGCACCGCCGTTTCTCATGCTGCCCAACTCCCCACCTGCGTTAAAAAGCAACAATCCTGGCAGATAATCTTGTCAAAAGACATCAAATACGGCGAGATGCATCATTGTCCCAGCAGATTGTTCAACTTCATGAAAATGGCAGTGGCACAAAATTTTCTGCTTGGGAACTTTTCCCGTCTTCCCCCTTTGAAGCCCTGCCAGAAGCTCAGGCCTGCCGTTTCTCATTCTTTGTTCAGTACCTCTGTCATTTTTCCCGATTTTCCCTGTGAGTCACCTTCTCCCTACACGAGAAGTCCTTCCACAGCGCTGATGTTCGCTCACATTTTTCAAAAAGCCTTTCTAGGGATCTGTCTACTGTAAACTTTGTACGGCAGCCGATTGGCAATGTGATATGCATTCTGAAGTAAGTTTTCTGCCCAAGAAGCTGCTTTACTGGATGCGAAAGATGCCACTGCATGGATCCAACAGCCTATATGCAGCGACGCACGTGCAAACTTTGCCTTGTTCTTGCATCCCCGCAGAAAAGCTTGTGCATGACATCCCTTGCCTTCTGGGAGGAGATGTGGTCCAGCTCGTTTCCATCTGTAATTTGCTGGATCACGAGCCGGTGTTTTAATGCAGGCCAGCACAGACCCTCTCGATGTATATCAAAGTTGAAGCTCTAATATCAGTCTCTAACCATAAAATCAAATGTGTCTCTACTCAGAGGTAAGCCCCATTGAGCTCATTGGGACTTACTTCCGAGTAATTGCGTACAAGATTGGAGCCTTGCAGACGTAACATAGCAAATTCAAAAAGGTAAGAGCAAGGATCAGAAATACATTCATTCTCACGATGTTGAACTACTCTGCCTTAATTGTCATTAATTCAAAAATTCTTATACTTGAAACTCTCTATTGATAATTTATCTTTGGGGGGATGCTTTTGTTTTTGGTGTGTTTCTATATCGCAACCCATTTCGTTCTTCTCATTCCAAATTAAATTGGGGGGGAGGGGTTCCAATTCAAAGGTTTTCTTAAAGGGCTTCCATCTAAATGAAGAAAAGTATGTTTACTTATTCAGGGGTGAAGATTTATCATCTTCACAGCCAGGAATTTGGAAACGCACATTGGCTGGTAACAAGTGCTTCCAGCTTTATACTTGAAGGGCAAATCTACCTCTTTAGTCAATTACTAAATAGCCACCTGGCAATCCTGTGCCACAAATTGGCATAGCAAAGGGTAATTCGCAGGGGAGAAATGGTGGGTAGGAGAGGGAGAGATGGACGGACGGACGGACGGACGGACAGACAGACACTTCTCCCCTGTCAGGTTCCAGCAGCTGCTCTCCAGAATCTTTGGTGGACATCTTTGCAATTCACCACAAAGGGAAAACCGAACACCTTAGAGGTGGTGCAGCTGCTATCATTCAAAAGATGGTTACCAACTTAAACTTTAGAAAGTCCTGCGGCTCCTGTTATTAGTGGTTCAGTTGACCAGAAAAGGACCTTCCATGCTCCTTTGTGTCTTTTACATGTAAAACACTTGAAAAAGAATAACACCACACATTAAATAGAGCAGTAATTCCAAAAGCCCACGTTTAATGGATGCCTTGAAGTGAAGGTGATCAAACATTAATGGGGTGACATTGTTATGACAAGGCTTGCAATAATCAGCACAAGAGTTGGCATCTTTTACTGAGAAAAGGGCTCCATAAAGAGCATCACAAGTGAGGAAGAGGAGTCTAAATGGGTAACTGTGCTCGCTCTCGCATCATCTTCTTTGAAACTCTAATGGAGTTTTGACATGTTCTCTCCAAACATTTTTTGTCTCGGTCTCTTAATGGGGGAGGCGTGCACAATTCTATTTTCCACGGGCGCTATCCAGCACTGCTGTCCTGCACACCCCAGCAACGCAAGGCTAGCATCGGCTGTCCCAGTCACACTGCTGACAACACGCGTCCACACACGTTTTCCCGGCGAGCGCGTCACGCCAGCAAGCACAGCAGGCGCTGCATTCAGGCTGGCTCATTCCAGGGCTACGGGACCCGTGTAAACAGAGCAGCAGTTCTGGATACTGCCCCTTGGTGAAAACCTCCCCGTGGAGAGAGCAGGGTTGCACAGCTGCACGTTGAGGAGAGAAACCAAGAGACCAAGAAATGCCGGTGACCTTCCAGCTGCAAGGGAATGAGAGGCATGAGGAGCTCCTTCGATTCCTGCTGATGTGGAAAGAAGCGTCATTTCTCCACCCCCTCAGCAGTGTTCTCAGGGAGAGGAACTTAGCGAGCGGGACCGGCGTAATTTTCAGGGCCCAGGGGAGATGGCGAGCAGGTTTGCACACAGTGGCAACTGCCGGGGGGCAATTGCAGTGTGTCCCACTGAGTGCCGGGCCGAGAGAGGTCAGGCTTGTGTTGATGGCACCCTTGCTTCCCATGCCTCCTTCCCATTCGGTCCCTCACCCTCTTTGACAGGCACGATCACAAACTGCGTCCAGCTGACCGCGGTCGTCCCACGGTCTCTGCTAAAGAGACGAGGCTCGCGCCCTGAGTGGAGAGGGCGAGGGGCAAGTCAGGCTCCCCGCCTCCTGCCCCAGGGAGCCCCGAAGCTGGGGGGCCTGATCTGCCCCACACCGCTGCTCAGGCGAAAGCCGCTCAGGCCGGTGAGGCGGGTTCTCGGCACTTGTCCGCAGAGCCCAGCTCCGCCTCTCCCTCCCGCTTGGACGAAGGCTGCTTGGGCAGGTGCTGGGAGCGCACCCAGGCTCAGGTGGGCCACTCTGGGAAGGAGCCCCCCCCTGCTGTGTCGAGGACCCAACAACTGCCCGAGGGGCTTCTTCCCCATAAGAGCGGGGAGGGGGCACGGTTTCCACATGGATGCCCCCCTCGCGGAGCATCCCGGCTGAGTTGACACTGCTGCCCCTCACTCTGATCTGGGAATGCTCCACTTGGTGGGGGAGCCAGGAGGGAGGGATATGGACCCACTGGGGTGGCCCTTTGCTGGAGCATCCATGCCAAGCAAGCTCCCAGGCCTTGCATGGGGAGCTGGGGGCCTACCCAGACGGGCTGCTCCAGCACTGCCGAGGTCACCAGAAGGTCCCTGGACAGCAGGTGGGAGAGTGGCCTCCAACCACCATGCCAGACAGGAGCACTGGTTAGCCGAGGCTCCAGGAAGTATGAGCGGGTCACCTGTTCTGGCTCTTTGCACGTGATGGAGGGTCTCAGCCACTCTTGGAAGACACAACACGCAGCCATGGATGGGAGAAGCCCTACAACCAACCGTTGTTTCCTGTTGTGGTTCACAACTACGATAAATTACAATGGTAAACCATGACAACTGGGTTTGGACAACATGACCACCCGTGATAGCCATCGATCAGCTTCTGGTGTCTTTGGAACCCATTCAGAAAGTCAGGCTCCCAGGATACCTGTGGCCAAGACTCTCACTTCAGGCCTTGAGTCAATGTCAGTGGATGCACCAGGTACCTCTGCCCTCTAAGAAATCGAGAGATTTTTTTGGTTATTTTTTTCAAAGCCAATATTTCTTTAAAAGTACTGGCATTTGACGGCACTGGATGGCGTTCAACCAGCACGAAAACAGCCTTGTTGCGTGGACATGGGACCAACTAGGAGAGAGGAGGTGGGTTGACATTAGTCTTTTGACTTTCCGGAAAGCACACGAAACAAGAACGAAACAACACTTTTGTGAAGATCAGTTGGACATCTTAGCCTCCTTTCCTTGACATGTGAGACTGTAAGCAAAACACTGCATCCCTTTGCGATTAAATTCGGTGTGTCACCAGAAGCTAGATAAATTTGCATCAGGGGCCAAATCCAGTCCATCAGGCTACTTGGCTATTCTTGCTTCAGAATTTGGGATCTAGACTAAGCACGACGCTGTGTTTTTGCCCCAGCGGGTTTTTCTGTTTTCCTTTTGCAAATGTTGATGGCAATAGCTGCTGATTACTAAGCATCCTCTACTGTATGGCTTAAGAAATTTTAGCTGCAGCAGTACCTTTTTCTTTCATTGTTATCAATAAGCTGTTCCCAACTGATGCATCTCTGGTTGTTCCTGTGTCGTAGGAACCAGTCCAATGTGAGAAGGATGCACACCGCAGTCAAGCTCAATGGAGTGGTGCTAAATAAGTCTCAACATGCTCAGCTGGTGTTACTGAATATGCCCGGACCGCCAAAAAATAGGCAAGGAGATGAAAACTGTATCCTTTTGTATGTGAGAGCGAGATTCTATAGATTGCATGAAGTCCACTGACTCATGTGTTTCTCCTTTCCATCTCCTGCATGAATTTGTCCCTCCTTTTACTAACTTCAAGTTTTTGAAATCGAGCTTGAAATCTTGGTTTTCCAACCATTAAAAGCAAGCCCTAGTTTGTGCTAGAACAGACCTAACATGACACCAAATTTAATATTCATGAAGAATCATAGAATAGTAATCAAGTCCACCCCCCTGCGGTTGCAGGACACCATGTTACACCGTCCCACTCAGATGGCTGCCCAGTTTCTTCTTGAGTGTCTCTAGTGCGGGAGAGCCCTCCACCTCTCCAGGCAGCTGGTCCCACTGTCCTGTTGCTCTGACAGTGAGTGGGGAAGCTTTTCCTGATGTCCAGCCTGAACCTGGGTTGTCGCAACTTGAATCGATTATTCCCTGTCCTGCACTCTGGTATCATTGAGAAGAGATCTTGACCTTCCTCTTTGTGGCAGCCTTTGAGGTACTTAAGGAGGGATATCATGTCCCCACAAGAGAGGAAGAGGTGGAGGAAATGTCAGCGGCTGCTGTGGCTGCAATATCGGCACCTTTCTTTCTGCCCTGGACCTTTTCAAAGGTCCCATTTTTCATTTTGTGCTCACTCCTCCACCTTCACATCAACCTAGTGGAAGTAGGGAATAGTCCCACAATGGACCCAGTGACCTAGGGCTGTCCCACACTGGAGGCACGCAAGATGCAACTGCATGGCCATCCGAGAGGGATGGTCCTGCTTGGAGCCCTGCATTGAGGAGGAGGTTGGACCCAGTGGTCCTTCCAGTTCTGCTGTTTTATGAATCTACGAATAGACATTTCATTTGATCACTTGTGTTACCTCCCTAAGGATTAGACCCTCTTCTATTGCACGTCTTCAACCCTTGACTTCCTCGCCCTTCAGACATGGAGTTTCTGGAAGTCTTGACAGAAGGCCTGAACAGAGTGCTTTTGGTGCGAGGAGGCGGCCGCGAAGTCATCACCATTTACTCTTGATCGTTTCACCGGATGCACAGCTATTGCAGTAGCAACAACTGTTTCTGGATTCGAATGCGGGACTTTGGAAAAAGTTGGCCATGAAGGACTTTGGGCTGGCCTCTTCTTATTTCTCGCAGACAGAATCGAATCCAACAGTTGAAACGTTTCCCCCCAAAATTATGTAAGCAAAATTGTTTCCTACATAGATTTGTCTAACATTTGTCTTTACTGAAGAACTGTACGATAGACCTTTATATTTTTCTAATGTAGAAAACTGGGAGACTTTTGTTGTTCTTGGGATGAGGGCGGGCCTGGAGGGCCATTCTTTTTGCACATAATTCTTAAATATGGTAAATGGAATATCTGCTATTTTTGACATAGGAACAAACATTTACGTTTTTAGCACTTTTTATAATGATGGCTTCAAAGAAAATAGAAAAAAGAATGGGTTTCCCGGATCATTTTTGGCGAGTCTGGTGTGCTTATTTTGTACTTAGTGATGCTGCTGCATTGTAAGCAGGTTTTGTTTCCATATCCAGTCCGGCTGGTTCTGTGTTCATATTCATCCACCAATCCGTGAGTTGTCTGGCATTGTATTTTAATTAAAGATTGCTGGTTGAATAATTGTGCGGAAGTGGCATTTGTGAGTTTCACTTACATACAGTGGTCTCGGCTTGACATGTTTGCAGTACAAGGACACCGAAAAGAGATGATTTGGCCACTTACAAATAAACCAAATCAACCCAAGCAGGGATAGCCAATTCAAAATGGTGGCCAAATGCACCTGCCAGTTGGATGTCATGTGACCAGCCCCACGGCTTTCTCGAATACGAGGTGATGTGGAAGACGATAAAGATCTGGCGAAGAGATGTAATGAAGGTGCTTCTTGCTTGCTGGAGAGAAGTGACATTTGCCAGAAAACAAAATGGAAGGAGCGAGCCAATTCCCCTCAAAAGCAATACTGACCGGTCCTTATGGAAGACAGAATAAAGACATGAAATGGGTTGCTTCTGCTACGCTTGGCAGGCAGTCCAAGAGCGGCTGTGCTCAGCTTTGTTTCTCCCTGAAATCTCCATTTCCCGTGACTTAGCTAAATCGGTAGCTGGGTGCAATCAGCCCTGCCTCCCCATCAATAATCAATAGCATGATTTTTTAACTCCCCTGGCTGTTTGCCCTGCAGAGCATCCCTAAAAGCTTAATTACCTATTCCCAATCAATATTGAAAGGGTACCGCTTTAGTGGGGTGCAGCAATGGATTTTTTTTTTAAATCGTGAAAATGTTCCTACGAAATGCTGATTGCATTTCAGGACTTTTAAGATTATTTATGGTGCAAAGGACACAAGGTGACAATACCGAGGAATTACCATCAATTGGTTTTATGCATAGCTGAAATGATCATGAGTAGTAGTGAAAATCTGGGAAATGTTGAAGCTATAAGGAAAACGAGGTTTTTCCCCTTTTTTAAACCACTGAAATGTGAAGGAAAATGCAAATATATGCAGACCCAAACTACTTATATCTAATCGTTTCCTATTACTGTAAGAAATGCCTTGGGTTGATGCCAAATTTTTGCACACTTCAGGAAGATACATGATGATGATGATGATGATGATGATGATGATGATGATGATTAGAACATTTCTACATTAATTGGGTCTCCTCCAAGTATCACTAAATCTAGAAACAACTCTTGTTATAACAAGAGGTCCTATTTTATTCATAACAAAGTTTATAACAGGTATAAGACAGAAAGAAACTGTACTGTTATAAACTTTGTTATGAATAAAATTAAATAAAATGTGTACACACGCATGTGCTCAAAAAGTAGAGCCCATTGAGTTCAATGGAACTTCATGCCTGGTAAATGTATATAGCAGGGGTCTCAAACTCGTGGCCCGCAGGCCAATTGCTGGGATGGGCAGGGCACGGGGGAGGGGCCCCGCGGCCTTCAAAGCGCCAGCGGTGCCCGGGCCGGCTGCAGGATGAGCGGCCCACCACCACCGCTGGGGTGGAATACTTGATGCGGCCCAGCCTCACCCAGACTCTACTTCCAGTGGCCCCCAAGTAAGTTGAGTTTGAGACTCCTGGTATATAGGATAGCATCCTTAAATTACAAATTAAGGTAAAGGTAAAGGTTTCCCCTTGGCGTTACGTCCAGTCATGCCTGACTCTTGGGGGCGGTGCTCATCTCTGTTTCCTGCCCTAGGGAGCCAGCGTTTGTCTGCAGACAGTCTCCGTGGTCGTGTGGCCGGCATGACTAAACGCCGAGGTGCACGGAACGCTGTTCCCTGCCCACCAAAGTGGCACCTTTTCATCTACCTGCATTTGCATGCTTTCGAACTGCAAGGTTGGCAGGAGCTGGGACGGTGCAACGGGAGCTCACCCCATTGTGCAGATTCAAACCGGCAACCTTTTGATCAACCAGCCCAGCAGCACAGCGGTTTAAACCACAGTGCCACCTGCAGTCCAGAAATTGTAAATTAGTTCTTACCTATTAAACCAATAGTCATTAATACAGTTGGCATTAGGGAGAGAGCTGCAAGATGTTCCCCCATGGTAGCTTTTTGCTAGCTGGCACATGGGGAAAATAAAATGTTAAAACAGAAGCCAGCAAGTAAATGGGAAGGTTATATTGCTTGGTTTTAGAGTAACTAAGCTCAGCATTCTCCTAGAGAATATTCAGCAGTGAACGTCTCCGTGAAACAGTAGACATTTCCTGGCCCGTTCTGGGAGAGCAGCAAATGTGGGAGCCGCACCTGGTGGAGATCCAAAACTGGGAACCTTTGGGATATTCAGGGTGGCCTGACACTTTGATGATGATACACATGCAGAGGGCAATGCACACCTTCCGAAGCTTTCCAAATCAGCAGCGTGGAGGACAGCATAGATGTCATTTTTCATGTATGGATGTGTCTTCCAGTCCATCTCCACTAGACGAGCACCGAGACCGGGCTCAAAGGAGTGGGATGGAGACCAGCTGGTCCCACAACAGCCCGACTGGGTGTATTTGCAGCCAAACACTCAACTTCTATCCCGTTTTCCCATTCCTGCAGGAAGGGTCCTGGAGAGAGCAGTGGGAAATTCATCTCTGTGCTTGTTTCTGTGTTAATGTATTCCTGGTGTTTATGAATTTCGGCGCTCTGAGCATTTTTTTTTTTTTACCATTGACATCAGTGTGATTGTTTTCATGCAGTAGATGACTGGTGGTTCATCTACGAACCTTTGCTCATGAACAGTTTCAATTTGCTGCATGGCAATTAATGGTTGGGATGCGGATATGCAAAAGTTGATTACTCCAAGCATTTCACATCAATGTTATGGCTCACAAGTTTTTATCACAGAATGAGGAACTGGCAATTTCTTGTTGTTCTTGTTTATTTTTGTGACGTTGCAGTGACTGTTACAATCCAGTCATTTGGGATTTTCTAATTACTTATTGATTACCGATAACGTATTTCACAACTGAAGTCAAGCCGTGCTCCAGATTATTCCAGGAACATTTGAGAGCTGTTCTCCCAAGTGACCTTCATGGAGGCCTGGAGACACGTCCACCGCCACGGACTCCTCAAATCCCTTGCTTTAGAAAGCTTAATCTAGCAATTTCTCACGAGGAATTGGCTGCTTTGTTCCATATACTTTGCACAAAGTTTTGCCAGCTGTGTTTTGTCGGCTCGCTTTGCTTAGCCTCGGAAAGGAATTGTGGGTGGTAGGAGCGTTTGAACCACCCTCCCCAAAAAGAGGCAGTGGATCCAAAGCCATGGCGCAACTCCCCGGTGACCTGACTGCAAAGGGCGGCGTGATTCGATCTGCGAGTGCCTGCAGGAGCGGGACCTGTAAGTACTTGCATGGTTGGCAGCCAGTGTGATCATGCTGGGAGCTTGGGACAGCTCTGTAAATGGAGTCCCTGCACCACTCAGATTTGGCAGTATGGCCCTTGGTGGAAGCTACATTGTGTTCCTGATCCTGGGTCCAATCCTGCCTGTCCTTGACCATGCCTTGACCCCCACCTGCTCCTGACTTGATCCTCCCCTCTCGTCTGCCCCCCCCCCCGCCAGCTACCTCTTCCTTGTCTTCACTGTTCTCACCTTGGCCTCTCACCTTGCTTCGCCTTGCTGGTGTCCTGCTTCAGCTTGTCTCTGGAGCTCACCTTGGCCTCTGGCTCCCCTACCTTTTGCCTTTGGCTCCAACGCTTTCCAGCACACCTGATCTGCTGCCCTACCAGGCAACACCTGCCATCCATGTCCCAGTGATTCCATCCCAGGAACATCCCCGGGACACTCCTGCAAACCTGTGTGAAGACAGACCCGCTTGGTCAGTTCATCACCCAAGGACTGCAGAATGTTCTGAGTCACCAAGCAACTGGGAAATAAACCAGGCAAATGAAGAGGTTTATGACAGGGCTGGCTAACTGAGATGTTCTTCCAGAGTGGCATGGAAATTCTGTCCCTGTGGCTCAATCCTACACAACTTAGGTAAGTCCCGTAAGGCAGAACCTTGTGGGCCAACCCGCCCAGCATCCATGGCTTGATGCTGGCACAGGTTAAGACTGCAAATTTTGGCCACTCATTGCTGGAACAGCAAGATCGGGGATGATAATCTATGGAATGCGCTCCCCAGAGAGGTCTGCCTGGCGCCGTCGTTATTTGTTTTTCGGCGCCAGGTGAAGACCTTTTTATTCAAACGTCATTTTAATTGCTAATATTATTTGCTTAATTCTTTGGCCAAGGCGACTTATTTTATAATGTTAATGTGTTTTATATTTTTAGTTTTATATTTTAATTATATTTTAATTGTTGTTTTGTAAGCTGCCCCGAGGCTTCGGCGAATGGGGCGGCATAGAAATTTTTAAATAAATAAATAAATAAAATAAGAGCAATTGGCCGTGTTCAGTAACGACGACTCAGAACCGTTTTGGGCAGAATGTACCTAGACTGAAGTGGCCGAATTCTGAGCAGGGTCTCACTGCTGGTGAGTCAAAATCGTGTGATGCTTCCCGTGTTCCTTGCAAATCTTGTGTGCACAGTACATTAGCGCAGCAGTGGGGAAGGCTCCCAAGGAAGACCTCTCCCTGACGTGCTGCATGCGGGGAGCATTAACAATAATAGCAACAACTGCAAATTGATGCCAATAAGCGGTTTGTATCCTTATAACCCCGTTTTCCTCTGCTTCCTGCTCCAATACACATTTCAGCCTTCAGTGGAAGGTGCCCAGATGAGTCATGAGCTTGGTCTCTGAACACACAAGGTTTTGCTGGCAGGTTCAGGTAAGGGGGCTTTTGGGGTCAGGAGAGGACTTAAAGGCGAGTCACACTACTTTCTAACACCCTGATGGACATTTTGGACACCATGGTCTGGTTGGCCTTAATGTTTAGGAGTAATCTTCAGTAGGACTCCAGCTGACCCAAGTCGGCAGATCAGACTTGCAAACTATTCAGCTTGTAGTTACATTTATCTACTGATGAGGGTTGTGTGGTAAAAAACAGACTGCCCTCTTGGATAATCCCAATTCCATGCTTTAGCGGAATTCTGTGACTTTATACATTATGAGAGTTGAGCTGATCGGCAGTGTCTCATTTTGCATAGCTCCGATTTTGCTGCTCTTTCCCTATTAGGCACTGGAAGCCCTGTTCAGCCACATCCTTGCCTTCTGGGGATCTTGCAGCCTTGCCTACTTGCATTTAAGCAGAGCTGCAAGGACAAGAAATAGGAAAGGAAGAGAAGAAAACTGACTGGCTGGAAGATTTAATTCCCCGTGAACATCACTGTACCCTACATTTTCCCCACACTCCATATTTATAAAGCTTGTTACAATACTGTACACAGTTACCTGACTGTAAGACTGACTGGCTGTGGGATTTACTTCTAAGGAGACATCCAAATGCATTGCCAATACATCGCCAATTCAATCAATGACCGAAGCGAGCCTTGGGTTGAAAATATTCCTTGAGCACAAGTGAACCATGTCCTGTTTAGCTGGTGAGGTTCCGCCTAAGAGGAATTGTTGCTGAGCTTGTATCATCCAGCAGAGCTTTAAACAAGCTCCAGGATTCATTTAGACCCCTTAAAAACTCAAGAGGTGAAGTCACTCGGCTCTGAAAACAGAACATGTTTCTCACCCAGTGAGAGGTGTTCATTCCAAGCGGAAGTGCCAGGGAAGTGTCTGGCCACAGCCAAGGGGGCTGGAGGGCTGTCCCAGTGCTGCCCTCAAGAACACGGGTTGCGTGTCTGGCCGTCGGCCACCCTCGCAGGGATGGGTGGCAGATGCCCTGCAGTCAAGAACGCCTCTCGCCATTGGAGGAAGCAAATGATGCTGCATCCAATCATCCCGAGTTATTGCACTGGTACCGCTTTGGGGCTCTGCAGAACCCAGCGAATACCACCGAGACAGACCCTTGTTTCAGACTGAGGCACTTCTAGCAGAGTGGGACGGGGTGGGAGAGCAGAGACCTTAACCAACAGGCCAAACACCCGAGTGTGAAACCTGCTGCTGAACGCTGGGGTGTGTTTGCTCCTGGTGGAGGAAAATGATTTTAACTTTGAATCAAAGAAATGCTCCTGAAATAATCATAATCATCATCATAATATTTTAAAGGGGTGGACATGCGGTTTATATGCACATGTGTCCATCCTGTCTTATTGGACACTCATCCTAAAACAGCTGCAAAGCTATTCCTTGTATCCCGGATTTTGGCAAGTGTAAGATTCCCACGCTTTGCCATCTTTCCTTCTAATGGCGGCCAGCATCCCATCAGTCCCTTGACTGAGAAACAATCCCAGAATGCACCACTGCTGCCTGCATCACCTGCCTCTCTCTCATTCACTCACAGTCCCAGGGGAATGGATGCAGCTGGCTGCCTTTCTGTCTGCCCCTCCCGCACTGCTCCCCAAAGCAACTTACTCATTAGAGTAGCACCATTGCATTAGAGTAGCACTCCCTGCTGCTACTTTGCTCTGTGCCAACATATAATATAAAGGATATGCCTATTTCACTCTAAACATGCATAACCCAGATGCCATGTTTCCAAAGCAAATTCATGCACAGTATCATTTTTATTTAACATTAGAAAACTATCCATCACTGAGTTGCAGTTTGTTTTCTACAAAGTGATCCTTGGACCATTTGGCACCGAGGACGAGGAAATACTCTTCTTGCACAGCTTGGAACATGCATCTAAGAAACAGGTTGGGGAGTTAATTCAGTTCTGTTTATTTTAGAACTACTCCCGATACTCCAAATCAAGGCTAAAAGATAAATCACGCAGGGCAAAGCACAGAATAAATAAGTTCATGAACTAAGATCATCTTAGATCCTTAATAAAATATAAACTGGCCACAACATCTACACGTCAGCTTGCAAACTAAGCTATCGGCAAGTTCCATCTATACAGAAAAAATTATCTTCATCTAGCACCGTTTCTGTCTTTACAGTGTGGACTTCCATAGCGTGTGGAGATCGCTTTCTCCCTTATACAGTCTGTCTCTTGCGCCTGCCACTGCAGCTGAGTCACCATCCTAATCGGGAAACCTTAATCCACTTTGAAATTGTTGCACCACCACACATCTAGCCTTACTGTCTCGCAGCTCCTCGTTCTTGCATGCAAGGAGCTAACATGGTGCTAAATAGAACTGTCAGGACTGTGCGTGGAAAAGCTACATATTGATGGATTGTGGAATTCAGCATCCTGAAAATCTCACCTTTTTTTAATGAGTTACATTTCTAGCCCATGTAGGTAGTTACACCTTGACATATATGGAAATGCGTAAGTGAATACCCATTGCCAGGGTGGAGAGGGCTCAGCTGAAATTCTGATGTTCGTAAGCCTTTGTAGAGTTTGCGGCTCCTTCCCGCAACTAGCAAAAGCCAAATTAATTATGCAAACTATAGCAGCAAACATAAATGTGTGTAATCAGCATAATCTGCACAGGTTGCACATTTGGTCCTATAATTTGCATAAAAATGCTGCACTTCTTGATACAGAATATTTACTCCCCCCCCCCCACAAACCAGAGTACACCTAGCCCTGAACCACAAAACAAAAATGTGAAGGGGTGATTTCTATTCTAAGTCTTTAGAAAAGGTTCTGTCATTTTTCCTAAAGTTATTTTATTTGCAAATACCACCCAGTTCTGTGGCCACATAGGTTTGTCACACCTCACTAACCCTGGATGGAGAATTGAAAATCCATCGTACAAATTAAGGGGCAAGTGCTGACTCGCTTCATGCGTGTTTGCAGCAAGGCAGCGTGTTTCATGCATGATCCTTGTTAGAGCCAGCGAGGATGGTGCTTAAAGTGCTGGTCTGGGACCCCGGAAGATCCAGGTTCCTGTCTCCCCACAACTATGAAGCTCACTCACTGGGCAACTCTGGGCCAGTCACTCACCCTCAGCCCAACCTACCTTACAGGGCTGTTGTTACGAGGAGAGAATGGAGTCCTGTAAGGCACCTTGGGCTCAAGAGGGAAAAAGGTGGGATAGGAATGCGATGGGACGCTGATGCACACGATGAAAGTAAGCACCGGAGAGCACTGCTTCTGTCCACAGCAGCACATCCGAACGTTGCAATGTGCAGCCAACTTGCTCTTCTCCATGGATCGTCACCTCTGCTCCCTTCCCTCGAATCACGCAGTGCCTGTCTTCAGACTCGGCTCAAATCACGGGCTGGGTTGGCCCAACAATGGCTCTAGTTCTGCTTCCTGTTCCCCTCGGGAAGCCCCCACACGGTACCCGGGGACAACAGGACATGCTTGTCCTCAGCTTCTGGTCCAGCTCCTGGTGGAGATCGGCCTGGACCAGAGGCGAGGGGTGCGGAGGTCGCCTTTGCCATCCCTCCTTCCCTTCCAAAAAGCCGGAAGACCCCTGGGGCAGCATGGCAGGGACTGCAGGGCAGAAGGGAAATCAACTCCCGCCAATCTCCTCCTCCTCACATGCTCCTGGCTTCCATGAACACAAGGAGCTCTGCCATCCATGGAATGGCCGGCCTGAATCCAGGCCACAATCCAGCTCCCTGCGGCTTCAGAAGGGCCCTTGCTGTGAGCATGGAACCCTCCATTGCCCCCTTACGCCTTCCTCATCCATCTCCCGTTTCTGGCTCCAGGCACTGAAATGCAACACTTTCTGGCCAGCCTTCCAAGGCCCTATCGGTTGTGCCTCCGTTTCTCCTGGCATGCCCTCTTGGAGAAAGAAAAACAAAGGAGGGAAGGAGGCAGGGAAGACGGTCTTGCAGATAGACGAGCTACGTGTCTGTCGATTCAGCTCCATGCTTCCCACTCTCCTCCCACTCCCCGTGAAATAGTCATTCTGGGACGTCCAGTGAGTCATTTCATGAGATTTACTTTGTTTGGTTGTCACTGCGCATAAACAACCGAGAGACAAAAGACCATGGGGGGAATTAATGCCATTAAAACGCAGAGGGCTTCCATCTCCCTTCAATGTCAAAACGCAGTGCCTGTTATGGTAACTGACATTCATGTCTACACAGTCACGTCTACGGTTCCCTTTTTCTACTGTGGTGACTTCAGAGGACGAAAGAACATTGGCTGCCTGTAAATGAAAGCAGTATATACATACAGGTACATTTTCCACAGTGGTTTGATCAGCTGCTTCAGCCGTTCCTCGGGAAGCTTGAGGTCTCTTGGGATTTTATGAGGCATTCGTCCAAAAGAAGATTGGTGACGGGATGGCACTTCCACCAGGAACAATCTTCTTGAGGAATGCCGGACATCTTCTATGGCAGACCTTGCCTTCTGCGAGTGACAGCTAGGTCCCAAGGACCAATCCGCCACTACACATGAATGGCAGCCATATCCTAGAACATGCCCCAGAATCCTCTGCAACATGCAGGAGATACTCAACGGTTTCCTCCATAAACCAATCGACACAGAAAAGATACCCGAGGGAGGTCTGGAACCCACTGTCCCACCATCTGTCCAAGCTGAAAGGATCGCGCCTTCCCTGCCAGAGAAACATGGCGGGCAGATGCCATTTAAGCTGATTGCTTTAAATCCAAAAGAAGGGCATCTTCCTCCTCTTTGGCCTCTGGTTTGAAGACGATCTTTTCAGGACTGATCGCTATTGCCTCTGGTTTGAAGACGATCTTTTCAGGATTGATCGCTATCGCTTCTGGTTTGAAGACAATCTTTTCAGGAACAGTGACTTTAGCCTCTGGTTTGAGCACGATGCTTTCTGGAACAATGACTTTAGTCTCCGGTTTGAGCACGATCTTCTCAGGAGCTGCCGCCATCTCCTGTGCCTGCGGAGGGCCTTTGTCCTTCTTCACTTTGGGTATCACTTCAGCATAAGGAACTTCTTCAGAGGCTGGTTCAGCACTGCCACTTTCTCCTGCTGTCGCAGCACCAGACTCTTGGATGCCTTCTTGGCCTTCAGCTTGCTCTTTAGCCGTCTTATGCTTCTTGAACGTCTCCTTGGTGGGCGCTGCATTGGATATATTCTTCTTGAACCTTATCCCAGTTTGCCTCAATCTCTCTCCTGACTGCCTTATCCGTTCTCTCCTCTCGGGCGTCACTATTCTAGTCCGAAGCCTGTCCACCTTCTTGCCAAAGTTTTGCCTTGTTTTCTGAATGTTCTCGCTCGTAAAAGCCTTTTTGAGATTGTTGAAGCGCCTCATGCCCGATCTTTTAAAACGAGCTGCTCTGCTTTCTTCTATGTAATACTCCTCATCAGAGGAAAGATCATCAGGGGGACAGAAGGCACCCTCCAAGCTTCCCCCTCGGTCTTTGACAACAGTTAGAGAAGACGGACACGGAATGTCTTCCTGCAAGTGAAAGCACGACAGATCATTTCTGTCCCACACTTTTCAAAAAGGGTTTGTTTAGTATAGCAGCCTTCCCCATCCCTCTGCCTCCATATGTGCTGGCCAACATGCACCTGGGCATGATGGACACTGTAGTCCAACACATAGGAAGGACAGCAGATCGGGAAAGGCCGGTGCATGGAAAAGGGATGTGAACAAAGAAAGATGGTGCCAAGAGGCCCGTGTTCTCAGCTTCTGTTGGCTCAGGTAAGAAAGTTTCTCACAGAATAAAAATTCACCAGCACAGCCACTGAGGGGGCCTGCAACAGCTCCTGCTCTGCTCTCCCTGGCCCATTTTTCCAGGCAGTACAAGGTTTGTTTTCTGTTTCCATTAGTCCAAAGCCTCTGAAGTGAACCCTGAGTGATCCCATGCTTACTTCAACCCCCAACTGTTTGTGCCCCCTTGACTTCAATTAATGGCTGCACTGGCCTTGAGAAGACTCATGATTTGAAGTCAGCTTTAAATCCAGGTCAAGCCTCGAGGACGTCTGGCGCCCATGACATACCCAGCAAGGATGAGAGAGAGTCAAAGAGGAAGGGGTAAGAAAGGGTATTTCCCATTCCCACAGTTGAATCTAATCCAGATTTAATCATGCCTGGAGTAGATCCACCGAAACCAACAGTTCTTAGGACAGGTGTCAATGAGCCTAGTCTACGTACGACTAACCTGGATCTAAGCCCTGATCTACGCACCGCAGTAGCGTATCCGCTCAAGACCCAAAGGCCAAACCGCTGGGCCAGCGTGGAATGAGAAAGGATGTAGGAACTGATGGTTTCTGATAAAACAACTGCTTCATTGGACAATATCCACGGCACACAAACAGAATGTCTCAACATCACAAAAAGGAGCATTATTTTGATGGTAGAGAGCCAGGGTGGCGTAGTGGGTAAGAGCGTGGGACCGGGATTCAGACGACCTGGGTTCAAGTCCCCGCTCAGCCTTGGAGCCACCTGGGTGACTTTGGGCCAGTCACAGACTCTCAGCCCAACCTACCCCACAGGGTTGTTGTTGTGGGGATAAGATGGAGGAGGAGAATGATGTAAGCTGCCTGGAGCCCTTTGTAGGAAAAAGGCAGGATATAAACCGGAAAATAAATAAATAAATAAATATTTTGCTGGTTGACTGAGGATCCACATGGCGGCCGACAGAATATATGAGGGAACATACTGGAGAACATTCCCTTCCTTGCGACCATCCCTGTTCACAAGGAGCTGCATGGGTTGGTTTGGATTTAAATTATGTTCTTCCTTTCCTTTTTCATTTTTTATTGAGCTGAAGTAATTTAAGATCGCCAGTGCAAAGCAGGGCTGTTACACAGTTGGCCTTTGCCGATTCCCCAGCCTGGCCTGAAATCATCAGAATAAATGCAGTGACTTGGGTGCAGGGTCAGCTCGGGGGCTTTGGATCATGAGAACATTTCATGGATAAGAGAAGGTTTCACTCATAAAACTGACTGTTTGCATACTAATTTGTAATCCTAAAAACCCCATAAAGTCACCTATGGCAACACAGGTCTAGCAAAAACAGTCGGTGTCCGAATGCAGTTTGGTTTCTTCTGCTCAGAACCAAGAGAGGTTACATTAGAAGCATAATTAAGCACCCCCCCAAAAAAAAACCCCACACGTTATGTAGTTGCAACTTGAGTTGGCTATTTCATATATACTTGAGCAAGAGACTTGGTTCTGTGAACTGTGCATTTGTATGCCACACCCTCTGTTTTTTGTGAACACACCTTTGACAGCTAAAAAAGTAATAACACCATAAAAGATCTAGCCATTGCATATTATGGGACAAAGACCCAGGATATTCCAAACCGTGCAACTTTATCTAGACCTCACAAAGTACACCAAAAGCTGTGGGACCTAGTTCAGAGGACGGTAAATGTCCCACTGAAATCCGTGGCTCTTAAAGGCACTTCATTTTGACTGGGTCTGACCATGCAGAGACCCCCAACTGTAGGGAAAAAAGAAATTGGATGGTCATACATAGGTCATAAAATTTGTCGTTATTTGTTTTTCGGAGCCAGGCCAAGACCTTTATATTTAAACATCATTTTAATTGTTAATATTATTTACTGATTTTACATCTTTGGCCAGGACATCTCCAATTATATTGTTTTTATATTGTTGTTATTTATTGTTGTGAGCCGCCCCGAGGCTTTGGCAAATGGGGCGGCATAGAAGCTAACTAAATCAGAAGTGAATGGATATGAAGCAGTCTTGTGAGAGAGGAGGGGAGGCTGGCTGGAGGTTGTCATCACCTAAGCCACAATTCAGCATGCCATCTGACCTCAGCCAATCCATATAAATATTCTTGTTTTCCTACCTATGCTCATCTACCTGAACTCTCCAATATGTTTGATACTGAAATAATTGCTATTAATGATGCTACCAATCAAACATCATGTTTGAACTATGCATTTTACTTGGTGATTAAATCGTGCTTTGATTCGATGACTGAAGTTGCTTTGATGTAAATCTATCCAGCCTGCACAGAACTCTGGCTAAGACAACCTTTAATGGCCTTTAACCTTTAAAGCCCTAAATTGCTTAGGACTTGGCTATCTGTGAGGCCACCTGTCTCGTGGTGAATCTGTCCCGTTCTTAAGAGGCACGGAAGAGGCTTTCTTCTGACATGAGTTGCTTGGATGGCCCTTTGGGAAATTGGTCTAAAGATGATGGTGATAGTGATGAGAGCAGTAATAATAACAGCTGCATCCAGATGATCAATTCTCTGCTTAATAAACTGAGATGCATCTGGCCATGATACACCTGCACATCACACGAGTGGGAAAACAAGCCATAGCTCCCCGTTAACGTGCTAAAGATTTGGAGTCAAGTTTGAATATGAAACCGAGCATTTGAAGTACAAAATTTTGGTTTCCAGAGTCTGGCTTTCTGGAAGCTGTTAGCCATGGTTCCAGTCCAACCATGACAGGAAGCAATTATGGCTCTGGGCTGGTCCTCCCATAAGGTAAGGTGAATACCCCTCCTCAGTCAGCAGATTTGGAAGGGGAGCTGATCCTGTGCCTTACACTGATGCAGCATGAGCTTGGACCCACACCTTGAATAGGGTCCCCACCATGGGAGGGAATGAATGGAATGTGGTTGGCATTGGATGACCATTGCAACTCTCTGAACTAACTTCTAGCAGGATGTGACTACGAAGGGGAAATAGTCTCGGTCGGCTGAACCAGAGTCTGACTGCCTTGTTATTCATCTGCTTTGCCTCTCCTATTGACTCTTGGAGGTGCTAACCATTTCTGGGCATCCGTTTTGGCTGCTTCAGCCCAACAAGGACCACTCCAGTCCATAGGCCATCTTTCCCAGTAAGGGACGCCGCAGGGTGGCCATCCTGGGAATGACTGCTTTTGCCCCTGAACATTTGAAGATCCTACTTCTCGCAGAAGAGACACATCCAGTGTCCAGAATTACTAAGCAGATAATCCAGGTATCCTGCTACTAATGTGGAAAGTAAACCACACTTTTCTTTTTGGCAAACAGTCAAGAAAATATGCATGGCTCTGCTTGCATGGGTGCACATGCGCAGACGTAAGTACATGTATGTGCGTAAATACAACTGTAGAGTTTGCCATAAGCTGGGACTTGAAATAACTCCTATCATGGCAAGCCACACCATCTGTGGGAGAAAGAAAAAATGCAGGGCGAAAGAGGAAGCATCGGGAGTGTGCCAAAGCCTCATTAGTTTTACGGCCTGCCTCTAAACAAATTTACTGGGAAAAAACCTCAGTTCGTTTGATGGAACCATAGGAAACATCCAGCCAAAGCTGGGCACTTTTAGATCACATGGATTTCAGTAAAGGACATTTCTGTGAACATTTTAGGCTGCAATTCTGTGCTTGATTAGACAGAAAACGTGCCAGAACTCTGAGCATTCTTCAGCTTTTTTTTTCCTGTCTCAGCTCATCTAAGAGTATGCCCACTCAAGGAAAGGTAGGCAATTGCTGAACCTTTATTTGAATCGAAATAAACGAGGCTTCTCATGTGTAGCTGATGATGCCACTTCCGCATCCTTTTTTCAATGAATGCACACGCTTTGCTATTTTTGTCCCAAGTACATTCCTTAGCTGTGTATCAAGTTAGTAGAACATTCACAAGTATTGTTTGGCATGTGAAAATCTCAGAAGGATTTAAACATGAAACCATTCATATGAATGGAGTGATTCATGGGTCGAGGCATTTGCAAGATCTAAACCCAAACAGCATGGCATTGCAAGAGTTTTTCTCTCAACAGCTGAGGCACTGGGGCTTCCAACGGGGAGATGCCAAGTCTTCCCATGCCTGCTGCCCTTCCTGAGCGCAAAGGATCCTAAACAGCTTGCAGGATTTAGGGGTTCTCAAGCACAGTCCCCGTCGTCACAGGAAATCCTTTACCATTTCCCTTCCTTGTAACTGAGCACAACACTGGCCATTTGGCTTGTACCAGCTTGTGCCCAGACCGGCCTTATTTAGTGCTCTTAATAAGAAGAATTAATTGGAGAACAAGAACAGCTTGTTTCGTTCCAGCAGAACACTCATTTTGCAAAACTTTACCAGAGCCAGTCATTTGGAGACAAATTGCTTTCGGGATTTGCGAATGCAGTTGCAGGACGGTGTGGAAGGAGAGGGGAAATGGATTGCAACTTATAGCAAGGGCCTGTGTGTGTGTGTGTGTGTGTGTGTGTTATGCACACAGATATCTATAGGCTTTTAAGAAAATGCAGTTAATGAAAACACTACTTCTGGGCTTTGGCTCGTTCTCAGAAAAAATAACAGGGATGACAGTCACGCATGAAATTCTCTGTCAGGGTGCCCAAACACTGCCCTGGATCGCCTTTCATACAGGCAACAAATAGTCCTCGCTGATCTACAGTTAATCTTACGCCGGCTGGCTGAAGCGACTCCCGACACTAATAATAGACCAAGTAGCCTGCCACACGTTCAGAGGCAGAAATCGATTTTTTAAAAAAACAGCGGCAAGATATAACACAGAGCGATATTGAAAAGGCTGTTTTTGCCTCCCTCTAGTTTGTTAAACAACAAAGAAGGTTGTCAGGAAGAATGAAGAACGCAGCGAGCTGCAGCGGCAAGCTCGACACATGCGCTTACCTGGTAAATGACAACGCGGAACTTGTTTTTCCGCAGCATTTCCTCCTGCTTGGCCTCCACTTTCTGCACGTTGGCGCTCTGCTTCTCCACACGAGCCCTGACATCCTTAACGCGAGCGCTCACCTTGCGGGTCTTCTCCAGCAGCTTGTTTACTGTGTAGCCAGTGTTGCCGTTCGCCTGCGCAAGCTTCAGAATGTCGATCTGGATGGTCTTGATGGCATCTTCCATTTCCCGGTGCCGCTCCTCGATGCGCTTCTGACTGGCCTGCACACTGTCCACAATGGCGGCCACCTTGTCCAAGACCCGGACGATGGTCAGGGCCGCATCCTGCTCCTCCTCGTCATCTGTGACGCTCGAAAGGCGATTTTGGTGGGCCTTATCCATCTCCATGGTGGTTGCCCAGTGATCCATACGGCCCGTCTTCAGACCAGTCGACAGGAGCTGAAATATAAACTCCTCGGGACAGCCGCTCAAGCCCCTGTGGGACAATCCTGGCAGCAGCGCAAGAAGCCTTCTCGACAGCTGGCTTTAGGGGAACGTTCAAAAGCAAAGTCTGAAACTCCACCCTGCGAGACCTGTCAAATATTTATATCCACAAAATAGCCACGCATGATTGTTCAAGTGCTTTCTGCAACCTGAGACCTCTAAAATTAGGAAGCCACACGGGGGAAGACAGAACATGTGTTCAAAGAAGCAGTTTCCTACCAATGAACTCACTTGAGTTAATCCAGAAATGGCTAAGCAACTTACCAATTAAGCCAAGGAATGAACTGGAAATCTGCTAAAGCCCACTGTTGCTTTGTTTTAATTAAGGACTTTTCTGGGGTGCTGGTGGGGGTGGGGTGGCGGGGAATTTAGAGTTTTCCAGTAGACTTCTGGCAAGTTAAACCAAGAGCTCTGCTACTGCCCTTTAAAATACGGCAGCTGCTCATTCCAGTAATAAACAAACGCACTCAGAACAGGTTAAATATCATGGGAAAACATTGTATTGACATGCCTTTCCAGTTCAAATACTGAAAGCCTTTTTATTGAACAAATTATTAAATCCTACATGCAGAATGGGAGAGGCTAAAGCTACGATCTGAACAGTTGGAACACACACCCTAGTTACATTTCAGCTCTGGATCTTCCAGACAACTACAAACATTCTATTAATATAATAACTACAACCAGCAGACTTTATTTGAATGACACATTCTTAGCTCTTGAAAATATTCTAGACAAGAGCACAAATCTTTTATGGTATTTAATTTGGTGGGGTGGGGGAGTTGCATCTTCCTCACAAAGACTATACAGTTGTTCTGATTGATGTGAAAACAGGAAAATCTCTTTAGAAAACTGTAGTAAGTATGAAAGCAGTTTAAACAGTGACCAATTGCGACTCAATCCCAATTATATGAATTTGATTATTAAACCGAAGTCTCTTCTTTTTAAAACATGACACAAGTCTTCTGAGATTCGTTTTTCCATGACAAATGCCCTCTGCACTACCAGGCAATTACTCAAATTGTGTATATTATTATTTTACATTTTAAAAATAAAGTGTCAAATATTTATGAAGATGGTGGTGCTTCCACCCAGTTTGTACATACCGGACTGGATCCAGACTAAGATTGTGACCTTTTGCACACGTACCTGGAAGCAATTCCTATCAAAACCGACAGGACTTACTTCTGGTATAGATGGTACAGTATTGCACGGTACCATAACTTGCAGGTAGTTCCCGTTGAAATCAGCGGAACTTAACTGATCATCACTGATTTCAATGAGAACCAAGCACAACGCACTTAGTCTGGAGTAAATCCATTATAAATATGTTACAACTACACACAAATACACATCTTCACAATTCATGCGATTGGCAGTGTCTAAAAAAGTCAGTTACTAACTTCCAAAACATTTAAATATCTACGGTATTTAAACACAGTGTCTTCTAGTTCTTGTAAGAAAAGGTACGCTGTAAACATCTTTACCCTTAGCTCATGCCTTGTCTGTCAGGAAACACAACGGGCTCCATTTTGTTGGTACTACAACCCTCCGCGAAATGTCTCAGTTCCCAAAAATTTTACATTCCATGAGTAAAGCACAAGTCCATTATCATAACCATGTGATACAAGTACAGGAAATAAACTAGCGTATTCTCCAAATCGTGAAATGAGACTTTGCTGCAGCACTCCGTGGCTGCCCACCGCTTTCAGGATTGAAACGAAACAGAGCGACACTAAAAAAAGTCCAAAAATAAGGCCTCTGAAATAAATATTTCCATTCTTTTAAAAAAAGATAATAAAATTGTACATCACATGGCCAGTGTGGGTATAAAAATTGCGCTAAACCATTCTGGATGACGTGTCTGACGTAAAGTGACCTAGATTTTGCTTCTGCCGCCGTGCTCTGTTGTTCTTTGGGCATTTCCTGTTTGCAGAAGGAAAAGAGAGGGGGGGCAGTAATTAAAGGTACTTTAAAAGACCACACATGCGCACGTAAGAATATTGAAACTATTGAGTGAAAGCATTAAAAATGACATTTTTAAATAGGCTAAATGGGAAAAATTACTTAAAAGGCTGAACAACCTTTCTGGAGGCCACAAGAGTGGGAGTTGGTGATCATTATTTGTTATTTGTTTTTCAGCGCCAGGTCAAGACCTTTTTATTTAAACGATATTTTAACTGTTAATTGCTGTTTCTATTTATTGGTTTTATAGTGTAGCCGAGAGGCTCTGGATTTTTAATGTCTATTCTATATTTGTTTATCTGCCTTGTGAGCCGCCCCGAGGCTTTCTGCAACGGAGGCGGCATAAAAATGCTATAAATAAATCATTCTTGAGGGAGCACATTCCACAGGTTGGGGACAATGGGGAGAATGTCCGGCCATGTGTATCCACACAAGGCCTCTCATGAAGATCTTAATATCTGGGTGGGTTCATCATGAGGCAGGTGGTCCCATAGAAGGCCAGGTTCTAGGCCTGTTAGGTCAAGACTTACACCTGGCAATTATGCCTGGAAAGAAATGCTTGACCTCATCTACAGCTGCACCACTCCGCCACTGCACCGATGGCTGATGCGCAGCCTAAAAATTCACCCTGTGCCGTGATTTCCTCCCAAGACCTGTGGACCAAATGTGTCATTGGAGCAACTTTGCAAGCCCTGTAGATAGATGCTTCTACAAAATCAGAAAAATGGTCATGTAAGCCCACGATGGCCTACATGGGCAGGTGACAACTGCCCAATGTTGACCCCCGAAACCCAAGCACGCTCGATGTTTTGAATTCAGGTAGCACAACTGATGACTGCAAAATACGAGGACCCATTGGCTGCATATAACGTGAGGTGGCTGAAATAGCTAGATTTCCCGGCAATAAAAATATGAATCTGATTTTTTCATCCCAATCGCAGGACCAGCTCCAGACTGGATGAGAAAATACTACAACCTGGTTGAATTCTTCTGTAGGCTGAGGGACACAATCGTCTTTTTCTTTTCTTTTTGGTTGATTTGCTTTAAATTCATTCATTAATTCGTTTTTATTCGTCCACTCCTTTACAAAGCTTAGAACAGCAGAGGGGGAATAAGGTAGTAAGCACATGGAGAATAAGGTAGGCACCCCCTTTCTATTCTTCCAGCTTCCCTAAGAGAGAATGACTGGCTGACTGTTCACCACTTCATGGCAAGAAGCTGTAATTTTGCCAAGAAATCCTCTGATCGTGGTTCAACTTGATGCATATTAAAACTGTCTGCCGGCTATCTGGAACTTAGCCTGGCTTAGGTGCAGAATTTGCTGGGCCTATCACACAGGCGAATAATGGCGGCCAGCCCTGCAGGACTAATTAGTCTCAGTCCAGGGGATCAGTGCCCCTGATTTCTCAGCTCCCAGCATTAACAACCAGCAAAACCGGAGTTGACTCCTGACAGAGAGAACAAACATGACTTTCAACAATGAAAATCAGTTAACTCTAAACCAAGGATCGACCGTGAATCATGTCTGCCATAGTTAACCAAGATAATCAGCCCACAAGCTTAGCCAACTTCCCCTTCTCTGGAAACCTTCTTTGACTCACATACTTGGCCAGATGAGTAGTAAGGGACAGAAATCCAAGTGTCACTCTGAGAAAGCAAGAGTCACATCTGGGAAAGCTATACCCAGTTGCTACTCCTATTTAGAATTAATTGAAATTAATCAGACTTAGGTTAGACTTGCACTGGATATACTGTACCACGAAGGCTTGTTCGGCATGGTATCACCTGTCATTCAGTGGGGTTTGACGAATAGGCACGGGATGTAGGGTTTGGCTACATGTATGCACGATGGAACAACTTTTTTTAAGAAGACGGCCCTGGTTTTTTAATGCTCCTCTTGCTAGTGAGCAAATGAGTGCAACCCTCTGAGCAACGCTCGCTGGGGCGTGCTGGGTATCGCAGGACCTTTTTCTGCTTCAAAGTGCCTAGGATTGTGCCCAGATGTAGGCACTTGCGTCAGATCACAGCTCATCCCCACGGCTCATGTCCCCTGGGAAAGCAAGCCGCCCTCGCTTGCTCCAGGAAGCGCAGGCTGCCTCGCCGGGAGCGGAGAGCTCAGCAAAACGCTGCACCAAGCATGATTTTATCCTGATTTACTGAGCAGCTGGAATGCACTTCAGAAGGTCTTCCGAGCGCTCTGCATCTCGTTGCTTTATCCGCGCTGGCTCCGTGCCCAGAACACGGCCCGCTCGCCATTCAGGCTTCGGGGCTGGAGGCCGCCTCCAGCAATGTCCCAAGTGACGCGGGGGCATGGCTGGCAGGGGCGGCTTTCCTCTCCCGGCTGCCATCCTGCTGATTTTGGTAACTGCCAAGCACCTGTCCGGGCCAGTTGTCACATCTGCAGGCCCTGACACTCCGCACGGCCAAACGTGTGGAACACGCCATCCCATATTGCAAAATTAGCCATGCCAGACATGTGTCGGCCTCTCATTATGCTCTCTATTAATCAGTGAGACCTTTTGCCGGGGAGTGTGTCCTTGGGGGTACAGAGCAGGAAGTTATGTCAAGAATAGCTACCGTCCTGCTAGCCGGCTGTCGGGCGGAGGGGCTCGGCTGCTCCCGCTTTGGGAGCGCCACGCAAACCATATAAGGAAGTAATCCAAGTAGCGTTACACAACAGGTGAGCTGCACAGACCCAGTTGGTGAGCTTGCTGGGCCAGTACGGGGCTCCAGCTTCCTCACTGCCCAAACGAAAGGCACAGTCCTTTGCGAATTGGGACAAGAATCGGCAACACGGCCCAGCCAGCGTATCTGCCCAGACGTGCAAAACTTAGCGTCTGGTGTGTCCCCTACAGAGACGCTTGTCCGTGATGGCTTGATCGGCATGATTCTTCCACCCTCTTCCTGCCTTCCAGCTTATATGTGGAATTCCAGCCACATAGTCATGTTACTCTCATAGAAGGCGGGGCGCAAGTTCCTCCAACATGGGAACCGGAGTGCATTTTAAGTAGGCTCTGGAAGATGCTATCTTTGGCATGGGTGTGGACAAACAGGCCACAGTCCTGCGCAAGCATTTTAGGCCATGGCATGTCTAACGGGAGCAGGGGGTGCGATCGTATTCCATCTCTGGAGACGGGCTGGGAGGACACGGCCAACTTTCCATCCAGCATGGAGCGTGTTCAGCAGGGCGTGTGATCAATGGTGCAGTCAAGCGGTGCCGTAGGAAATGAGTGCATGTCCCGACTGGAAGGCTCAGGATTTCCTGCCAGTGGACCGCAGGAAGTGCCAGCAGAGAAGACAGCTATCGGGTCGTGGCCCCATGTGGCACGTACAAGGGGGGCCCAAAAGAAACCGGAATCCTTTTCTGGGGGGCAAGCCCATTGTAGTACATGCTTCTGCCACTGGGTGCCTCTTGCGGGGACTCCTCGGCATCAGTCTGCTGACCGGTGTCACCAAATGACGTCATGGTACCACGTAGGGAATTTTTTTGTTAAGCTCCTCTCGCCTGTTGGTGGACTTTTGTGCTGGCTGCTTGCAACCATCGCATCGCAAGAGGCGCTTAACAAAATGGCTGTTTTCAGCCATCATGAAATGGACGAACAAGCAAGAGGTGCTTAACAACAACATTCCCTATGTGGCACCGTGACTTCACTTGACGATGCCATTTGGCAGACTGATGCACAAGGGTCCCCGCAAGAGGCATCCAGCCATGGAAGCATGTCCGACAACGGGCTTGCCCCCCGGGGAACGATTCCGGTTTCTTTTGGGCCTTCCCTTGTATTTCAGCAATGCCCTACCTATGCTTACCATTAATATTCTCTGTGTGTGTGTGTGTGTGTGTGTGTGAGAGAGAGAGAGAGAGAGAGAGGGAGAGGGAGAGGGAGAGGGAGAGGGAGAGAGAGCAGTAGTATGCCTAAGACCATTTGGTTTGTCTGTGGTTAAAATAACCCTCCGATTTGGACCAGGGACACCATGGCTCACAACCCACACTTGGCCTTACTACATTGCACCAGCCTTCCGCTTGACAGTCCCTCCGGTATCTGACGCACCGTATGCCAAAGCCACAAGTCAAATATCTCCACCCCTGAGACACCCACTGCTACTTTCTGCCCACCCCTCACACCCAGCAACTTACCGGGTGATGCACATCACAATGGCAACTATGATGGCGATCTGGACTGCTCCAATGATTGCTGCGATGAGAACGTGTGTGAGCTTTTGTCTACTCGGAACAACATAAAGTATGCTAAAGTCTGTCTTTTCACAGTGCTGTCCTGTGTATCCAGATTCACACCTGGAAGAGAAGAGCAAAGCGTCCTAGAAGCTAAGGTCCGCCACGTGTCCAGGCCATGTTACAACGCTGTGCTGCCCGTGGGAGACAAGAACAAAATATTCAAAAGACGGCGCCCAGGGAATCCAGAGAGGGTGATGCGCAATGCAGCTGCTCCCAACCTGATGCCTTCCCGAAGGTTTGGGTGTCAGGTCCCATCAGCCCCAGCTAACAGTGCTGATGTTCAGGCACGAGGCAAGCTGTAGTCCACACACCCAGCAGGTAGCAAGTTGCGGAGGGCCAGTGCAATGAAGAGCAACCCAGGGGCCAGCTCAGTTCAACACAATGGAAGAATCCAGGGTTCATCTATACTGCCTGTGTCAGTTTTATGGCAGTCTTAGAGTCCTAGGACAAAGTGCACGTGTGTGTGTGCATGTGTAGACAGATCTTTACACAGAGAGCATTAGGGCCTTCTCATAAAACTACAGTTCCCAGGTTTCGTTGGAAAGCGGTCATTATTAACATGACTGCTAAGTCGACACAAGTCCATCATCTCTCTCTATGGTGAAGCTTTGGAGGCCTCCCTCTCTCCCCTTTCATCTCCTCTCTCTCTCTGTGGTGAAGCTTTGGAGGCCTCCCTCTCTCCCCTTTCATCTCCTCTCTCTCTATGGTGATGCCTTGGAGGCCTCCCTCTCTCCTCTTTCATTCCCTCTCTCTCTCTCTCTCTATGGTGATGACAATTTATGGAAGTTCATTCATAATTACAGGTTGTTCATAATTCGGATGTTTGTAACTCGGGGACTGCCTGTACACTGGAATGCGTTCCAGAACAGCAAGCATAAGGATGCTTCCTCCTTTCCACTTTAAGTTTTTAAAACCTGATCCAGAGCTTTGCAGACATGAAAGAAGCAACACAGGACTCAACAGAATCCAAGCGCTCCACCTCCTGTATTCTCTCCCCACCCTCGCTCTCATTAATCCGTGATGCCCAAGTTGCTTTGGAGAGAGAAGGCCTGAATGGGAGATGGAAAGTGCATTACTCCAGGCAGGAGCGGAGCAAAAGGTGGAGCTGGGGCGAGCAGCTGCACAGACAGCCAGCCTGGATGGTGAGAAGCAAAGTCGAGGTGGGCACAGCCCGACGCAAGCAAGCCTTGATCCCTCCCTCTGCAGCACCTGCTCTCTCCCTCGGCACAGGGGCATCTCCATCACATGGGCAGCGCAGAGTTCCAGAGGAGATGGGAGAGGCAAGCAGCATCTTTGCAGCTGGATCAGGTCGCATGACTAACCTGGTGCTTCCCACTGGTGGATATTGCATTTCGCTAGAGGAGGGCAGGATCGGAGCCCTCTTTCTCACTATGTGGTAGAGAACTAGATTCAACCAGCCCTTTACTCAGGAAAAAGCCACATGGCGAGGTCCTAACTGAGCTCTGGACAAGCGCAACGCTACTCAAGGCCTCCCCTGCAGAGGGGACAGGGCAAGCAAAGTGATAGCGGGCCATGTTCACACAACCAGGAAGCATGCCCTCCTCTTTTATTCTTTCTCTTCCACTTTGCTTTACTCAATTCCTGAAAGGTATATACCATGTCCAAATATCAGTAGGTACAGGTGGCCCAAAGATAACAGTATTAACCTATATTTGTAGAATATTAGTGCAATTATTTTATTAAATAATTATTGAAGAGTGTGACATTCACTTTGACAATTGCCACAATGTCTGTAATTGTCCAGCAATATGTCAACAGTTTAACAACAGCAGAAAATGGGCTTAAACCCAATCTTTCTTAAGTTCACTTGTGTAGGAAACTTTTGCTATGGTCAGTTTCCTAGTTATCTTTAATGTCATGAAGAAAAGACATATTAATAAAAAAGGTGCTTTCATTGGACTACCAACATACCGACAGGAAGCCTTCTGTGTAGAATAAACGAATTCACATTTCCCATGGATGCAGTAACCACTGAGACTTTCTGAGCAAGGAATGTGGTTTCCAATGTAGATATCTTCTCTTTGATCACTTGCATCTTTTGTATAAAAAGCGAAATAGAAGGAAGATTAGTTTAATCTTCTTAAAGGATATCCCTTTCTTTGTTTAACAAGTCTGATCTGTGGTTACTCAGGATTCTCCAATAACTTAGGGCCAGTAGTAATCCGGACCAGTAGTAATCCAAAACATGGAAATCACATGCCATTTTCTAAAGCTACTTCAGAAATATTTACAGCTTTTAAACATTTTTAATTTATATAGATCAGAATATCCTGACACTGATATTATCTTAGAATATTCTGGCCTCATTTAAATATTCCTAAAATAGAAAAAAGAATTTCAGATAAACAATGAAACAAGAAATATTAGATGCAATTAAGACATTGATGCAATTTTAATAATTGTTATTAGACTGCATTATGTTATTTTAAAGCCAGGACCTTGGTTAGTTTCTAATGCTATATTATTCCATTTTCCTGAAACCAGGTCATAATATTGATTCCAAAACCTAACAATGATAAATTGAATGCTGAAAACCAAAAGATATCATTATATAGTAATGATTACAAATCATCAGCTTGCACTGTTGTAGCTAGATTTAAATATGTTCATACTGTAGTATACAGGCATGGAACAAACAGGGCTTGTGCCTCGTCTAAAATTGATAATCTGAGAAAAGGAATTTGATTGCCCTGAAGGGGTTCAAAAATCCCATCAGAAGTGGAAAAGTTTTGAATGGGAAACAACTTTATCAAATGATTAAATGTCACTTGCAGTACAAATATATTGGTAAACACTTCTCTATCTTAAATATTTAAATCAAAAGGAGGAGGGAAAGACGTTTGTGTTCCCACATGTTAAAATTGATCCATTATATTGACTTTTGTTGCAATATTACATAGAGACTACTGACACTAAAATTCAAAAAAGAAGAATGTAAAATATCATTATATGCAGATAATGCTGCCGTATCAATACTGTTCAGATTATTTATTTAATTTGGTGCAATCTAATAGTTTCCGGAGTGGGCACCCCAGCTGTACGTTCTTCTGGACCTCCCTCCAGGCAAGAGACAGCGGCCAGCTATCAGAGAAGAAGGTCTCACTCCCAGAGCCCACAGAAAGTTCTCTGTCACTTTCCATAATTAAAAGAGGGCAGGTTAGAGAACGCTTTGGATCCACAGGATCCAAGTTCCCTCAGTCCCCAGCCATACCCCCAGTACAGGAAGGAATTTATGCCAACTCCAGAGCTGTTTCTATTCTACCAGCCCGCCAAGGCTTTGGATCTGTTGAGGGCTTCAGCATCATTGCTCCCAGAAGCAAGGCTGTGCCCTTTGAAAATTGAAATGTGTAATTATGAACGTAAATACCTGCTTTAATCATAAGGATGCATTTATAAATCTGTTCGATCAAATGGAAAAAATGTGCATGGATGTGACTGTTGTAAAAGTTGGTACAAATGGAAAATTAAGTTTAAAAACATCGTGCAGGCATTTTTCTCTCTTCCTTGTCTCTTCTTGCATGCAAATTCTGCTAAACTTTCCTGTTTAACTGTTAAATATAATTAGTCTTAAATATGCCGCAGTCGTTTCCCATAACACAGATGGCTCAAACCAGTTTGTAAACCATTCCTAATCATGGTTGCAAACTTTGGTTTGGAGCCAGCCACAGGCAGTAAAAGCACCTAGTACAGACACTGTGGTATAATCTTTAACTCCACAATGAAAAGGAGCAAGCATTTTCCACGTTACTAGCAAAATGTTTTCCTTAGCTAGGAACTTGTGTGTGTTTCTTAAATGCATGACTGCCTACTTCTCTTCAAAATTCAGCAAAATGAAATTTCAGCAGAATGCGTGAAACCTTGGGAACAGAAACCTAGCAACCAAACAACAGAATTTCTGGGGACACTGTGTAACTTAAACCTCATGCCCCCACATACAAATATCTTACGAATGTTTTCCCAAAGCTCCAAAATTCCCTCACATTTTTCTGTTTCTTAGCATAACATCTAACCTGAAGATGAGTCTGGGGAAATATGCTAGCCTATTTCAATTGGGCCAATTAGAGGTAATACTCTATTGTTTGGTTTTTTTTTTTTTTTTTTTTAGTATTATTATTTGAATGGATCAATGTGACTGCAAACATTCTATAAATAGACTGAGCTTTGAAGCTTTTGTCTCCTGACCCTATTCTTTGCAGAATCATGCAATTATCTCTTCCTGGAGTAAGGCAGTAAGGTGTGTGTATATTTTTGATATGGCAAATCCTACCCAGACCCACAAATCCTACCTCCAGTTTTCACTGGAGAAGACAATAATGTTAGGGAAAGTTGAAGACAGAAGAAGACATGGGTCGTGTGACATGGTGCCCCGCAACAGCAGGGACTGGACTCGATGGTGTTCATGGCCCCTTCCATCTCCAACCATGAGATGGATCCATTTCTTAAAGGAAGCCACAGCCTTGAACTCAGAAGAGCTGGGCACAGGTAATTTCTGGAGGGCTCCATTCAGTTGGGGACAACCTGACAGCATGTAGAAACAACAAATCCCATCAAAAGCATCAGGGCCCACTGTCCCTGGGATCATTATCCCTGATTAAGATAGTCCCAGTGAACTATGTAAACATTAAATTATATTTAATGAAAAATGGAAAGAGCTTGTCACACAAGGAAGTACAAATTTGTCTACCTTTTCAGACCACAAGTTCTAGTTTTAACTATTCCACAGAAGGACACAGATACGGGGAAAGAACTTTCCGTAAATTCAGGCCGGATTTACAATCTACCCTCCATCTTTGCCCTCATGGTAATCGGTTGCAGCTGGAACTGAAGTGCACCCTTCTACAGACCCCAAGTCTGGACCCTGAAGAGATAAGAACTGAATTTCATAGTTGTTCTGTTCTGAATGACAGAGATTATGAGTTCTGTTGTCCCTCATCCTCACTGCTAGCTTTGCCCGTGATCGAGCACAACAGATGATGATTAAAGGTAAAGGTTTCCCCTTGACGTTACGTCCAGTCATGCCTGACTCCAGGGGGCGGTGCTCAACTCCGTTTCCTAGCCGAGGGAGCCAGTGTTTGTCCACAGACGGTCTCCGTGGTCTCTCCGTGGTCGTGTGGCCGGCATGACTAAACACCGAGGTGCACAGAACGCTGTTACCTGCCCACCGAACTGGCACCTTTTCATCTATGTGCATTTGCATGCTTTCGAACTGCAAGGTGTGCAGGAGCTGGGACGGAGCAACGGGAACTCACCCTGTTGTGCAGATTTGAACTGGCGACCTTTCGATCAACCAGCACAACAGCACAGCGGTTTAAACCACTACGCCGCCTGATGATTACATGTGGACAAAATTCAGTTTGCATTCGGGATTTCCTTCAGCAAGCATTTTTTCTAGCATACAGAAAAACCTGCTTCACCCAAACAAAGGCCTCGTGCGCGGGGTCTTCCCTCCCACGAAGCAGGGTGAGCTAAGGTGTCCGGCAGCAGTGGGGAAGGAGCAGCAACCTGTGCCATTTACTTCTGTTCCCACCAGGAGGTGCTGCCGCTGCAGCCTGCCACCTCCAGGGGGAGCCGTGGAGACCCCTGCCGGCAACAGAACGGCCAGGCATTCTCTGTGTCCCTTGGCCACATGCCCATTTCTTTTCCCACAACAGCTTTGGAGGGAACCTCACACCCAGAAAAAGTGTGGGGCTCTCAGAAGGGCGCAAGTGGGTCTCACAAAACACAGGTGAGCTAATGTGAAGCACCACAGAAAGAGGTGTGATGCGGGACTGCCTTCAGGCGGTGTCGTTGCCATCTCCAGCAGAAAGAACAAAGAACAACTGAGTGCAGGTCTGCAGAAGGGGACTCCAGCAAAGACGCTATTGGTTCCCAGGAATTTCTAATATCCCAAGGCTCTGAAACAGACTTTGGAGTTCAAAGTGCCAGATAGAAGAGGGATTGACAGTTCTACAAAGCAGTTAAACCACTGAAGTTTTGCCTGCTTCTGTGCCTGGAGGGATTATTGTACCGGATCTGAATGCTGAATATATCCTTCAACAAGGAGACCCTTCAGTTCAGAAGATGCACAGGCATGATGGCTCGGAAGCAAGAGGAGCCCAGCTCCGCAGCACCAGAAGGGCGGCTTCATCTGTGAGGGACTCCTATTGATGATGGCAAACCTAACCCTCCATGGATCTAGCCCCTTTCCTGGAGATGCATTTCCCATTTAGGGTTGGTTCTCAGAGCACTCAGAAACATAGAAACAGAGCGAGTCAGAAGGGACCTCCCGGGCCATCTAGTCTGACCCCCGGTTCCAGATGGCTCCGCTCATGACATGCCCACCACGTGCATGTCCAGCCTATCCTTGAACACCCTCACCGATGGGGCTTCAACCTCCTCCCATGTCCCCGAATGTGTGAATGGGCCCTCTGGAAAAGCCTCAGCCATATGACGTAACATGAAAGCTCTATCTATGGTGTTAGATTTGTAACAGCATCTTCATACTTACAAGTCATTTATACGTGTAATGGCAGTAATGAAGGTAGAGATATGCATATAATTGGTGTTTATTTTATTAAAAGATTTTAAAGCCACCCCTGATGAGATGATTAATAGAGTGGGAACAAAAATGGGTCATATAATTATGGAAATATAAGATACGCATGCTGAAGGAAACAGCAAAAGACAATGGAACATGCTCCAGTAGCCAAGCCCTACTTGTGGCTTTCCCACAGGTATGGGCAGAATTGTGGACTACCTGAGAAGTTGGCCATGTGATGTCCACAGACACCTCCCATGCCTAGACAAGGGTGCTCCACCCATCCCATGTGGATTTTATGGTCACGTTCTTACTAACCAGCGGAAATGCCCAAGCAAGCAGAAAAGTTTTGAACCCGTTGCCAAAAGCTGGCGCAAAGCACATCTCTATGGGGAGAGGGTTCTACAAAGAGAGTGTCATGACAGGAAGGGCACCAGCGCATAACCTGGGCAAGGTACTTTCAGGAGGGAAAGGTATGTCAAGGTGTCAAGGAAGAGACTCTCCGTTGGGCATCTGCATCACAAGTCAAGCACAGGCTGAGACCAGCACCTTGAAATCAGCTCCAGGCCAAATGGTCCCATGCCGCAGCCTGCAAGCCGGAACCCCGGTTTATCCGGGTTCTCGATCACATGATCTGAGCACAGTTTTATCGCCCTTTGCAAACTTTCCCAAGCAGCACGGGGACGCGGCACTGGGGATCTCTGGCTGCACAAACCTGGAAAGGAAAGTCCTGGTTGGGTCCAGCCCTCAGTCCGTATACAAGCATATTGCAGGAGGAAGGGACAGAGAGGAGGTGTCAAGCGTGGGGAAACCTCACAGCCCAGGCAAACAGCATATTGGAAAAGGAATGGCCCAGGCCCCCTCTGTGTGCGGTAATCGATCGGTGAGCAATTCTTTGAAGAAGAACAAGAACAGCATTCCAGTCAGGAATGGAAATTCAGGCAGTTCACAGAGTTCCTCGGATCGTACCCATCAAAAGAAGGCCACAAAGTGCAGTGGCCGTGCCATTTTCTCAGTGTCTGGTCGAAAAGTGCAAATTAGATATTTCAGATTAAATTATTGAAGAGAGGGGTGTGAGCCTATTAGGTGCTTTCAGAGAAATGGCTTTTCCTTCCGCGTCCCAAGGAGAACTTCCACCCCATCCCATCCCCAAGTCTTTCATCTCACGACAAATTTCTCCAATAAACAAGAAAAGGGAGAGAGGGAGGGAAAGTGACAGGAGAAGGAAATTGCTTTTCTGTAGGAATGCCTTCTTTTCTTAGTTTCTGCCAACTTTAAAAGTCACCTCGAAATCTGAAGTGCGGAGCCCAGGAAATCTACTTTGTAGGAATAAGTCATTCTTCAGAACAATACATGAAAACTTCCTTTCCACTCTTTAATAACAGGAGTGTGTTTAGCATTAATATAAGAAATGCGTAAGGACTCTGGCACAAAAGAACGACATCATAACTCTATTCTAGTATGTGAAGGGTAGCAAGCAAAAGGAACACAACATCATTTAAGGCTATTTAAATGCTAAATTCCCCTGTATAAATAAAAAGGTGGCTTTATTATACAGAATGTCTTGTTCCACAACTGCAAAACTGCCAAGAGAATCAGAGGTGCTTGCAAAAGGGCATTTGTTAAAGCAAAAACGCATCTCTTTGAAATAGACTGGAGGCAGCAAGTTATTTTAAAATGTTTAACTCAATTATTAAAGTATTTCAAAGCTGTTCCCAGTGAACATTTTCCTTCAATACTTTAAAGAAAATGATTCTATAGACCTTTAACTGGGGCCTACGCTCACCAGATTGTGGGAGGAAAACCTGCTTCCATAACCTATACATTCCAGCATCATTTCCAGAGAGACGAACGGTTCTGAGTTCGAATCTTACCTTTCACATCTGGCCGGTACTGCATACTGTCATCTTTCTTCCCCAGCAAGCTCGTATCATCTGAGACTGGGGGAAAATGTAAAACAGACACCCAAAGAAGGAGCTAAATAACAGCAAAATGTTGCACCTTGTGTTTCCCTCTTGTGGCTAAGAAAACGATGCCCTTCTGCGGATGCCGCTTAGCATTTTAACTCTAGTTGGAAGAAAGGAAAGAGAATGGCCCAAACAGCTGGAACCTTCCCATTTTCTCTAGCTATAGTGAGCCAGAAGGAGGCAGCAAAAGGTGATCCTGTTACTCTGCCTCGGCATCATTAGCTCCACACTATGTTAGCCATGATGCTACAAAGTCTTGGCTACCAAGAGAAACTTCTGCACCATGCCTCCTTAATATTCATAATACCTCAATTCCCCCAGGATCAAAAATTATTCCTTCAAAGTTAAAGAAACAACCAAAAGCCCAGAAGTTGTACAGTCAGAGCTGTGTACCTCGTAATTCCAGAGCAGCACAGAAAAGCACACCAAATAAAACAGGTTTTTAAGCTCATGTGGGTGTAAAAGTATTACTGAAAGTATATACATGAGGTCTGTGGAAATCTCAGAACCAATGCGTATCTCAGAGCCCACAGCCGTCTTTGCTTCTCCTCATAACTAGCAGAAGGCAAATAAATAAATCAGGCCAAATAAGACATCTGAAAATGTGCTTTATTTACATAATTTATGCTAGGCACAGACTTCTTATTTAATATAGAGTCCTGGGCAAAGTAATTGGGGATTGTCTGAATCTTTGATGAGCATGGGAATGCATTCATGCATGTTTCATAAAAGCATTATAGGCAGTATATTATAGACAGGTTATTAATGGGGACTAGCAGATATTCCCATATCACGCCAGTCCTATATCATTTACACTGGCTGCCAATTGAAGTCCGGGCCCAATTTAAGCTGTTGGTAATGGCACATAAGGCCCTAAATGGCTTGGGTCCTGGATACCTGAAGGAGCGCCTTCTTCCCTATGTGCCGGCCCACCCCTTGAAATCGGAGGCAGAGGCCCTTCTCCGGGAGCCCTCCTTGAAGGAGATTAGGAGGGTCGCTACTCAGAGAAGGGCCTTCTCAGTGGTGGCACCCCGACTGTGGAACACGCTCCCCAGGGAGGTCCACCTGGCGCCATTGCTTTATTCTTTTCTGCCTCAGGCAAAGACCTTTTTATTTTCCCAACATTTTAATAATTAACTGGTTGTATTCTTGTTTTTATCACTATTTATTGGTTGCAGTGTGTTGTGTGTTGTTGTTGTTATGGTTTGTTTTTGGGTTTTATACTTTGTAAGCCATCCAGAGACCTTTTAGTAATGGGACAGCATATAAAAACTTTAAATAAGTAAATAAGTGAAGATATGCGATCTGAGAAAAACGATCACTCACACTCGGGGCCATGTACAAAGTGACAATACACGTGGCTGCCTTAGCCTATTTCATCCAACAGACGGGAAGAAGGTATTATCAGGAAAGGGGGTAAAGTTTTGCAGTATCTCTGAGTTGTTCCTTTGCTTTGCGGCCACATCATCCGAAGACGTCTGCAGAGCTCCTAGCGAACCGTTTGTTTTCTAGGGTTCAGAAGCAGATACTCCAACGGCAAGCTGTTTAACGTAAGCATTTGAAGTTTCTTTCTGTGCGCTTGCCCTTCAGAAAAGGGGAACCCTCTGGCTGCATCAGGTAGCCGAAAGGACTCTGGACCGTGAGAATATATCCCTTATTCTTTTCCAACACTCCTAAGCCATTTTGACCGTAAATGGAGTTTCCATTGTGAGGCGCGAGGCCTTTATCTGTGAGCACTGAGGTGTGCCCGACTGGACTTTATCTTCCGTGCCTTGCTCCTCGAATAAACGCTCCGGCACTGCAGAGTGGAAAGGAGAGAAATAGCCTTGCTACTCTTTATAGTTTCAGCTGGGTGAGTGCCTCAGGGCTCAAACAATATACCAGGGGTGTGTGTCGCCACTCAAGACAGCGTCAAAATAATAAAATAAAAGTTCACACCGCAGTATTTCATCTCTTGAGAGACTGAAGACAATACCCCAGAAGAACAATGCTGTACTTCAGAAAATGTGAGAGCCCTACAAGGTGATCCAATCTCCATGGGGAGCCACAGGTTGAGTGTAATAAGTGTGCATTTATTGCACGTAAAATCAATTGAGCACAGACCAGTGTGCAACACCCTGAAGTGCAGGAGTCATGAAAATATTCCGCCTTGACTTTTTCCAGAGATGCTGGTTTTCAGCAAATAAAATGTGGGGGGGGGGGATCCCGATTCTGTGCCAAGATAAATTGAATTATGTGGCCTATATAAATTATTCATCTTAAGTAGGGCTGCATGTTTTCTCTGATTTTGCAGAATGTGTTCCCCAACATTGATTTATTATGTATAGGTCGTTCCGCTGCAGCTAGTCAAGGGGAACCAGAAGCAATATGGAGGCGAATGCGTGTGCGCATTCACACCACTGCAAAACTTATGCAGCAGGGCTGACTTCTTATATTTGAGCAAGCAATGCCGTGTGGTTTGATCGGCTCGGCTCGGCTCGGCACTGCTCTGTTCTGGCTCTGGCTCAGCTCAATTTTGCAACCGTAAGATCCAGAGTGAACATAAATGCATGCGTGTATTATAAATGAAAGCGGACACCTTTAGGCAGCCTCGCTCTATATGCTAACCTACATCCAGGCTGCTTTTCCGTGCTTCTGCAGAACCACACACAGAGCCCGATGTAAAAAAGAAAGGGGCCATTTTCCACGAAAGAACGGCAAAGTTGAAAGTACCTGAGCAATGTCCAAGGTGTCGGATATCAATTTGTTCTTGTCTCAGGCAAGAAGCTTCTCGAACAAAGCACGGGTTGTTGTAAGAACTTCCATCCGATGCACAAACGGGGTTAAAACTGTAGCCGCTGCAGTCTATGTTGCAGACACACCTGTTCACACAAACATCAAGATCACGCAATACAGAACTTTGTATACGCGGCACTCTTATATGTGCACGACATATTTGGAAGGGAATATGCCCCTCGTCTGCACAAGGATGCACGTCCTGTATAACTTCGTACCGCGGATGAATATAACCACCTAAAAATGTAACCTCAGGGAGCACCTTTCCTTGTATGCAGCAGGAGTGGTGCACCCTGGGATTGATTTCCACCTGTGGCTAATGGGATATGTGACACCACACTATGACAGTGGAACCTGCTGCCTAGAGAGGTGGGGGGCTCTCCCACACAGGAGACATTCAGGGAGACACTGGGCAGCCCTCTGAGTGGGGTGGGGTCACGTGGTGTCCTGCAGCAGCAGGGGGTGGATCCGACGGCCTTCATGGCCGCTTCCAGCACTTCCATTCTATGATTCTATGGTTCCGTGATTCGACTCTTAGGAGGAAAGACGGGGGAGGATGGACATCGCTCATGAATGCAAATCGCGAGCCTGCCTGAATCTTGGACAAACCGACCTTTCCTGACGTTGTCCTCGATTATTAAGTGCCCTCCCCCAGGATGCTTACCTGCCACCCACTGTGTTGTCAAACTCCAGGAAAAAGCATTTCTCTTTTACTGGGCACTTGGATAATTCAGTGATCTGGTTTTGGTGTCTATTTTGCTGTAGTTCATTCCTGGGTTGGATGAGGTGGCGAGTTTTGCTCTAGGTGGGCTTTAGAAGGATACTTGTGTGACTTTATATGGTTTTAAGGAGTGTGATCATATGCTCACACATATTCGGTGTGCTTTTGCTGTTATTATTTCTTTGTAAATTGGTCTGGGACTCCTTGTGTGACTAAATTGAACACAGTTCAAGGACGGGAGAACACGGGAGTTAGATTTTGCTCGTACAGTCAAGCACAAGAGAAGATCTGTGGCTTGTGAAATGCCACCCCGGAAGTAAGAGGACTTCCCCACTCTTGCCTGCTTGGTTGCTTCCATTTATTCCAGCATTAAACCTTCCAGAGTGGCCACTCAGAGTTCTCTGGAAGCGTGAAACTAATCCTACTCTGTGCATTTTGTTTCCAGCATATGAAATTCAGAGGCATGCAGGGTAAAATTGTACACAGGAACGTCTTATAGCACCCAAATTGTCTTTGCTGAAGCACTGCAATTGTCTGAAAAGCACTGCCTGAAAACAGCAATCACTGGCCCAGTAAATGGTTTGGAGGCAAACAATACAGATCAACTGCTGGAATTAAGGCTCTCTCGCCGTGCACGGTGACTGGGTGAAAGACCCCAAAGAAACCAAATCTGATTTACTCTGAACTTCCTGAAAAAGAGTGTGCGATAAACAGAGAGTTCGATCCTGGTTATGATCATCATCCTTATCATCTATTGGCATATGTGTGAAAAGTGAGCAAGAAGCCACTTCAGTCCCATTGATCTCAGCAGAGACTAAATGTAACCCATAAAATTAAAGTTTGACAAGGAGAAGGCAGCTAGGCAAATAAAAATAAATATAATGCATGGGTGGAGACACGTGCAGGAAGGGTGAGGAGAGGCTGGCGTGTGTACATGTGTGTCGGCACACAGCACGGCTGCAGTGTGGGAATGCTGCTCTCTTGCTACTCTAGAACAATGGTGCCACTCGACTGAGCAGTTATTTTAATGAGCAGCAGAAAGCAAAAACAGAAAAAGCAGGTAAGCTGCACCCAGGAGACCCTGGCACTGATTTTCATCTGTGGGGGCTGATGGGATGGAGGAGGAAAATGGAGGAGGGTGGAAGTCACTCATGCATGGTCTGTCTGAACCCTGGACCCAAGGTGAGATACATGTAAACATTGTCTATATGTTGGACTAGGTTCAAATGCTGTTCAAACGTTCAAACGCTGGGATTCTCCGTGAAGACAGAACCCTGTGAGCTTTTGTTCCTTCCAGCAAACCAGAGAAAGCTGGAGTTGCGCTGCTGTTCTTTCTCCCCCCATTTCTATTGCCATAACAAACCGTTCATTCATGCTTGTGAAAACTCCATCACGGTGGCTTAATTACAGTTCTGAAAAACAGGATTTTGCAATCTGGCTTATCTCCTGCCCTATTCAATGAATGCACTGATGGCTTTTCAGCAGAGCGTTTCGTCTGGCTGGCAACAAAGAGCTGCCGAACAAAGTTCACACCCAACGTGGTTGTCCAAGCGCCTCTACAACTTTTGGGATGACTCCTGACGTCTCACCTTACACACTCTTGCTGATAAGGGACCCAAGACCATCCCAAGCACGCTCCCCAAATCAAAGGTTTCTTGTGGCCCTGGGGTCATGGCGGCCTTCTCCACAAGCAGTTATTTTGTTCTCATGGGGGAAACCCGTTCCCCAGACCATCAGCCCACGGGGCCTGGGTGGAGCCACCTGTATAATAAACTGGCTTCCTCTAGCTGTCTGGTTTAAGGAACACACAGAGTGATCCATACAAATAGTCTTATTTATGTATTATAGACCACACTCAATAGAGTTGCAGCACTAAGGGACGGAATCTCCATTTCTTAGGTAACGTGAAAGCCTTTTTGGCAGGCTGGCTGAAGTTCAGGAGTGATGCGCCCGCAGGATGTCCCAGTCTGAATGATCAGTTTAGAATACATTTGTCTGGACTAGATCACAGTCACACAAATCAGCATCGCTTTCTGGCCGTGAAGGATTTTCTACTTAAATGACCCCAAAAGAAACGGTATGCAGAAGGAGAATAAAGCCAAACAGAGAGTCGGGAAAGCTGCAAAGATGGTGCTAGTAGAACAACTTTGCGGCACAACCTTTTTCTCTGCTTTCCTTAGCACAAGAACACGGTGTGCTTCAACGCATGTTATCTGCAAGCACGATGAATGTAATATCAAGCGATGATTTATAGATTTGAATGAGAATTCTCAGTCAAAATCCCACAAGAGCTTCAAACCTCACGACTTTAGAAGCAGTGAATAGACAGGGAAGCAAGCACGGAAAGCAGAGAAAAATCAATGATGCATGTCTGTAAAGCAGGCGTCAGTTTCCCTAAGCTTGACTTTTCTGAAAGCTTTTATAACCATGTGTCAGTCTGACAAATATCCCCCTATTAATTTCATGCAGTATTCCAGATACACATTAACCGGAAACCAAAGTAACTGTACTGAGGGCAAAGGATTGTGTCAATAATTAATAACTATTAAAGTTTTGAAACCTTTGCTTGTCCAAACTTTTGATTTTGAACTTTCATTGCCTTTTTCATGCATTTAAGTAAACTGAAGGTTCGCCTGCAGCAAAATAACCTTTTCAGGTTATTACTCTCACATTTTAGCCTGCTTGTTAGTTTTACAAATGTCTGTTTTCAAATGTAGACCAATTTATAAGCTTGTTGATTTTAAAGAAAGACCAGCATTCAAATACTTGCTATGTTTTATGATAGATTAAAGGGCAGTCTCTCACATTTTAGTACATTTCTTAGTTTTTCAAATGTCTATTTGCAAAGACAGACCGATTTATAAGCATGTCAATTTTTTAAATAGATACCAGCATTCAAATACTTGTTATCCTTTATGAAATATTAAAGGGCAGCAGCAACAACCTTTTCTGAAATGTAACTTTTAAATTATGGGAGAACACTTTACAAAGGTCCAGCTTGTTTACCATTACCTATTTTCCTGATCTACCTTTGGGTTCACACACACACGGATATACACATTCACAAGCATGCATGTGTGTGCACACACACACACAGAATTTCTGGTTTTGCTTTTTAAATCTCTCCTTCCTGCACATCATAACCTTGGTAACACAAGCTCATTTCAATCCCACAATTTTTACCCTTCATCCTTAGATACCACTTATCCTCCATACATTTCTCTGCTTGGGGATAGGCAAACTGATAACTAGGAGCTTTCCACCAGATCTCCAGATCCAACAGACCTCTCCATCACAAAGAAACCCTTGAGGCACTTTCTCCAAAATTAAGATCCAGCAAGGAGCTCTATAAGCTCTCCTTCTGTGCAGTGAGCAACAAGAGTTGGTTGGCCCAATGCTTGTCTCATTGGGCCCTTCAGTGTCTTAAATCCCGCGGCACAAGCTGAAACACTACCAAATTAGAGTGAGCAGCAGAGACACTCAAAATAAGGGTTGGTGCCAAAGCTTCTGTGGCCATTCACAGTGGAAGAAATGGAGTGACCTTTGCGTGTGATGTGGCTTCTGGGAGTGAATCAACCGGTGGGTCCGATTTTGCTGGCCATTACTCCATTGCGAAGATGGCCTTCTCCTCGTTAGAAGCCGTGATGGACCCATTCTTAATTTCTAGGCTAGATTTAACAGAACATGAGAGCCTATATAAAAATCAGAACTATCCACAGCAGCAGAATAAAGAAGCCTTCCCACAGTAGACTAGCCTGAAGCTGGACCAGTTTGTGACTCGCAGATTGGCTCCTTTCTCTCCGTAGGACACCAACGTTGTCTTGAGGGGTGATGCTCCATGCCAGGTGTTGCTATGGCTACTCCCACAGTCACAGGCTTCTAGCAGTGCCGCTCAACCCCGTCAGTGTCACTCAAGGGTAATTGGAAACAGCAGGTCACGAAGCTGCGCGGCATAATTTGTTCGAATGCCACTTGGAGGGGGTCACAGCAGCTAAACAAGGAGAAAAGCCACAGCGCTCGTCCTCACGAGCCTCGGGAAAAAGACAATTGCTTCTGAAGAGGTAAAGCTTTCCATCAGTGGGCGTGTTTAATGGTACTGGTGAGCCTTTTTATCCTGCTAACAACCTCGTGAAGACGATTAATCTGAGAGAAGCAATGAAGGGCATGGAATGAGTTTCATCCAATTCAGGTTCAGATTCAGCACTGTAATTCTCAACATCTGGCTGAAATCCAGTCCTACAATATTGTGTCCACCACACCGGCATTTCTATCCTTCAGATGAAATATGCGCAGTGCAGAGGAGACTTGGATCGCATGGATCCCATTCTGCATCAGGCCAAACAGAGGGTGCTTCCGGGAAGAAAG